GTACGCTACATCATTAAGAATCCGGTGATCATTCTCATCGTTCGCATGATTGCGCAACCACTTTTCGAAAGTGGAGATAGATCGCTGGACGGCACGCTCGTCAAATGCGGATAGTACGAAAAGCTTTGGGGCGGTTTCGTAGTCATCCATGATATCAGGTGGCGTATCGTCTGCAAAGGATTGCGAACATGCGTTAGTACCCGTGCTATAGCTGTCGTCCTCACTATTGATCGCTAGGCCATCGTAGGTAGCTGGTTCAGCTGGTCCTTTGCTACTGTCAAGCACTTCAGTGCAATGTTGGCCGGATAAACCATGATCACGAAGAAAGCTCAGCGCATCGTCCAGAACGACGTGGGCGTTCGTGCCTCCATACCCGAATGAGTTCACACTCGCGCGTCGAATACCATCCGTCGGCCAGGTTGCCGGTACGAGCGGAAACTTCAAGTTGGGACCAGCCGCTGCAACAGCCGGGCTGATGTGCTCAGGATATACATTCGGTGGAATGATGCCCTTCTCTAGAACAAGAAGCGTCTTAATCACACCCGCGATTCCACTGGCGCCTTCAGGATGACCCATGTTGCTTTTGAGGGCACCCACGAAGATCGGGTCTTCAGGCGTCCGACAGGAGAAAACGTTGCTGATAGCTGCAGCTTCGCAAGGATCTCCCACTGGAGTACCGGTGCCATGCGCCTCGAAATAGCGAGTATCACCAAGATCAAGGCCTGCCCGCGCATATGTCTCACGAATGAGTCGCTCTTGAGCAGATTGGCTGGGCGATGTGATGCTGGGAGTGTTCCCGTCTTGTCCACAGCCAGTCGATCGCACGACACCCCTAATGGTGTCTCCATCTGCAATGGCCGTATCGAGTCGTTTGAGGATGATTACACCAAAGCCCTCACCTCGAGCATAGCCCGATGCGCGCTCATCGAATGAATAACAGACACTGTCTTTAGACATCATATTGAGGCTACTCAAGAGTGCCGTCGAGTCTGGGAGTAGGCACAAGTTGTTACCGCAGACAAGTGACTATAGTCGTTAGTCATCCGAGGTATCGTGTAGGAGATAGAAAAATGACATACCATATCTACACTCCCAGCTGAAAGCTCCTGACATGCTAAGTGAAAAGCGACGAGCCCACCTGAGCAAGCTGTATCAACCGTCATGCTTGGGCCGCTGAAGTCATAGAACCAACTTAGTCGGTTAGCCAACATAGCCAAGCCACTGGATCCGACGATACGGTAGTCACCAGGCATCTGAGAATCACGCTGAGAGATCTGGCTATATTCTTGGAGTAAACAGCCAACGTGAACTGAAGTCCTGGTGCCCATGGCTGCTTTCATAGGAATACCAGCTAAAAGCAAAGATCAGCCCTACTTATAACAACAAGCAGGGAGTAACGAACCGTTTTCGAGAGCATGATAGCTCGTCTCCAACAAGAGGCGCTGCTGAGGGTCCATGCACTCCGCTTCCGCGGGCTGGACGGAGAAGAAAGGGGCGTCGAAGCGGGCGGGATCATCCGCGAGAAAGTGGCCACCTCGGTTCTTTACGGTACCAGGTCGATGGCCATGCTCTTTGTAGAAACCATCAATGTTCCATCGATTCTGAGGAATCTCAGTCATGGTAGATCGACGCTCCATCAAGAGCTTCCACAAGCTCTCAGCGTTTGTGATATCTTGGGGAAACTTGAAGCCAAAGCCCACTATTGCAATAGGCACTAAGACGTTGGGACTTGAGGCCGGCATGAAAGTTCCTTCCGGATCAATGAAGCCGTTCATACTGAGAAGATGTTATTGGTCTGGATAGTGGATAGTGATAAGTATGTCAATCAAAGTCAAGTTACGAGGTTTCGTAAGTGCCTTATTACTCAGGAATAACAGGAATGGTTGTGGAATCAATATGCGACAGCGTGTTGGGGAACTTGGGATGGTTGTTATAAGGGCGGGTGAGCGATTACTGGGCATTTTTACACACAACATGTGGAATCAGTCGTGATTGAGGCAATTGTACGATGTTACGTACTGGTCTGATGATCAGAAACTCCCAGCTCCACGCCATGCAGACTCAATGCAAGCGCAAACGCCTCATGAGTCGGAGTAGGAGGTAAATTCGGAAGGTCATTTCTTGCTCAGTGGCGAGTTTGTCCAACTTCGTAAGGGGCATACTAGGTCACGCATGAGGGCGGCCCTTCTCCACTCCAGATATCCCAAGCCCCCGGCACCGTGAGAAGAGCCACTGTTGCAAACATTAGTGGATCGATAGTTAGCACTCTGGAGACTAAACACTTGGGAGTCTAGAGAAGAAGACCCACGCGGTAGTCTACCGTATATGGCTAGCCTGGTGTAGACGGCGTCTTACCCGCATCCAGGCTTACTCCTTTGCTTGACCCCAAGCTTGTGCGGATAAGAATATCTCATGAACTTGGGTCTAGATGTTCAGGAATGGCGACAAAATATTGTCAGCCATAAAAATTGCCCATCCATCTGTCGGTGTCCAATCATATTCGTAACATGAAAGGAGAAATAGCAAACCATCTGAGGGTAATCAACAGCTGAAAGGGAACGACAATCTAAAGATCACAGGGCCCTATTCCTGAAGTCATGCAGTCTGACGCCCGCCGTGGTCGGCGTGGGATATTCGAGGTAGGACTTTATGACTTGGCGCACTCGCTAGCGCCACCAATTGCGATGATAGGTCGCTCGGTCATCGAAATCCTGCGTTGTCTAGTAGAAAACATCGCCTGTGTTCCACAATCATATCACCGCGCGCATAGAGTGCACACCGAACTATGCAGAGTGACACGGTGTCTAGTCACTCGAACTTCTTAGTTTGCATATCGTCCGCCCGCTCAGCCGGCTCGCATACGCCAGCACAACCTCGCCCTAAACCCTTCGTATGTTCGATGCCGGGCGTCTCGTATCAGACATCTTGGCTGCGGTACGCCTGGCTCGGCCGGTGAAGCTCCGGACTACCGCATTTTGTCAGCTTACATATGACTTGAGAGTGCCCCGGACCGTCCACGTGATTTGTCCAGTCGCTGTAAGCACCCCTGAGTGATGTTTTGAACGTGACCTGGTATGCATTGTAGCTTATCAAGTTCTCATTGCAAATTCAAAGCTCACAGAATTCTCATAACAAAGAGGGGTTACATAGTACCGCGCTGGGATCTAGAAACCCAAGTCCGAGCATGTGCATAGCCTGAGCCTTTAGCATATCCCAAACCACGACTATCCACATCATCATTGGATATGTCGAGTTGGTATTTTGGCGTGTATAAGACGCTCAGGCTCAGGCAAATATCGGATTGGGTTCCTGCGTTGGACGGTGCTCGCAATGTGTTTTTAACCCCACCCTCGAAAGGTAGAGTTTTTTTTAGCCGCTTGTAAGCATACAATTGTTATTGGATAGCGACTGATCGGGGTCAAAATCGAGAAGGATCTTACAGTCGACACTTCGAGTCTTGCGATTGCATAGATCAATCAAATACGAGCTACCCTTCTTCCTCGATTGTTAAGATACTTTGAATACTTGCACCTGTTTGCATTCCCGTACATCGATGGTTGAGTTGTGGGAGCTACCGCGGCTTTTAACAAGGTGGTCTCGAGGATAGATGACTTGATAGGAGGTCGTCGTCCTCTAGCTTTGAGTCAAGGACGTAAACGTGATTGGAACTGGTTGGTAGAATCCCAGTTCGTACACCTTCATCAATCCGACGACTGGCTGGAGCATTCAGTCGCCAAAGTAGAGAATCCTTTGATAGTTTCGTGATAGTTTCGTCGTAAAATATTGGAGTCGGGTGTGCAACTCGTGAGTCAAGGTTCTTTGTTGTGTTTATAGCGATGGCAAGGGCGGATCAAACACGCCAGCTAAATAGCGTCATCAGAGATGCTCATTATTCTTGCACCTATCACGAGGGCGACGTATCGGTTGCCGCATACCGCGAGTTGTTTGACCCCAGGCCAATCTGGCTAGATGTAAAGAACCATGGTAATGTGTAAGCGCGCGTGTGAGGGAGTGGCGCAGTACTATCGAATATGCGGAACAGACAGCATATGCCATAGGTTTTGACCAACGCGTGCTCATCGCATCTTCATTGTTCTGTCCGCTCAGACTGCCAAGGACGGTGGGTTCTCAGAGATACAACGACCGATATGGCTAGAGCACTATTGTTTCGAACCATCAGGTATCTGGCAGTCAAGGATGAGCGTAGGGTGTTTTTTCTTCTTCAGCTTGAAGGCGTGTCCAAGCGCCCGTCAGCCTTATGTTGTGCATGGCTGGGTGAAAGGGCAGGTTGCGCGCAGCCAGGAACCCGCTGAGCCACCACGTGTCGTTTCAGCCATCAGCATGTCAGACTCTTCGTCTCCCCTCTCGCGGAAAGTACAGATGCGCAGGGTTGCAAGAGCCGCATATGCAAGGGTCATAGTTGCGCGAAGACGATGAAGGTCATTGCGTACCAATTCGCGGCCTAGGGGAGCCTTTCAGAAGTTGCACAACCGCATGCCTTATTCTCTTGCACTCTGGCAAAATCGTCTCTTATCCTTGGAAAGATCGATAGTGTATGGCCACGTTCAGAGCCTGCAGCGTAGGGTAGAAGTCGCATAACGTTGATGTCATGCAACAGCCGTGCCTCTTCACTGCGCCAAGTGAGTCAGCATGCCGAGCTATCGTTTCGTGCTACTACAGGTCGGAGGACCTATAGCCGGGTTCCCGGATTGCCATGTATGGTGGTTGGTGTCGGTGGTGTAGGGGCATGGGTGAGGACAACGCGTGCTGGGATTCCGAGGTTGCTCGGAATGGAATTAGATCCGACAACGCGGGACAGCCGCGGGGCAGCGCAGCGCAGCAGCAGCACACGGCGGCGGCGGCTTGCTAGTTCACGGCCACCTCCGAAGCTTCCTGACGGCCTAGACACGACGGCAGAATAACAGTCATTCCTGCGCAATCGACGTTTGGAAGCTTTACAAGAAGCCATCGCGTACTGACCCTCCCAACTTGACCCCAACATGACTGTGCGCACCGCAGAAGGGCTCACGCCCGAACAACTAACCTTTTTCAACGAGAATGGTTATCTACTGATACCTGATGCGCTGTCGCAAGACACGGTCAAGCAGTTGCTGGAAGACACAAACAATATGCTAAACGACTTTTCACTCAATGACCATCCCATGACCAAGTTCTCGACTGGCGGCGACGACGGCGCGGACCACGTCGGAGACAGCTACTTCCTTGAGTCCGGCGACAAGGTACGGTTCTTCTTCGAAGAGGGTATGTAAGGCGATCCGCAGCCATGGCAAGTGTGCTAACACGCGAACAGATGCCTTCGACAAGTCTGGCTCACTGACCAAACCTAAACACCGCGCCATCAACAAGATCGGCCACTACCTCCACGAGCTCTCGCCTTCGTTCCGCAGCATGTCCCTTTCCGCCCGCAATGCCGCTATTGCGTCCTCGCTCGGGTTCCGTGATCCCCGTGTTTTGCAATCTATGGTTATCTGCAAGCAGCCTGAGATAGGCGGTGCAGTGCCGCCACATCAAGATAGTACCTTTTTGTACACGGACCCGCCGAGCGCAGTTGGCTGGTGGTATGCACTCGAGGATGCGACACAAGAGAACGGGTGCCTAAGCTTCGCTGCTGGGAGTCATAAGCGTGCTGCTATTGAGAAGAGATTCGTCAGGACGGGCAATGGTACTGGCTTCATTGACAATGAGGGTGCCAAGTTTCCAAAGAGTATAAAGCACCAGACAAACGCCGAGAAGGAGTACGAGATGGTCGAGAAGGAGGAGAGGTACGACATGGGCGAGGTCAAGGCTGGCACTCTTGTCCTTATCCATGGCAACATCCTGCACAAGAGCGAGAAGAACACCAGCAACAAAAGCCGGAATATTTACACGTTCCATGTGATTGAGGGCGAGGAGAGGTATGACGAGAGGAATTGGCTGCAACCGCCTGAGCAAGGGTTCTCAAGGCTATCTCAGGAAAAGGTCGCGACGGACGCAGACAACAGACTTGCGAAGGACTGGTAGCTGGCCTGTAGCAATATTGATAGACATTTCACGATTTGCTCTGGACGCACAACGCGATACCACCAAGTACAAAGGCCATGCCAATCCATGTGTCTTTGCATTGTTAGTTTTCGTCCCGTGGCAGAGCAGAGAGACAACGTACCTCTGCTAATGACCTTCTTCTCTGCCCACCACTCCCCTAGAACGGTGAACAGAAAGGCTAGCGAGTTCGTGATTGGCACCGTGAGGCTCAACTCCGCCTTACCAATCAATATAAAGAACCATACACTGCCAGTGACGTTCAATAATAGCGGCACCGCATACGCTGGTCGGCTCAGGACACCAATAACTGCATATAGTACTCCAAGCACCTTTTTCTTAAGCCATGAGTTGTTCGGATCAGTAAGGGCAGGACGCTGCGGCGGAGTGTAGTTCCTGGTATATGCGTATCAGCTTGCTGGTCAGGCAATGTACTAAGCTTGCGAGAGAAGGAAGAACTAGCACAGAATAATAAACACCCAAGCTTACATAGCAGCTTTTCGCATGAACGGCGTCGTGAGTCCCCAGCACGCGCCAACCATAAGGAAGCCTATGATCCAGCGGAAGACGGAAGGTTGAGGCTCATTGGCCACGGGCGCGTCGGGATCCATTGTTCGATAACAAGTGAACTATTGACAGAAATACCGTGTTAAGATGGTGACGCTCAAGCCGTAGATGCTATCGTCGTCGCGTTGGTGCAGTCGTCATGCCCTGAGACCTGTGAACGGCAGATCCACAACAGTCTCGACGACGCGCTAAACTAGCCGTGCGCAAGCCTCAACACCACTGCTGGGTATCGTGAACGTGTCCTCATACCATTACCACCACCATCATCATCGCCACCAGATGTTTTTGCTGCCTCTCATAGCTCCTCGGTAGCTTCCTGAAAGTGACATGAGATATCCATCGGTCACATGCCATAGGGCTAATCGAACCACATGAGACAGAAGACAATGCCGTCACGACCTAGTGAGGACAAAAGCGAGGCCCAACAGCGTCACGGCGCTTTGGTTTCTGCTGTTTTGCACCCTTCATGATGGACGATCAATTCACCCCGGGCCATAGCAAATTTGAAACCGCGCCGTCAAGGTCGATGTGCATGTTTGGTTCTCTTTCGCTCCCAGTATGTGCAACGCGCATCAAACCGTCCTTGACTCATGCCTTGCACGAAAATACCTAACCCAGTTACCCAGGCATCCTTCGTCTACGCTCCTGTACTCTGAACTAGTCACGTCCTGTGACTCCACTACCGTTCTTTGTCACTTCCGATTCTCATTCACATCACCTAAGTGTCAGTCTGCGTCTTACAGACTCTCGGCGTGGATGGGTATTGCAAACTAAGAACTATTTACAACATGCGTGAATTCCGAGTTCCAGACCCTCGGTAGTTGAGGTGTTAGGACTGTCTCATTGGTATGAAGATGTCGTAAATCACGGGACTCGATCAACGGCCTTACCTTTGCAACTCATGCAGCTGCACAGGCACTTCAAACGTTGGTTCTGAAACCACCGTTCGTACGACCTCCCTACCTCACCGGTCAGGTCAAGCTTCGGCATACACAAAGAGATGAACTAACAAAGAATCTCATCTACAAATCGATTGTCGTGTAACGGGTACCTGCGGTATGGACGACGCCTCCAAAGAAAATACGCCAACGCCCGGTATATGGCTGCATGAGCACGCACCTCTTGTCGTCACTAAATATCCAAACGCCCCGGTCGCAAGTTCGTAATGTTCGGGACCTAAACGGTGCCGACGCCTCAAAAGTACTTGAAACGAAAGGGTTGGGGCTTGGTCATGCCCCATTCCAACCCTGGGTCAGCCCGATTCGACTTAGTACGCTAAGTATAGCTGGAATGTACACCGAGTAGGAGATGGCGGGCAAGGTGCTCTGCCATATTTGGGTGCAGAATTGAATGTCTCTAGTCTGGTTTGTTCAGCACGTTTGTTATGAGGCATCATTGGCACGTTACAGAAATTGCTCCCGTGGGCTTGCAACCACTACAGCACATTTACCAGTAAGGTACAAGTACCGTGTTAATCTCATCGCCTGTTCTACTACCAAATGCGACGATCCTCGCTTACCTACCTAGCCACTTCCTGAATACAACACGCAGGCACGTGAGAGATTTACTTCACAATATTATTATCCACCAACACTCTACCGGAATTATGCCAATGCGGTCCACTAACGATAAAGAGGTTGACGTGGTCGATCTGGACCGTCTCTTCGAAGAGTATGTTCAAACAGACTTGCTCAATCATTTCGGCGACTGCAACCCCAAACAATCAAGCTCGGGTGAACCAAAGCATCTTTTTGACTCAGTTCTGTCGAATGAGAGCCAGCTTTTTGGCACTGGGCCTATACTTGATCGGGAAACGCAGGCTGCTTGGCACAAGGCTCTCGAAAAGTACGAACAAAACCCAACCCTGTTGCGAGCTGAGGACTCTATCTCATCTTCTTACGTTACTTCGTCTACTGGTAATGAATCTTTCAGCGATTCTGAGTTGCTAAACCTTGACGACTTCTTTGAACTAGAAAGGAAGCAATCGAGGTCCATCTCTCAGCCTCCTACAACTCGACCCCACACTTCCGGACGATCTGTTAAAAAGGCTGTATCGATCTGCAATCAACTGAGACACCGTGGTATCTCAAAGACCTCTAAAAGGTTGCATGCTTCGACTTTCACAAAGATGATGCAATCGTATCAACACCAACCTTCAGCTGGCAATACGTGGACCCGCAAGACGGACAGTTCAACGAATTCATTCACAGGAGCCTCATCACATGGCATTGCTTCGCCCCCGCTATCAACCAAGGCCAAAAGCAATGAGTTTTTCGTCCAGGGGCATTATCAGACCTATGCCGATAACTATTCTAACCTACCAAACAACGGATCTGGCTTCCTTAATTACCAATTGACGCCTTGCGCATCGCCAGCAATTGGAACCCCTAGCATCAGCGGTAGCGGCTTCGATAGTGGTACGGGGCTCACCTCTAGCTCTTCCAGTGCGCCAAGTGCGGCTCTCTCAGCCTTGCAGACCCCGCCCTCTTCTCTCCAATTATCTATGACAACGTGGGACCCTAACACATCACCATCTCTGGATGCCGGCTTCTCAGCCTCGTGTGATTCTACCGACAGCACACAAACTACAGGCTGGTGGGATGGGAACGTTTCCGCCAGTCACCCTCTCCATTCGACCAGCTTCAGCCAAAGCAACTCACTATCCACAAGCCAGAATATGAGATCGGAAGGATTGGGAGTATCTTGCGGATCGGCTCCGTACGGCTTTGGTACTGTGCACGATGGTTTTTCTGCCTCCAGAACCTGGGCTGCATTTGACATGGTTAACTATGGTGTCATGTACAATACGCCGTCTCACCAACAGCGACAGCATCACGCGCAACACCACGTCGCCCCTATCAGTCAGTCAGTCTCGCGCTCTCCTTCGCCACGCGCCGAAAAACGCTTTCATCGGCTGTCGCACGCATCTAGCCACCGCATCAGCCAGTCGTCAATGAGACGCAAATTTAGCAACACTTCCCAGCAATCCTCAAGGCAGATGAGCACAAGTAATGGTGGAGTTGGTTTCGTAAACTTCACGCCAGATGACAGCCGCAAGATCCTCACAGGCGTGGCACCCAGCGGGTCCAGCAAAACTAAAGCACGGCGGGAGAAAGAAGCCGCCGACAAGCGACGGAAGCTTAGCCGCGCAGCGGTGAAGGCTGTAATAGAAGCTGGTGGTGATATCGATAGCTTGAGAAGATTGGAAAGGGAGGGCGTGCTGGTTATGGACGGTTAACGAGGCGATTTTACAGACTCGGGCATTTGTCTGTTCACGAATTTCTTCTTTCGCTCCCAGAATATGGGGCCATTGTTTTAATATACGATTATGACACGTCACGCGCTTGTGGCGCGATGATAAATGCATGAATGACTACCTTTGAATTGCTGGTTGCCGTGCGTGACTGATGTGCACTTCGCTGTGTACTTCGCTGTGTGAGTAGCTGCTAGCTACTTGTTGCAGCGCGACGGTCTGAGCTGCCAGCCGCTGGCGACCCGTCGGATGGGAGATGTGGAGTCGTATGGTCTCGCTGCTTGAGAAATCAGCATGACATGCTGTTTCAACCTTTACTGCTCGATATATGGATGCCTCGCCCTCGCCCTCATCTTCAGCCGGCAGCCTCAACCTCCAATCGTCCGAGCACAGCTTCTACAACGCCCTTGGCACCAATTCCCCTCTCCACACCACCAAGGCTCTGCTCCTCAGCTTCAAGCTCGACTGCGCCCTCGTAAACCTTGACGATTGTATCCTCGTCCACTTTGGCGCCACATGCTACCAAGCCCCTGATCAAGGTACTGACCCTAGTTATCTCCCGCATGACTGGCGGCTCGATGTCGTCGTTTTGGCTCGAATACAGTGTCTCAGTCACACTCTCGTCCAGTCGGTTGATGCCCATCTCCTTTGGGTCAGCATTGGTTGTGATGTGCTTGCTGATGAAAATGTAACCGTTGACGCCAAGTACAATGTCGATCTCGCCGGCCGCCGTGTTCAGCGTAAAGACCTGCCGTCTACTCCTCACAACGCCACCCTTGCGACTCAATATGCCGCCTCCAGCGCCACTCAGACTGGTGAACAGACCGTTGCGCAGCTTCCCGTATTTGAGCGATCGCGTGTGGAGGGAGGCGGTGCCGTCCTGGTGCAGACTCTGTACCTCGGCAACGAGCAGATCGCCTTCTTGGAAGAAGGTCCGGATATTCAGTTCATCTACGGTTGTTCTTCGTCGCAACACTCCACCGGGCAGGTTTATACTAGACAAAGGCAGGTTTGCGTGCATTGGCGCTGCAATGTCCACATTCCACTTCTTTGTTCCCACTGTCACTATGCGTCCTACGACCAAGTCGCCAATTTCTGGTTGGTATCGGGCGCGCAGCGGCTGTACCGAGAGCAGCTTGTTTGTTTTGTGCAGGGTACCGGCGACGGTGGATATTATCGTCGTGGAAGACGGAGGCATGGATGGAACATAGGTGCCGTGGCCGCGCATCCATTGCGGGTCCGAGGTTATGGCTTCACCGGGTGTCACTATCGCCTTTGAGTCGGAAGTCACGAGGTCGTCGTCCTCCATGTCCACGTCCGAGTCGTCCGGGTCGTCTCTTGCATCGCGCCGTGGTGGGAGCGGTGCGCTGGGTGGGAGGATCGAGATTGGCATGGCCTGTTCGCGCTTGTACCCGTGGGATATCGTGGGCGTACTGGTCGTGTCGTTGGCTACCGCTCAGAGCTTCGGAAATTTTGGCGGGCATGGGAGCTGCCCGGCCATCCCTGCAGAGCTTTCTGGATGCGGGCTAGTCTCGACGCGTCTGCCCATGGCGGTCGCGTCCGACGTCATCCCATCAATAGCACCGACATCTTTGCACAGAGTAACAGAGTGAAGCTCCATGGCGCCTGTATCATCGTCCCCTGCTGTGTCCAGTTTCAACGAGCCCTTTATCTCGGCCCTCGATGTCGCTGCGCCTAACAACGCCAACGATGATCCCAACTACTATGCTCGTTATCCGCGCTCACTGATCACGACCTCTCATCTAGACGCCTTCATGACAGGCACCGGTTCCACCATCTACGAATCTTTGGTACCCCTGCTTGAGTCTGCCTCTCATGAGCTCATTCTCGTCACCTGCTTCTGGGCCGGGTCCAAGACCCTCGACACGCTCAATAAGGTTCTGAGAAACCTGTCTGAAAAGGCCGTCCGGAGAGGGACAGACAAGATCAGGGTTCGACTATGCTTTTCTTCCAGCTCAGTCTTTCAGAAATTATTCCACAAGCAAGCTACTACAGGCCAGACGTATTCATCGTCAGCATGGGTCAAGAAGCTGGGCTTACCTGACCCATCTGAATTGAACGGACTGGACCTCACCATCAAGTCTATCTTCATTTTGCCATTCTCAGTCATGCATCCAAAATTCATCCTCATCGACCGGAAAACCGCAGTGTTACCGAGTTGCAATATCAGTTGGGAAGAATGGTTCGAGGGTGCTGTCACCCTCACAGGACCTGTTGTCGAACAGTTTCTCAAGTTTTATCGCACTTTTTGGGAGCGGCGAGAGGATGCTCCAACCACCCTCGATGCTCCCGAAGGTGTAGCAGTCAAGTTCCAAGATGCATTGACATCTTCGCAATTACTGTCGGCTCGGGATATACACACCATTTTCCTTCCAAGCCCGCACCATCGTAATCCACGCTTTAGCTTCACCGGAGCTCAGGATGCCCTCCAAGCCCCGCCAACTCCCTTGAACGTTTTCATACTCACAATCTTCGCAAAGGCCGAAAGAAGCATTCGTATACAGACACCAAACGTGACTGCACCACCCGTCCTATCCGCAATACTTCGAGCGCTTGCCCGTGGTATTGACGTCCGGATCTTGACCTCTGAACGTCTCATGATACTCGAGCAATTAGTTACAGCAGGTACTACAACCTCACGTTGCATCAAGAAGCTCATCAAACGCTATCAGCAGCTGAGTCACGACGGTGGCAACCCAAACGACGAAGAGATGGCTATAGCGACTCCCAAGCCTGGCCACTTACATGTAGCGTACTTCGAGCCGATCGGCGGGCCTAAAAAGAGGGGTAATGAGGCAGGGGAGCCTCAACAGTCGCATCTCAAGATGACCATAGTGGACGACGAGGTGCTTGTTCTGGGCTCTGGGAACTTTGATCGGGCGAGTTGGTTCACGAGTCAAGAGTTGGGTGTTGCTTTCTTCGACAAGGAAGTGGTCAAGAAGGTTGGGAGTGCAGTTGATCAAGGTACACAAGGGAGAAGTAAAGTAGTGTTTGACAGTGAGCGCTAATCTGGATCGCGTAAGACGGTCTATGTCTAGCAAGTTGTATTGACAGATATAGCGGTGACCCTCATACACATTCCTTTGCACTTGTTTTTGTAGAACAAGAAGAGAGTATGGAGTTGATTGTTCTATGTACGAAGGAGAAGTCCCTTGTTTATATAGGGACGAGAGAGTACGCTAGTGAGTGAATGTAAGTGGATCACGTGAGAGGATGCAAACCAACAGTTTTCCGGGTCTTGTTGTACTCAAGGGCGACATCTCTAAATAAAACACCATGGAGTGAACCGATTCATGCAATGATACGTTTACTGACGAATATACTCAACACGTTGACCTTACAGGACGCAAGGTGTTGAGCATGGATTGTACTGCGCTCGGCCTTTGTGGCCGGAGCATTGACCGACAGCAGGAAGCTCACTAGCATCTCAGCCAGTCGACGAGCGGAGTAGGGTGTCTGTCTTTACGGAAGAATATGTACAAGCTGCGTGATATCTACGCTCATCGCCTAACCACTGCCCAAACGCCTCAACGCCAGACAAGCGCCAGACCTAGAAGCAAATGATAGTGCGCATGCCATGTCTCCATGTGGCGAACTGTATGGAGTATATCGATAAAAGGTAGATGTCGGTACAGTCCAACCATCTCTTGGGGGAAATAAATAAAGCGGTGAAGTAAAAGCGCGAAAACATCAAAAAGTCCATGTGATCCACATCAGCACTTGACGGATCGTCCCAATTGCATACCAGAACCATGCAGATCGAGAACTTGAGGGTATGCCAACGTAATCCAATCAGACCCAAAACAATTCCCAGCCCAGCTGCGCATAACCAAAGGCGCTGCCATAATCTAATGTTGAATGTTGTATGTATTAGTCGTGTTTCGTAGGGCTTTGTGCCAGTCGGCAGCCCTGTTCAGCAGCGCGATGCTGTGGGGTAATAGGGTCTACATGGAGCCCATGGCAATGAGTGCCTCGATAGCGTCGCGCTCAGCGCCAGATCCGGCTACACCAGCCGATGCATTGAAAACGGAAGAAGTCAAAGGAGAGCCCGCGTTCACGACGTGATTACCGTGGGATGCATGAGGAATAGTAAGGAAAGGTTTGTACGTGGGCGTCGCAGTGCGTCCGTGATGAGGCTGAGGCAGAGAGTGGGCCTGGGCGGATATGCTCCGATAGCGCGGGTTGCTCGTCTGTGTTCGGCTTAGATAGTTGTAATCGCGGTGTTCTCGGCGCGGACCGCGGCGGGTCTCGCGAAGAGCTTCAGGCCCCATGGTCGCCCAGTCTTCTTGATCAGTGTCGTCATTTAATTCTTCTTCCAAATCCATGTCCGAAGCCGAGTCGGACTCGGTACTGCCTTCGGAGTCGTCCAGCGACATCTGATCAGCCATCTCTTCGTCTTCGCCCTGGCGGTGCGGCGACCACGAGCCAGCGTTCCAGCTGCCAGAGTAGACGTCGCGTTCTTGTCGCAACTTTGGAATCTGGAGGCTGCCTCCGATACTATCAACACTGTCTGGTGGTGTACGCCCATTTCCAGAGCGCTTACCGCCAATGGGCATGCCCGCAGCCTGGGAGCCGGAGCCAGCTACACTCCAACGCCCCCAGCCGACTTTCTCGAACTTGACCTCGCCGTGCAGGCCGCCGCCAGCGCGATGTTCCAGCGCTGCAACGACCAGCCTACGGGCCTTCGCAGGGGGTAGGCCAGAGAAGCCAGGTACCGCATGCGTCAGATGCGCCATCATCTCGCGGATGGGCATTGCGCCGTGGCCCTCGATGATGTCTGGCAGATGGTGCTTGGCCAGCATGAGGGCCGTAATCTGGCGCGTCGCATCCAACCCAGCCAGCGCCTCCTTGGAGAGAGCAGAGGGCTGGTCCTGCGCTGCCGCGTGTTCTACCGCATCCTGGAGGTCTATATCCATAGACTCCTCTTCTGGTGTGTGCAGACGGCCGGCTACAGGCACGGGGCGTCGCTTGTGCGCAGGAAGGGTCGGAGAGATGGAACTGGGCGGAGTAGGGAGAGTGCCAGTCGAAGCAGCGTGGCCACTGTCCTGACGACCAAAGGCCATGGCGATGTTGGACATGGGCTTCTGGGCGGAAGCAGCCATGTTTACTGGTACGAGGCAGGGGCTGACGAATGAGTCAAAGCGCGGGTTGACAGGGCAGTCGCAGTGGGTGGATAGGAGGCCTGGAGGGTGGTTTCGTCAGTGACGGCGGACTTTTGATGCTGTGGTTTATCCAAGACGAAGTTGCAGCGTGAGGCGACTTGGTCTGGCGGCAAACGTACCTGAGTGTCTTGGGCTTGGACTGTCGGGTATCGACGGTAGGGCGTGTGGTGTGCAGCAGGAATTTGGGTGCAAAATTCAAGACAGCGACCGAACTGCCTTGTGCGACAAGCGAAGGGCAGTTATGGGGCAGATATGCGCTGGCGTTGGGTTGTTATAGCAAGCTGCAGCAACGTAGCTTGTGCCTTCACCGTTCCGAGACGTCTGGCGATCGGCGATGTGATCAGCGAGTCGGTAACGGGAGGATGCAGGCAGCGGGTCGGGGCAGCAGAGGCGAGATGTGGTTGAGGCGAACAGGAGCAGGCAAGGTGCAGTGCGCAAGTCAGAAGAGGCTCAATATTGGATTGTGGGCTATGTTGTGAGTCTATGAATCAACGAGGCAGGCCCTCTATGATAAGGCCTCCTTGGTTCCGAAGGCAGCTGGAACCAAGGCAAGGCACATGCACGCGCATCTGACAACCCCCAGCTCCGACTCGTGCCCCTGCCATTGGCGCACGGACAGCCACACCTCCCACAAGCGTCATGGAATTTCGCCTCTCGCTGCAGCAGGGACTCGAAGCTTAGAAGCAGGGCAACATTAGAGTTGCACCACGCCCACCGCCCCGATTCCCTATCGTGAGGCTGCCTGCACTCAACAGTGCCATGCTGCTTGCTCGAGCCCGCACGCCGCCATCGCCATGGTGCCTTCCGTTTGCAGCCGATGCCCCATATCAGCATCTTGTCCATCGGCTCCTCGTCTTGGCCATCCGTCTCTCCATGCCTCGCACCCCCAACAGCCATTGGCGCCATCATTATCGCGCTGCGGGGTCCATCCCACCACCATAAGGTCCGATTTCGCTAGCAGCGCAACCACCCTCTGCCACACGTGTTTCTCCGACAGGCCGCACACTGCAAGACATCCCGTCGCAACACATCGCCAAACCTTATACAATGCCTGGTGCCGACGCGCCGGACGTCTTGACCGTCAGACGCATGACGTGAGCTGCACCACCCAGTGCGCCGGCGTGGGAAATGCCTCAACCGTGATTTGCGTTAACCACGTACTTCGTGATCGCCTGGTGGGTCGACATAGCATTAGCGATGCGACTACACACACACAAAAGTTCGACCCAAAATACAACATACCGACTTGAGCACGTTGATCTGCTGCACCGTGCGAGTGAAAACGGCCCGGTACTGCTCTAGATTCTGCTGCACCACTTCGTTGCGCGTAGTGCGGCCTTCGCAAATGGCCTTCATCTGAACTTCCATCTGCCCACAGTGTTAGTGATCATGTCGGGTCATCAATGCCCAACAAACCCCACGAGCACCACTTACTTCTTTCCGGAGGAACGGCTTGCTGAGGCTCGTCTCAAACCCCACGTTGTCGTATCCTTCAATAAGCGCGATACCCAAAGTCGTCGGGATAAACTCTTGTACTCCACCCGTGCCTCCTCCGCTGTTCTGACTTACTGCTGCGCCGCCTCGCCCACCACGTCCCCCTCTTGCACCTCCTCTTCCCCTTCCGCGCCCTCTGCCTGCACCTGCCCCATTGGCGCCCGCCGTACCGCCACCCGCTTTAAGTCTTGCCATGACGTATTCGCGTTCCTTGATCTTGGCAATATGCTCGGCCATAGTTGCATCTGTGCCGATGCCATTGGCGTCCATGAGAGCGATGAGCTCAGGCTCAGTGAGATAGCTGGGTGCCGTCGTCTGTCCGTCCAGCATGTTTGCTTCCGTGGGCTCCAAAGTCTCGCCTATTGTGTACTGTGGCAGCACTTGACTGCTCTCCCACTTGTCGTATGGATAGACGTCAAGGTAGTTCCTTGCAATGACGGTAAGACCATGTGCGTGAAAGACCTCGCTTCCATATTCAATCTCGATATCTGTGGATTCGCCAATAGCATCTTCGGAGCAGCATGCGAGGAAGCGGCGAACAACAAATTCGTAGACGGTGCGCTCTCTGTCGTTGAGCTGGGATGAGGCGACATAATTGACAGGATGGATGGGCGGATGTGCTTTGTCATTGTTGCGGCCCTGGCGAGGTTGGTGAAAAGCACCGTTCATGAGACTCTGTGCGAATGGACCCCAGCGCCCATCTTGCGTCTGCCGTCCGACAAGCGCTCGCAGGTCCATACCAGCGTCAAACTGGTCAGTCTCGGTGCGTGGATAGCTGATCCAGCCTTTCGTATACAAATCTTCGGCCACTTTCATGACGTCTTGTGAGGTCATACGAAGGAACCTACTTCCCATCTTCTGTAGCTCCACTGTCGTCAGAGGTAACGGTTTCCATTTTCTGGTGGGCTTTTTTGCCATCTTGATGACTTTCGCCGTCTTTGAAAGCAGACATCGCTCGAAGATAAGGGTTACTGCCATGCGATCGAAAAGATGGCCTCGCCGCCAGTTGAACTTGGCATCGATTCCGTCCTTTGTGTGCGCAAGTTTAATGTACCAAAATGGCTCTGGAACAAAGTTGCGTACACGCAGATATCGGTCGACGACGAAACCTAACGTAGGGAATTGACAAGATCCGTAGCTGATCAACTTGCCTCGCTCGTCGCCCTGTTGAGGGATCATGTTTTGTAGCGCCAGTGTCTGCATGCGTGTAAAAGCTGCACCGAGACGCAGGTCTAGCTCGATTCGCGCTGAGACAGCTTGCGCCTGCGCTTCATCTAGGCGAATAGGATTCTGAGAGGCATGTATGACATGACTGGGGAAGGTTAGTTTACATGAATTTTCCATGGTGCAGTGATACAGACGCTCTCTCGATGTTGCTGAAGCGCGCTCTCCAAACCTGCATATTGGGATTCGCTCTCAATGCGATATCCCGAATCTCGGTTCCGATATGCTCGCCTTCGCGATCACAATCGGTCCAGATGAACAGAATGGACGCATACTTGGCTTGGGCTTCAATGTTGCTTGCTACAGCCTTTTTGTCCTGTGAACGCATCAGCCAGCTTCACGCAATCAGATCTATATTACTCACCTCTGCAATGCTCGATACTATGGGAGCCTCGAACAGTGCTGAAGGCTGACATGAGTGCCATTTCTTGAACCGATCATTGAAGTCTTGTGCGACGATATGCCCTGCAACGCATGTGAAGGTTACAGAACATTGCCCCCAGGATTGGAAGCGAAAGTCAAATTTGTAATTCTTGACCCACTGAATACCTCGGACACTTTCCTATCTGAAGTCAGTCTTGCGTTCGATCGGCAGTCCAAAACCAGAAGGTGGTCGCGTCCTTGATGTCTAGCACTACCAGATAGCACGAAGACCCTTGCAGTGCGTTTAGCCATCAGCGTGCTCATAAAGCACAAGTGTAAACTGTATGGGTACAGGATGGTATTGTATGAGACAATGCTAGCACCTACTGCTCGTGCTTGGCCACCCAGATGGTTTGCGACTGCCTTTGCAATCGATGGCTTTTCCGCTACGCACAACACTCGAGTCATGCCTCCGAAATGTCGTTGGAACCATAAAAGGGGCTGAGACTGATCTTGGAGGGATGGCGATGGTCATGGTCATGTGAAAACGCGTCGAACTAGATTGGCGCGTGGTGTGGAGAGCCGCACGGGCGTCCCTGCAGCCCGCTAACGTGGAAGCCAGGGAAATTCATGAGGTCATTGTTCGCCGCAAACAACAAACGCTAACTCCAGCTTGTGAGTGAGGGAGCATCGCAACATCTTCACCATCAACAAACCTCATCGAGACGATGCCCAACCCCCGGACATACATGGATATGGCGCTGCCCCTTGTCAAGACGCTGCCCGAGTGCGCCGACTACTTCAAGACGGTAGAGCCGTTCCTTCCCCAATACTACGACCTCCCGCACAAGGTCGCAGCACACATAACCGACCCACAGGCACTCAAGGCCCTCTATGTCAACACCAACCCGCTCATGACAGCGCTGGCTTTTGCCACCATGTTCGTCACCCCCATCGTGCTTGCCGTCTCGGAGATCAACCGCAACTACTCGCAAGTCGACCGGCTGTGGAGTCTGCTGCCCGCCATCTACAATGTCCACTATGCAGTTTGGGCCCATCTCAACGGACTGCCGACAATGAAGCTGGATCATGTCATGGCTGTCTCCATCATCTGGGGTGCTCGCTTGACCTTCAACTACTGGCGCAAGGGCGGATACCAAGTTGGCAGCGAAGACTACAGATGGAACATTGTCAAGGACTACGTTGGTGGACCTGGCATGTTCATCTTCAATGTCACTTTCATTTCGCTTGGGCAGAATGTGAGTATTCTTGTACCACGTGCATTGGGTGCAAACATACTAACTGTGATAGATTCTGCTCTGGCTCATCACCACGCCTACGTACATTCTCCTTCTCGCCAATCGTCTCAAGGGCAACGACATCACATCCTACGATTCCTTGTTTGGCCGTTCCATGGTTGCTATCGTTGTTCTGGAGTTCTTCGCTGATCAAGCGCAATGGAATTACCACAAAGCCAAGGGTGCATACCAGAAGACCGCCAAGGTACCATCTGACCTTAAATACACACGTGAGCAACTAGACCGCGGATTCAACACAACCGGTCTTTTTGCCTGGTCGCGCCACCCCAACTTCGCCGCTGAACAAGCCTTTTGGGTATGCTTGTACCAATGGTGCTGCTTGGAGACTGAGACCTACGCCAACTGGGCATTCGCAGGTGCATTCGGATACCTGATCCTGTTCCAGGCCAGCACTTGGCTCACCGAGCTACTCAGCGCCGGCAAGTACCCTGAATACAAGGTCTACCAAGAACGTGTCGGCAAGTTTCTTCCCAAGTTCAGCACCAAGAGCATGGAGCTGCCGCAAACCGAAATGGAGAAGCAGAAAGTCAAGGACGCAAAGGCCGGTAAGGGTGCTATGAAAACTAAGTGAGATCATGTAGCAAAGACCTACGAAGGCGTTCCGAGACGTAAAGCTAGCTAGGGGAGGGTGTGGGCTGTGCGTCCAGTCGAGGCAAGCTGGCGACGTAGATCTAACGACAAAGATGCGGTTCCGACATGAGCATGTTCACATGGCCAACATACATATTAATTTAATTAACTAGTATCATGAATCGAAGAAAGTAAGACAGCTACTCTGTCTGACCCCAAGAGAAGACTTACGCGCCTTGTTGTTCTACATTCCTGACGACTCTTTACAACATGTAGATAAAGAACACTATCATAAGAGGAGAGTAAGACGTAGTAGTGAAATCCAAGAAGTATGCTTGTCTCCGACGCGCACACCTATACAAACCTCTTTGTAGTAGCATTACCACTACCAATAGTGCTGACATCCGGCGCACCAACAAGAGCCAAATTTTCAATACCAGCAACACCATATAATGCTGCCGCATTTGTGCTGACCCATGTAGCTTCATCAACAGGGATAAGTGCATCGCTTCCATCGACCCTTACTCTCGCCCATGGAGCACCGGGCGCAAGGCCGTCCTTGCTACCATCGCCCAAGAATTCTGACCAAACTCTTGGAACGAGTGTCGCGTTGTTACGATGGTTAGCTACATAGGCAGTGAAGCGGGAGTGGCCCTGCATCAGGCTGAGATTGCCAAAGTCCTTGCCGTACCGGGCCCTCTGCTCGGCTTTCCCAGCGCCGTAGTAATAGCAGTAGTCCAGGAATGCGTCGAAGAAGGGTTGGGTGACATTCTTCTGCTCCGCACCAAAGTGATCCATTAGTTGATCAATGGTTTCAAGAACGCCAAATACACCAGACAGATGCGAAACGGTAACGTTGCCGGTGTTGTTCGGGTCCGTAGGTGGCGGTGCCCAAGCTCCAGTAAGACTGTTGTAGAATGCCTCGCCGGTGGCAAATCCGTTCTTGAGCTTGGGATATGTCACAATAGATTCGACAAGCTTTCTGCGCGAATCTTCCCAGCGTGGCCCACGACGCTCCCATTCAATAAGGTATGCTTGTGCAATACCAGCCCAATCAGTTCCGAAGTTGAGGAACAATGCTTCAGGGTCAGGGTTGTAGACAATACCGGGCTCTCGCACCTTGCGTCTTGCATCTACACGAAGGAAGGCTTTGTCGGCATCAATGACCTCGCGTACCAGGTCACCAGTCCGCTCATCACCACCAGAGATGTAGTAAAAGGTCTTACGGTAGACTGGAGTTGAGATCCTAGCCTGTTTGGCGCTGTCCGACCAGTGCTGAACACCATGCCTCGTACCAAGCCCAGTGAAGTTTCCCATATGATACGAGTCAACCTCACCTCCATGACGCACTTGGTCGTGGGCAATCTTGTAAGCATCTGCACGGCCAGTGCGCAGGAAGAAGTCCCAAAAGAAAAGATCCGGTGACAGCTCTGAATTATCCCAGGCATAGCCACCGACATCGTACCTCCATTGATGGCGGTCGTCATCATATGTATGCATGATATCCCCATGGTCCCAGAAACCGTACCAGCGACGCTGCTCGATTTGGTCTTCGTAGAACTTGATGAGGAAGTCCATGTTTGACTCAATAGTCTGCGCTTGGGTGGACTCAATGGTACCAGGCACGTCCCAATACGACCCGATTGCTTTTGTATCCCGCATGTACTCTGGCTCGGCGATAAGAACAGGTGGGTTGTTGGTGAAGTTGGTGAGTGTTGCAAGATGTTCAGCGGATGGCGTGGTGTCAAACGCGTAGATATAAAGCTCGTTAGTCCGACCAAGGCCGTAAGGAGTATCATAGCCCCCTTCCCAGTCTTCGTAGGTGATGTCCAGAGCGTCTAGTTGTTTCTTGTAGGTGTCTTGTCCAAGTCCATCATGGTATGGACGGATGTCCATAGGTCCGGCCTGAGGGCTGTAAAGCCACAGGGTGATCGATCCTGTGTCAGTGGCGGCGTTGGATATGTCCAGACTAGTAGGATACTTCTTCCAGAAATCACGAAGGCCCACGGCAAGACCGCCAACCGTAGCTCCTCCTAGATAAGCCAGGCCGCCTGATCGTGTACCACCTGGAATTTTGACCCAGCTTTGGCCGGCCTTTGTGCGCTTCTTAAGATTGAAGCCATCAGGCGAGAGCTGTGTTAGGCGGTAGTCGCTCCATGTCGGGATCCACTGTAGACGAGTAGTCACTCTTTGGTCCCACGTGGAGTTGGGCGGTAGGACAGTACCATTGAATTGTCCAGATCGAATATCGACACCTGGATCTCGACGTAGACCAGTAACGCCCTTGACGGCTTCGTGAAGAATTCCGCCATCAACACCCGCAATTCGGACATGGCGATCGTAAAACTCCTCTTCGGCGAGGGGAACATCGAAGCGAATACCGATACCCGAAAGAAAGTCTTTATGCATATCTCCATCATAGATGATGGTGTGAATAACGCGAATCGCTTCAGAATTGGCGTAGAGGTAGAAGCGAACAGTGAAAGGAATCCAGTCATTGTGGGCACCATCTCCGTCAACAGTATGAACACCATTGACTGTGACCAACGTACGGACGGTGTTATCCTCCGACACTGTGACATTGGATACCTTGCTGGTAAAGCTGAAGTGTTCAATGCCGGTCAGCTTACCGTCCTCGTCATCATCGGGTGTACCGTTTTGTGAGCGTAACACTAGACGACCGTTGCTTCCGACTGTCTTCCCGCCAACCTCAATGGCAGATACCAGGACATTGCCTGACTTAGGAAATGTTGCTGCGACCTTGCCGGCGTTGACAACGATCTCCTCGCCAGAGTCGTTAACTTGGATGCCGTTGCTTTGACGCTTGAACTTCAAGGTTGAAGAATCGCCTGCACCTGAAGCTGTTACCGTGTACTCGTTAGCAGGAGACTCGCTGGCTCCCAGAGCATGCCCGGTCCACTTCAACGTTCCATCTGGCCAGTAGGCTGTGACCCACGACTGAAGGTCCGCGCCTCCAGACACTGTGAAGGTTGTAGTGTTCGCAAGGTGCTGTCCACGAGGCCACGGTAAACCGAACGTTACGCCAGCGAGGTATTCTGGTGTATCGTCGATCCATTTGACTTTGACGGAGTCGCTTTGAGCGGTCGCATAGCCGACAAGACCAACAAGGCCAATGAAGGCTTTCAGCATCTTGAGATGAAGCAAAGAGTGAAAGAAGTCGCAACCAGATGGAAGGCTTATTCTCCTGCCTGATGGCTCGAGACGCAAGCATTTGTACTTACATTTTCGACCCAGATACCCGGTTACAGCTTGACTGCAACGGGCCTTGACCCATCTAATGTCCGGTCTACCATCACGCTTACGGTATGATATCCGTCGGCTAGCCCGCACGCAAGAGTGTGTCCACCATACGTGATGTACATGGTTTTAAACGAGTTTGGTCCATGCTTGGCGAACCTTGTAGGCTATAGGTGGTAGTGTAGGCTCTGCGGAGGTGGGGTAGATCGACAGGGTTCCTAGGCAGGCGAAGACATCTCCGCAATTTAATCTCGGGATAAGAACGACCGAATCTATGGTATATGGACGCGATACGTGTGGAGGCGATGCTGTGAGCCAGGAAAAAAGGGGTAATGCCCTCGGATCGACTAAAAGTGACCACGAACAGGCTCAAGATGGTCAGCAATTCGAGCAAAAAAGAAACCAAGACCATACAGCAGCGGGGGTTCGCCAGCGGTCAGCCACCGACTACTGATAAGTCAGTCACAAGCTCAAGTACTGCTGAGCAGACAGGGCCGCTATTGATCTTGAGCCTATATTCGTATGTGGCAAGTTCAGGCAGAAGTCTGTATATGTCACCAGTGCAGACCCTAGCCAGAAAGGTCAAAACGCCAGGGGTGACTGGTGCCCAGCTGCTGTATCGCACGACGACGCGACAATCTTTGGTCCAAGCACAATGGTGAGAAGTTCGAAAATCAAAGTCCAAAATGAGAATTTGTGGCGAACGGTGGAAGCTTCCCGCGGTCGAACGGGGACGTGGCACACGCGAGCGCGTTACGATCTGCCAAGTGTGCTACGTTGAATCGCGCTACGCTGCTACTCGTCTTGGATGGCTGCATCTTCTAGGCATCGGCACAACAGACGGCGAAATATCTTCCTGGGATGTGAGCACCCGACAGCTCCGCGATGCTCATCAATCACATAGCAGCTCTTGACCTACGCCATGAACGGGATGCATTCCTGGCGCATCCTACTGCCGCGCACTCATGCCTCGCCTTCAACCATGCTGAAAGTTTCGCAGACAGTGGGACTAACGGATTCCTAGTCCAATGCGGCCTGGTTTCCAAGGCCGCAATGGTAACCACACAAGAGTATGTGAATGGATTGGTACACCTGATGAGAAATCTACCAACGATATGACTTTCCATGCGAAAGCCCGACATGGCGAAGAGAAGCGGCCGTACACGCGATGTGCCTTTTGCTACAACGAAGCGGAACTTAATCAAGCACTACTATGGATTGAGATGCAAACCTCCAAAGGTTGGTACTTGCTGCCGGTACCACTACCATTACCTTGACTGGATACGCCATCATGGCGAGCACCGCCTTGTCCATATCAGTTGTGTGTCCCTAGAGTTCTTTCAGGCTGGCTGAGAGGAAGTTGCACGAAAAGTATGTTGTGGTTTAGAGACAAGATAGGCTGGCGGTGAGGTAGTCATTAGATGCTGTAAACTCACTGATTGATTGATTGTGGCTGAACGAGCTATGTATAAGAGCACGAGAAGTAAAGGTCTGTACAAACGAAGGTCAGTGAGAGTTGAACAAGACAAACAATTGAGTTCTGCATGAGGCATGTTTCGTTATGAGCGAGATTTGTATCAAAGAAGAGAAGATAATGTGAATGGGTAGAGAAGTAATCGTGATGAATTTAGAAAGATCCTATTCCTCTTATTTTCAACAAAACCGCCAACTGACCTTACACGTTCCGTCTATCTTCCCTCCGATATCTCTCTAGTAAGTGACCTCTCCAAACTCCTCCTCGGAAAGGATCTCGTAAGTGTAGTCCTCGCTAAGCTCCATATCACACTCTTCGTAGTCATCGTAGAGGGTAGCGTTGAAGAAGTTGCACATGTCCTGAACAATAGGGCGTGCCTTGCTAAGTTCCTCAAAAGAGCAGGTTCCCTTACCACCAAGGGCAGCGGGAAAAGCGCAGGGCTCAATGAGCTTTGAAAATATTAGATAATATCCTATCAACACGACAAAGCGATCAAGTCTGGAGACTTACGGCAGAGTAGTGACTATAATTGATGCAGTGGCAAGTAAAGTCATGTTCGGCACAGATATCAGCTTTGTTAGCCTCATCCTGGCATTTGTGAAGGCACTCTGGCATCCAGCTGCTGAGTTTCTTGTTGTCCCTATTGCCTCCTGATTAATACGTCGGTTTAGAACTTCTAGGACATCTGAACCTACAAGCACTTGTACTTCTCCATGTTACCCGGCTTTTCTGCCTGAGTGATGTTGTACGTATATTGGGCGCTGGCCGCAGCGGCAACGGACAGAAGAGTGGCGATTTGTGTGAAACGCATGATGGCTATCAAGATGTGATGATTGTATTGTTGAATAGAAAGTTGAGGATATGAAGGTGATGCTTGAGGTTGTACTCCCACAGAAGAGAGAACGCCTCCCTTCTTATACGCAGATGTTGACAACACTATCGCCTCTTGCACTTGAAGTCAAAGCGTAGTATGCAGGTAGAAGACACCTGCAGCACTGTACCGTTCTGTCTCAACACTGCACGTGTAATATTGATCTATGCAGGAACATACTCTCGCATTGAGCTAGAGCGTGTTAGCGCATCTCGCAGATGACCATGTCTGTGAAGTATCTGAGCCCTGACAACTTCTTTCTAGAAGGCGGTGTTCATCCTCCTTCGCCCGGACTATATCACGACCAAGGCGGTACTTGCCTTACATCTGGCGGTGACAACAGTTTATTCAGTGTGGAATGACCGATCAACGGTTGAGAATCCATGTCAACTAGGCGATGGGAACATCAGTAAAAACACTCTCAAGCATTGCTCGATCCAGACATGGAGGAATTCGTCATGCATCATACATCAGCATTTCTATCCCCAGAAACGTCCTGTCCTCACTGTGAAGCCGGAAAGAGGGGAAATGAGATTAGCAAAGCTATGGTCAAGCGGGCGAATCACCGATAAGCGGTGTATGTAGCTTGAGAGAAGTGGTTGAGAGGACCGTGGAACGAGATGATGCATTGATCTGGTAGTAAAGGGGGTTTGGAGAGGAAAAGAAAATTGCTAAGGAGCTAGCCAGGGCCGGGAAGACGCAGCGTAACTCTTGCATATACGTGTGATTTACACCTGATGCGGTGTATACGACTTATGTGACTGACCGACTTCTACATTTGTGTTGAGGTGCTCCACTGGGAATTATACGTGACTGTGAGATGAGTTGCGTGGGATTCCATGACGAGGCTTTCTGAAAAGGCCTTGGTGCGTTGAGCTTCGGGACCCCGCATTGCCTAGACGCCTAAACACCAAACTCCAGAGCTTCCTTGCTTGTTGTTATCGAGACGTCCATACTCTCACCGCTTACCATAGTTCAAGATATGATCAATCCACACGGCTAATGGCTTGAGTCGAATCAACCAATTCACCTTTGCATCCGTTCATCGACAAGGATTGCGAAAAGTTTATGCGCAGCGCGTGCGTTGTCGCATTACGCTGGTGACAGCCCAAGCATGTTCGTCGACATCTGCCTAGCCATTCTTCCAGCAAGATATTTAATAATCGAACCCGACGGTTGCAAGGTCCGCAGGATGCATGAGTAAATGCTGCAATCTGCGACAAGATTTCCATGGTCGATGAGATGTTCGGCGAACTGCTGAAGATCTTTAGCAGCTTCGATGCCAAGAGCGCGCACAATCGCATATCTGTAGAGCCAATACTACTTGTCCTCACGGTCGATTTCTCGCGTGTCCGATATTAGAAGGACAGATGCCTTGCTCCTTTCGCGGCGGACAAGCCAGTGGAGGACACCCCTAGCGTTACCGGGTAAGATGTCACCAATAGCAAGAGGGACGTATGCGATGTATGGGCATTGCTCGTAGCTGGTCCGAAACGCCTGCGAACCTTTGCGAGTACTAGGAAGGGGAGCTCAATGGCTTATGAACGGTGTTCGCTATCGACTTGTTCGGTCATCTAACGATTCTGGTCCACTGAAACAATGCCTTTTGAAGCAGAACACTGCTCAGCGTAATCAAAGGGCGTGCCCGAATATGACACGACAAGCGGGATCGAAGGTACTTCTAAGAGGCTAGCATTTGTCTCGGACAACAGGCTGCCGAATGTATCCTTCGCGTTATGATTGAAAGGATGCGTAGTGTCTATTTTCATACTGCTGAAGCTATCTTGGAGCTGTACGCTTGCAACCGTGGCTGGGACGTTTCGATGGAGCAGTAGAAGCATCTTGTAACCTCGAGAGTTATTGCGGAGAACGACGAGTCTACCGAACTTTGTGGGCTCGTTTGGTGGGTATGTGCCTGCCTGTCTCGGCGATGGCACCCGCTAATTTATGATGACACAATTACGCGTTCATAACGTTACGGTTTGCCCTCGATAGGGTCCGAAGTAGCTTCTCTCCTTCAGGATGTGACGGTGAAAGCATGGCCGCAGTGAAGGTGGCTGATAAAGACAGTCGAGAGTATGGGACTAGCGTGCGACAATGGACCCACACAACGCCCTTGTTCAATACTCACCCCAACTTACTCACATCTACACACAACCAATTCGCATCCCAATCACGCATTCTTCTCATATATGGATGATCAGCACCATGACTAGAAAACGCAATACAAAATCGCGCAAGCCGCAAAAATCGGGTAATGGCGCCCATGATACTTTCCGTAGGACCGCGACGGATCCCCATCATCAAAGAGACGCAAGTAAAGCAATTCAAGACCAAGATCAAGTAGTGAAAGAAGGGCGTAGTAGGCGCGAACGTGGCGACATGCTCCGCCTATCGCCACGTCGGGGAGACGCTCAAGGTGAACGACAAGCTCAATGTCGAGATAGCAAACGGTCGCGTACCCCAATGGCAGCCCATACCATTCACGACGACCCAATGATAACCCAAGCAATCCGCAGAAGTCCAGTTCAAGGTGGGGTGGATCGGGTTCCCGTAAGGCGCAGACGAGAGGAGAATTACGACAACAAGCAGCGTGACTACAAGAAAGCACTCATCGAAGCTGGAGAAATGCAGCCGGTTGCAGGTACGAAAGCACCGCGCGACGAACGTACTCTGATGGAATATATTGGCAAGAATGGGCTCGAAAAGATTTCAGATCTGGCCGTAACCCAGGATATGAGTGAGGAAGAAAGGAGAAGGTTCCGCAGTACAAGGTTCAGGTCAACACTCATTGGTCCGAACAAAGCTACAATACCAAACACAGCTTCGGAGAAATCAAGACATGCTGAGCCGGTGCATAGTGGCAAGTACGATCACAAGACCGTGCGGACACCGCCAACAAAGGCAAGGTCAAATGTGTTGACTCCACACGCCCCTAATCGGAAGAGCGAAGCCAGTCCTGTGCGACAACCTGCTGCTAGTAACGAGCTCGCAGGTTTGCAATCGCGGGACGAAGCTTTTGACAATACCAATGTCGCAGTGCCCAAACTCCGGCAGCAAAGCAATAGCAAGATTGCATCTGAAATACAAGCTGGTGTGGTCGATACTAGAGAGCCTGTGGCGACAGCAAACTTTACTGCAGTTCCAAGCAAGGCAGATATGCTTCCGACCAAGCATAATAAGCGAAGACGAGATGAGATAGAAGATAATGACATGGTTCCAGCGAAGAGAAAAAAGAAGCCGGAGACGGTAAAGGTGAACTGCGTCGCTATGGAAAGACGGAACCAGAAAATCAAGCAGTATCTAAACGACCAACGATTGCATGTAGAGCAGAACCGCTTAACTGAAGAGGGTCTTACCTTCGTCGCCTATGACGCCTACAGCATACCCCTCCTTTGTTCGCGCTCTATCAATCATGGGTACCCATTCGAGATCGTGAACAAGCCATCTGATAAGTTAAAAAGATCTTTCGGCAACGAGAGCGAAGCCGAAGTCTTTGGTCGCAAGATGCTTGTTCTGCGGCAAGAGGCGCTCCGTCTGTCTAGGAAGAGATTTTGGACGGCTGAAGATCTGGGTCGCAAGAAGACTTCGAGGAGGGAGTCTGCTAGGATCATTGACGACTGCGATCTCTACCTATATGGTGACAAGGTTCACGTGGCTACTGAGCAAGGCTTGCTTCCAGTAGCAGTGTATCTGGAGCTCATAGGAGTTCCAGACACGCAGCCAGTACGCTTCGAAGGGCACAAACCGACTTGGATGGGCCTCATCACAACAAGGCCGGAGTGTCGACGAGTCCTGAAAACCTGGGAACCCACTTCCAGTTTGAAAGATGGGGGTTGTATCTCGATTACGAGCGGCTCCATAGTCGTGGTGTATGAGCATGGTATCTTTGACATTGATACCACGACTGGTGAAGAGTCCCAGATGGCTTATGGTGCGCGAATGGATGACGGCGTCGCCGGTTGGTTCGTGTATGCAAACACATGTCGTATGGACTGGCTTGAAGATCCAAAGGAGGTTTCCCGGACTACTCCTGATCTCGCCATAGCTGACTGGGCGAAATTCGACTTCAGTCCTCTCGCAGCTAGAGCTGCAGCGCAACGAGCGGCGCTACCAATGCCGACTGCTGAAGCCCAGGACACGTCAACCAACAATGAATACAGCGCGTTTCATCTACCGATATCAAAAGCATCAATGCTTTCCACACGTGATGAACCGGTTGTAGCAATAACAGCAGCCAACACGCAAGAACCTGAACTGGATGCCGAGTCTACGCAGTCCAATATATCGCGAGAAAGGGAGGCATTTTCGCCGCTTAGCGTCGCGGGCGGACTCTTTCTACGGCATGATAGTCCTAATTCTCAGTCGGACGAGAGTGCATCCGAAAGAGACAACGACGTAATTGAAAAGACTCGTCATTCTCAATATTCGACTACTGTCACGCTACCTAGACAAGCTACCGACAATAGACCTGCCATGGCGCAAGATACACCTATAGTCCTGGGTACTCCAGCATTGCGACCGAACGAACCTCAGTCAAAATTGTCTAGGCAAGAAGAAGATGTACTAGACTGGGATGACTTCGACCTCTGAAAGAATTTCGAAGCCTAGAACGCCAGTCTATTGGACAAAGAGCATGGGACCTTTAGTGCTATAATGTCCAATTTACTCTGACTTCACATCTGAACCGGCCTCGCCCTCCTTTCCTGCATATGACGGGCAATTTGTTTACAAGTGCAGCATTAGCCATGGTTGCGAAACTCAAAGCTGAACCTCTGCTAGGCAACGCCTTGTAAACCCCTGTTACATAGGCATCAGAACCATGAGCGCACGGATATCCACCTACACGACCGGCGCCCAACGCTTCTAAACACTCTTTTTCCAACGCAAAAGATACTTGCCAAAATCTTTTGCAGAAGTGTTTTGCAAGATCGTCACATCAAAGATGCATGTACACGAATTTCATCTCGGTAAAGTGCAGGCTTCACATCTGCTAAATTATAAGCTGCAGCCACTGTTCACCTATCGTCACAACTTCAAGATTAATACTTCAACAATGTGAAATAAATTGTGAATTATGACGGTCTCGATTGATCAGAACACCCGTGAACCATGTGGAAAGATATTGTCAAGCAATCATCATGAGTTTCACATTGTGTTGGTAGACTTCAGCACTCTCACAGCATCCAGCTTTTTCATGTGAGTTCCGGTACCCACTGCAGAACCTTCAAGCTTGCCTTCCTGTGAAACCTTCTTTGAAAGATTCTCACCGTCTTTGGACTTCTCGTTCTCCACAGACTTGTTTGATGATGCAGACCCGATACCAATGGATAATCGCTGTTTCTTCTTCTTGTGAGCACGGAACCTGAGAAGTCAACATATACGAGTGCAATGTAGTGATTGGCAATTTACCAAAAGGTAAGAATTGAGATTATAAGCAATCCGCCCACGGCCCCACCCACAGCAGTACCGATTGTGTATCCTGCCCAAGAGTGAGTTCATAGGATGAGAATACCCAGCACTGCACCCATACCTGTAGGAAATCCTGAACTAACATCAGAACCAGATCCCGGCTGGCCTTCTGTTGGACGAGACGTAGGTGCAGACGCGGTCGTTTGAGACGAACGTGTTATGGTGATGAATGCTGAGAGTTGGCCATCAACCTGAGAAGCTGTTCCTGTTAAAAAGCTCAAGTCTGTTGTAGAGGAAGTAGAACTGGATGGAATTGCATCCAGCTTCAAGACAAGAGTCAGCCTGGCCCGTGAAGAGTTGTGGGCTTCCCACCGATTGCGCGCCTGTACTTGTTATGAAGCCCAGCACGAGCAGATATACCAGGGACACTTCCCCTTTCAATGGTAAGTGGAACAACGACATGATTGTCTTAGCACAGAATTACGGTCTACCGTCTAATTTATGTGTTGCTCTCATACCAAGGTGTAGGTCTCAGCCGCAATGTGGCGTCGATCTAGAGCTGTTGCGGCAGAAGCATAGCACGAATGAGAGTTGCAGCTGCGCGATAAGGCAAAATCCGCTATCATCATGTCCGGCAGCTCCTCTCGATGATCAGAACAAGTACTTGCGTCTTCTTATTGTTCTTTTCGTCATTTACACCTTTCGAGCATGGAACCACAAAACTGCATCGCACTTTCAAATCGAACGGATTTCACAGCTTACGTGGACCTACTCCGGAATCTCACAAATGGTGACTTCAGCCTTGTCAAAGTTTGCAAGAAAGACGTGTGCGAAGCACTCTGGGGCTTCGGCAATCCAGACATCAGCGGTGTTGGTATGGTGATTGGATATCTTCTCGAGAGCGGCATATGCGCATTTCTGGTGATGATATCGCTGTGGCTTGAGCGAACTGCAAAAGGCCATGGTCACAACGCAGTGAGGCTACTGCTTGCGAACGCTGCGAGAACGTTCTTTGACAACGCAATCTTTTTCACCTTCGCGATACAGGCCGCAAGCATCGTAACACTCTCTAGGGTAGACTTTGGGATCAACGCAGAAGGTATGGGCGGGTTCACGATGGAGATCGCTTGGCTCGTGTCGTCGCTTACACTTCTGCCTCTCCTTCCGATGCTATTACGTCCAGACATGTTTAAGGAAGGCAGATCAGCAGGTGTGGTTGTCAGACGGTTATCGCATCAGAATACTGCTCGGATGAACGATGAGGACAAGAAGGCGGAAGACAGCGCTCATGGGCTTTCTGGGGCTCTTTTCGAAGCACGTGAAGGCCAGCGTTTCCTCTTGTTTGTAATATGCTGGGCGATGGGATTCTGCCCTTTCTTCTCTCGAATGGGAGGTACCTTCGGTAAGTAGCGGGACGGTGCTGGGTAGCACTATCGGCTGACCCGTTGCAGGTGAAAGCCGGATTGGAGATGCACCAAATGCTACTATAACACTAACAGAGTGGAAAACGGTCGAAAGCATCTGCTTTCAGGGTATTCACACTCTCACCTCGAATGAGCATAATCTCATCACGGCCTTCGGTATCCTCAGCTATCTGCTCTTGTCCGTTGTCATCATCTCCAAGATCATCTCTTCCGCTCTAGAAAACAGGGGTAGCGAACGAAATTGGCTGACAATATGTCACAATAAACTTAGTGAAACATGCTCTAGCTATTATGCAAGGCTAGGCATCGAGGTTGTAGTAGCAATCGCTTCGGCCGTACAATTCTGGGCGTTCTTCCGACTGCGACAACTACAAAGTGATATGACACAAGTAGTTGGCGGAAACTTCTCAGATGGGCAATGGACCTTTGGTCAGATCGTCGCCACCGTTGTGTTCATGCCAGTTGCGGCTGAATTGATGTTTGTTTGGAGGAGACGTCTTTTGTATCTGGAAAACCAGTAGACACCTGTATGAGGAACATTTGATGCAAGGATGAAATTGAGGCATGAGATAGTATTACAGGCTGGGTTGAGACTGACCAAAAAGGTCTCAGGAGAAGATGAACCAGAACATGTTTGAAGTAGTCGTCAGTTTTCTTCGTTGATCAGAGTCTATTTCTTTTCTTTACCCGGGCCATTTTCCTGATACTCTGTCTGACCGATCAAGCGGTTGGTCTCCTCTTCAACCCAATCTTTCTCATCAATCGCGTCCTTTGCACTATGACGGATGAACTTTTTGTACTTTCCTATGTTGAGTGGGAAGCCGGTATGCGCTGCAGCTGTGCTCTCGTCCTGACGGACGCCAGACCAATGCCTTATACTATGACCAATGACTGGCAGTTCGGGTGGTAGAATATATGTATCGTAACGATAATCCTTGCGTTTCGCGTTAACATCGCAATATTGAAGGTATCGTCTTTTCTTCTTCCATTTCTCGGGTCCAAGATTTGATACGTTGTTATCAGCCTTTGTGATATTGCTATTTGCTTGCTCTTCAGTTATTGCATCTATCGCATCTGATTCTGTTGAGTTTTCTTCTGTTGTTCCTTTCGCTAATTCCTTGCTAGCAGCATCCGTATCGTCTGCCAGTCTGGCACTGTGTCCTAAGGGCTCTGGCTTCGCGCGATCTCCCAGGCTTCTGAAAGAGTATGTGCCAATGAAATGATTGAGTACTGGATCGAGGACCGCGACGGCCCTAGAGTGAAAGCGACCAATTGTGTGCTCCAGTGCGTCAAGTTCACATGCTTCAAGCTTTGTGCGGTACATTTGAAGAACCAGTACATCGATGAGCGGCAATTGTACAAACTTGGGCAGACCTAACTGGAGCATAGCATTGTAGAGATGGATCTTGTCCACAAGTAGTTCGGGTATATTCATAACAACAGACTGATCTGACCACGATACTACAGACTGTGCGAGCCTCGTCCTTTGGAGTGGCGTTGTCGATCCCCTGGACGGTTCGCTGGGCGATGCCTCAACCCTGTCAAAGTTTTCCTGCATCCTCTCCAGCCATGGAACAACATAGTCCTCGATCTCTTTTGGCCTTATGAAAGCCATTTGGCGGCCCACGCTACTGTCCTGATCGGAATTCTTGGGCTTAGGATTTCGGCTGTGACTACCAGGCTCATGCACTTTGGGGTAGCAGACTGGTAAACGCAGGTCGTTTTTCTCTGGATTGTATGTGAAGTAGTCCTGAGCGAAGGTTGAGCAGGCCAGTAGAGTTCGGCGATCAACAGTCGTGGGAATTTTGTACTCATTGGTCTGTCTGAACTTTTCTAGTATCTCCGAATCGCCTGCTCCCTCACAATAGAGTGTCCTATACTTTTGAGCATTGATGATAATTTGAACTTCATCAGTAGACTTGACAGCATTTCTCTGCTTGTAAACCTCGATCTGATTATCATAACCACATGCTTTCGCGATTGATTGTGCTTGTCGTTCCAGATAGTCTTCGTGTGCCTGAACAACTTTCCCGTTCGCGTGATAGAGTACCATCTTGTTGTTTTAATATGGCTTGAAGCAGATGATGATCAGGCTGTTGGTTGAGGAATCGGTATTGCGATTCCTCAGAGATTTAAAAGCCGGTTGCTAAAAGGTGTCTTGTCGAGACCGCGCGCTCTTTGTTCGTCTGACACCCTTTGCCAATAATAGAAGGTTGCTTAAAACGTCAACGCCAAATCTCTCTGTGAGTACTCCGGATTTGGCACAAAGCGGGTCTCTGCCCATTGATCTGCTAATACAGCTATGCATGTTGGGTTGAAAGTGAAATGTTCAACCGCCATACAGGCCCCAGTTCGGTATGATACATCCTTATATTGTACTAAGGGCTCGGAGATATCGATGCAAATGTACGCAACCATGGAGGTTTGTTGACCAAAATAGGTGCAATCCCTAAGATTGTGTTTCTTCGTTACGCCGGATATGAACACAGCTAGGCCAGCCCCTGCACGGCATCGCTCTCGGACTCAAAGAAATTCTCACACACGTTGTACACAAGATCAGCGTTGAAACTGTGGTTTGACACTATAGTATGGAGATCCGCACTAATCTAAGTCGTATTGATATTGGTAAAGAACGTAGCTACGCAATGTCAAGTAAGCTACCGTAGATTGGCAAGCGCCGTGGTAAGAGCCCATACGTATCACGCTTCTGCAGGGTGTCGTTCGGATACATCCTGCCTTACTTTCCACCACTACCGCCGCAGGCCCTCTCCAAAGTCAAGAACGCAAAGTGACCGCCAACGACAGGTCTCGCGAAGAACCACGGTCCAGGAAAGCCACCATCACCTTCAGTGACATACAGATCCGTGAAAGGACGGTCAGTGACTGTCTCATTCAACCAAAGCGCTACGCGATCAAGGATCTCCGAGCGCACTGTCTTATTTGCGACGGCAGCGGCTTCAAACTCCCAGTCGGACTTTGTATATAGGTGGCGGGAATCGAGAGGAAGCCCGTACTTTTGCATGACTGTAGAGTACCAATCGCTTTGGAGGTTGTAGATTTCGTCCGGGATGAAGTCATCAATCATGGGTGTACGCCCAGAAGAATGCTTTGAAGGTGACAAGGGCCGCTGAGCTTTATCATTGCCAGATGCGTACTCCGACTGTTCTGATTTGGATGTGTTCGTGATGGTAGGGTGAAAACAGAGTACGGCATCGGCGTAGAGCGAGTATAAAGTCGTCCAGCTGCCGTACCAGTCGTAAGCAAGCTTAGCATGAGTGCCATCGCGCGACATTCCATACTCCTGCCACTTCTTGATATATGTCTCTGAGATGTTTCGGTAGTGCTTTGCATCACCGGGTCGGTCCATAAGGTCAGCAATTTCACTGAACGCCTTGATACCAACAATTCCTTTCAAGGCAAGATTGGTTTGAAGCGGTAGCCAACCAGCGAAATCATCAGTGCAGACTGCAAGTTTTGTTAGCACTGGTTCCATGTCCCTTCTCACTGACACTCACGCTGGTTGTGGGGCTCGAGAGCGTCTTCAACAAGATATCCAGTCCACTGCTTCCACAGATCGTAGCTGCCTTCTAACCACCTCTTTGCTTGATGAATACCCTTGGCATTTCCACCCCATGTCTCGTCAATGTACTCAACTCCATTATGTAAGCCGATACTGCTCAGAGAGAACACGTTGCTGGCATCAACGTCATGGTCTGCATCATTACCGATAGCCGACCAGATTGACTGAGCCTCCGCATCGGAATTATAACTAAGGGAGTTCACAAGTGCCAGACCCATGATGAGCATATCTCCGCACTCTTCGACGGGCATATACTCATCACGTCCATCAGAATGCCCTGTCAGGTTGGGGAAGTGCGCACCAAGGTCATGCATAGAATACTTGTTGGGGTACTGACCGCTCAGCTGGTGCTCAAGAAGTGGCTCTAGGAGGTACGCCAGCCACCTAGGTTGTGTGTAGAGGAAGAATGGGAAAGCAGGGAAGATCACATCGACGGTCTGACTATTACCGTTGGAAGAAATCTCCTTGAGGAAGAGTAGAGGATTCTCTTTGGTTCCGGAGAAGCTAGTGGCGCCCATGACTTGTCGTGCGGACAAGGCAACAATGTCGACATAGTTTGTCGAACCAGATTGATAAGCATCGATGCGCAACTGCTCAGAGTAGTTACTCGCAAGACTGCTTGCCATGGCGAAGTCTCCGTAATGGAACTGGATGAGCTTGTCATCCTGGGGGAACCAAGATTTCCATAATGGTCGCATGAACGTGAGACCTCGAGCAGATGCATATTGCGTCACTGGGTCCTGGATGTGAGTGATAGTAAACAAGATGCTATCGCTGTTGCTGCCGGAACTTGACGTAGCCGTAGACGAGTTTGCAAGCTTGAAAGCTTTCGAAAATGCAAACACAGGCTCCTCATCCATGACGCCACGGAAATTTCCATCAACCTCATTCTGCAGAGTCCCAGTCCGGGCGAAGCGCTGGCGCAACAGCGCGGACGTGCCTGATTCGTGGCGCGCATCGACAGGCCCGGTGAAATGCAGTCGACCCCACTCAGGCTGGTCATTCGTTTCTGTGAAGAGCTGCTCAACCTGTCGCTTGACTTGCCATGTCTTTAATCTGTCGTTCAAGCCAGGCGCCACGTGCTGGAACAAGCCCCATTCTATCAGACTCTCCCTCTTGCCGCTGACCCATTGTCCGTTCACGTCGACGTATATGTTGACATCGAAAGACCCTTGGACGTATATAGATAGATAAGCCGCTGGTATGGTTTGTCTTAGAGTAGAGGTCGGCGTAATGGGTGAGAGGAAGGATAAGGTGATTTCGAGGTCTTTGGTTGAACGGATTGCATCGGGCGCTCGTATTGAGTACGTAAGATTGGTCGTTGACGCGTCATAGGTAGCACCGTTGTATGTAGGGTACGCGACCGTGTAACTAGGACAGACTGAAGTCAGCAACAAATCCGCTTCAAGCCATCGGATCACCCGTACTCTTCGTCCTTGTGCTCCAGAGAGTCATGAGGTCGACCAAGTAGTGGGTATACCTCCTTGGAGTCTGAAACAGATGCCAGGACACTGAATCCGACCTATCCGCGTTACTATTAGCATTGCACGCCTAAGGTGGCTCTGTCCAGCAAACCTCAGATCCTGTCCAAAACATGGGCCATTTATTCCATGGCTCCTCTCGTGCATTTTGCAGCCATGTGCTCAGATATGGATTCCTGACAATCAACGGAAGGACGGGCGGTTGGAGATTCGAAGCATCTACAGCGCTTGCCAGAAGCGCTGCAGCCGCGGCAACAAAAGGCCGCATGGTGCCGATCAAGTACAGCAGACGGATTGAAATCAAGAATAAAAGGATGCGCTCGGTACTATGATGATGGAACTATGAGCTACAGGTTGTGGTATATACTGGGGAAGCAGGAACGCAGCAGCATTGAAAGCTATCAGCTGGGATGAGAGCTTGGGGTAGCTGCATTCTGCGGGGTTGTGGAGGAACCTTGGACCGAATCAGCGTGTGGTGCCTTGCATCATAATGCAGATCAGCAATCGTCTCATGTTTCACCTTACGCGGCCTGACCTCATGACACCTCGAATATTTATCTAGTGATAAACAGCAGCATCGTCTTTTCGAGACTGTCATCCAACTTCCAATGTAACGTTCTCGGTGCGGACAGTTTGAAGCAATCACAATCACGACGCCTACTGCAGCTCTATCAAGCTAACAGCATCACGGCAAGCTTCGCGCATTTTCTGTACCTTCTGTCGCTATCATTCCACCCGGTGTCTGTGTACCTCTACGTTTCCATGCAGATATGATTGCACTCATCAATGCAGAAGTCGAGCGGCCCTGTTCCTGGCGTCTACCTGGTGGAGGAGTGGATATGCCGTCTCGAACTGACTTGACCGGACTGGGAATACGTACAGTCCAGTCATCTACAGGGTACGCTGGGTGAGGGCAGTATGATGTGGAAGCCTCGAAATCATGCTTAGTGGGAAGTATAGGTAGAGGTCGAGAAGCTGGTTCTGGACGTCTGAGTTCGATGGATGGTGGTATCGAGAGCCGGTAAAAGTGGCTTGGTGTACGAACGAAGCTATCGCGTTGTTGCATTTGCTCGCCTACATGCTCAACAGATGCTTCCGTCTTCAAGTCGGGTGCGCCGCGTGGAACATAGGCGCGCGATTGTTCTGTATCGCTCACTTGACGTATCGACGCCTTTCGAGTCAAGGGGTTTCGCACCCTCGCTGATGTAGATCGCATAGGACTATGGGGGGTTTGGGTCTGCGCTCGTGTATCTGCAGCACTAGCGGCTCGTCCATTCAAGTTGTCACTGCAGTCCTGGAATACGCTCCCCAACTCTTTGCTGACAACGCTACAGGCTCTGGTACCCTCCTTGGCTTCGTCAATATCATCTTCTTGAGGTTCTATCACAGGAAGGTCGTTATCCTCGCCGGCGCCACTGATGTGTTGGTCAAGTAATCCCAATCCTCGCAACTGGTCCCAGCTACGGTAATAGTACCTGAACGTCGCGAAGGGCTGGTCGATCGGATCGATTAGGGAAAATTTGTAAAAGCGCTTTGGTTGCTCCGGTCCTGCGCGCCCAGCGTTAACGAGGCTGCCAAAGTTAGCGCAGTACATGGTGGTGGCGCTAAGTTGGCGCGTACCTTATTCCCTTGCCATTCTTCGCATGCTCTGTGTTATTGTATTCCTCTGCCTGTCGTTCGACTCGCTTCCTTTCGTCTGCACGATGTACTCGTATCTCGATGCGCGCGGTGTCGTCGAACACGTCCACAGCGTCTTTTGCTGCAAAGCACAGCACTCGTTTCTCGACCCTTCTCTTGCCATGTTCGTCCTCAGGGCTTTCAAACAGACCAAACATAGTCTTGCCCTGCCAATCCTCTTCTTTGCCTGTCGACCAGCTTACCATGTGTGCGCCATTGATGTACAGCTTAAAGAGGAAGTAGTGTCCTTCGGGCACTGGTGGTGACACGGAGTATCCGATCCAAAACGTGCTGCCGGGTAAGGCTGGAACGTAGACGCTGCATGTTGACGTCTTGTCCTCGATGTATTGCAGGGCAGAGTCAAAAATGCTATAGTGGTCGGGGCGGTATTCAGGCAGCGTTTCGATATCGAATTGCGAGTGCAGTCCTACAGTTATACTTCGGTAGTGCATCGTGGTGGCAGTGGGTTGGATGTGAGTAAACAGGTGCCGCTGCCTTCCAAAGGTGAACTCAAGTACACGCCTGCATTGGTTGAATGACTAGCGCAATCGCTCCGTCTCAAGTCATCATTGAGCAAACGAGCGTTTGAAGTTTCCTGTTATGACCCCTCTTTTTACGTTTCAGTAGTAGGTAAGATTTCGGTATTGGTTTACATTTTGCGAATAGTAACACTAAAAAGCCTCTTGGGGAGCATCATATTGACCTTACTAGCGTCAATAAGTGTCTGTATATGAATTATATGTGGAGAATGCACCGACTTCACGCGCTCACATCCACACTGAACCTTTTGCCGTTGGGACTGCTGTACATTCTGTGACTTTTTTGAGCAGAAATGTCACCAAGCAGGTGAGAGACTTTACCAAATCTTTCACTTTACTACTGTTTACCGCCACTCCGTCCGTTCTCACCTGCTAGGCGGATCCATTAGCGCTTCAACATTAGCTCCAAAGCGCCTCTGACTCTATAACCATACACTCGTGATCTTTCTTCTATCTAGTCCCTCCACTTCTTACCGGTTCAACCACAACTTTTACTTAGTTCTACTGTAAGTAACCACAACGTTACTGTCTTGCCGTGCACGAACTTACTCAACAACTTGAACTACTATGCAGCTATTTGGATCGAATATATACTATCAGTTTACTCGTTCCTCTATTGACAGTCAATAGCAGATACGTTGTGTAAGAGACAACAGTCATTCTACTTTGCGAAGCCGTAGACATGGCGATAGTAAGAAGGTCCACACATGACGCATCCCTTACGCTGAACCAGCTCGCTGAGTAAGTCTCCTCGATGAGTCATTGCTTGCATTGACTTTACATGTAGTAACTCTTAATACAGGTTAAAGAGAGGCCCTAAGATCAACATTGTCGTTGGCCCGGATGGCAACCGATATATTGGTCTGGAGAGCGCTTCGGTAAGGCTGCTGGCTCATTTCTCTCCGACTGCACAAAGAAAGCTCATCGATGGGCAAGACGAGGTCTTGACGATTCCCAACGGCTCTAAGAGAGCCATTCTTTGGATCTACAAGTACATGCAAGCTGGCGAGCGTGATATTGTAGGACTAGACGCCTTCGAGATGCTCAGCTCCAGTATCTTGACTGTCATTTACCAGCACTGTGACTTTCTCGAGTACGAGTCACTCAAGAGGCGCGTCTATAGTCGGCTCAAGGGAAAGTTTTACAACGTTCTCCCTACTGTTCAAGAGATCGAGTTTTACCAAACTTCGATCCCAGAGCTTTACGAGCATCTGCTACACTGTCTCTTCGAGGAGATGGTGAACCCATGGACCCGCAACTACGAGCCGTACTCACGACTTGCTGAGACGAACGCTGCCTTTGGTAAGGCTCTCGGCGATGCCATGGACAAGTTCTTCATCTCTCGTGTTCAGACTAGTGAAGCGTACTACCAGAATACTACCAACCAGTATACCATCTGGGCTATCAAATATATCGAAGCCGTTATTGCTGGAACAGTCCGCCCAAAGAGGCCTGTCCCAAAGCTCGTGCACAAAGCTAGGCAGACGGGCAGCGTAGTCCGGGGTCTTTTCAGCAAAAATAGACCTGACGCGAGTCCCATGGCTGATGTCATCCTGTCTCGTAAGGACATCTCGGCTACTTCAGTACGGCAGGTTCCTCAGCGAAATCTCAAGTCGATAACGCCATTCAAGTGCTACAGTTGCGGCAACAAGGGCCATATCTCGCGCAATTGCAATGCCAAGTTGCAAGGCTCCTTTGTCCCAAACACTGTCTCTAAACTGGAAAAGCCTGTCCAGGTTCGAAAGGCTCGTAAGGCGTTCGCTTGCTACAGATGTGGAAGTGAGGGTCATATAGCTCGGAACTGTACGGTCTCAGTCAAAGATGCCAACGAGCGTCGGCCCCCAATCTGTTTTAGCTGCAATGAGACAGGTCATATTGCCCGCAATTGCATGCAAGAGAAGCCAGTCACTAGAGACAGCAACAACTACTCGACATCAGCTCATCCACGTCGTAAGCCGAAGTCCAAAGAGCCATGTATCTGCTTCAACTGTGGTGGGGAAGGACACATGGCGCGTCAGTGTACTGACGAAAAGTCTAACACAGGCGTAGAGTTCGTTGGCGCTACTCGTTCGGTCCACACCACGGCTGCTCGTCATAGGGGTTTCTGTAATACTCAGCGCAACCACAAAATCGAAGTCGTCAAGAACGGTGAGGGCCTTGCTACCTGCGATCGCGAGGTGCGCAAGGGCGATATGACGCGCACCGGCCTCATCGTCTAGCGAGAATATAATGGGAATCGCTAGAAGAATGTGAAGCAAGCCGCGGAGCTGAGAGGACGACTTCTATCATTTCTAGCACCATGACCAAATAGGATATCTCTAGGAGAGGGCACGTTGAGCGCTATGCCATGTATTTGCACGAAGAGCTCCGTGGTAGGGTATATAATCACCAGTTCCAAGCTATCGATGATGCTATGTGAGACTAGATGTACCACTATGTAAAGTGAGATTCATGATATCGCTCAACTAGATTCGCATGCGAAATCCCGATATGTACTTTACAAAGGACTTCAGTTTCTTAAGTTCTACCCCAAACTACAAAACCCTCCCCAGAGATAGGTGTACGTAAATATCTGGGTCACAACTTTGATAAAAAAAAAAAGACATAGTGTATGCCCTTACGGGTAGGTTGTAGTGCTTATAGGTGGAACTTGGAAAGAATGAGCTTCTTCGCACGTGAGTCTTCTTGGACTTCATCGTCGCGTTGCTCGTCGACGTTGAGTTTGACTTGGACGATGGTGTTTCATGGACCACAAAGTGAACAAACACAGTAGGTTGCTTTCAAGGCTCTGCTTTTCATTCGCATATGTTGCTTACTCCCTCCCTTGACCAGATTTGGTGTTCTTCTCTAGGTGGTCCTTGATACTGAACATGCCAGTTCCTCTCTCAAGTGGCTTAGCCTGGTTGGGGCTAGGTTTCCAACCGATCATGTAGATCAACCTGAAGGTCGCAGGAAGCGTACCATCTTCGTTACCATGTAGTTCCTTGTAGATACCTTCAGCGGCCAGTAAGACATCCCTCTGTATAGGGCCCTTCTCCCGTGCGAGTACAGCATTCGACTCGCCCATGGCTTGTAGATCCTTCATCAAGGAAAATGTATCGGGATAGTCGACTACAATGTCGTCGACGTCTACAGTGAGGAGGTTGAAGCCAGCCTTCTGTAGTAGACCGCCCACATCCTTGACATCGGCTAGTGGCGAGGTGTGCGTAGAGACACCGCCTCTTCGGTCTAGCTCTGCTAACTGCAACGATGTACGGAGCTCATAAAGGCTGTCTCCTCCCATCATGACCCCGATGAAAGGGCAATCCGGCTTTAAAATGTTGTTCACTTGGGCCAACACCGAAGGCAAATCATTGATCCAGTGCAGACTCAGACTGCTCAAGACAGCGTCGAAAGAGTTGGCTTCGTATGGCAGCAGCTCGGATGTGGATAGAACTTGTCGTACAATATCAATCTCTTTGTTGAAGGGCAAATGGGCGTCGCGATACAAGAGTGCTTCCGAGGAGTCTGCCGCTGTGATTGTTCCAATTCGCTTTGACCGTGGGCCTTTATCCGGGGCGTCTTCGGAGGGCAAGGTGAGTGCGTGGGATAGGTTGCATGCGTTGGCGCCGAGATCGAGGACGTTAGGGAAGTGGCGGTTTATGTCCTGTGCCTGTGTTAGCTGTTGTTCTTTGTTGATAACCAATTGTCGTACCAGGACTCGCTCACACAACCTCGAGGCTACTTCATCTCTTAGATAGTCGACGCTTCTGCTTGTTTCTCTGTCTGCTGCTGCCCGCTCTTTCTGCAGCCATTTCTGCTGGCCGCTGAATATCTCCATCATAGGGGCGCCGGGAGCTTGTACGGCATATCGCCGCGTCGTCTGGAGGGGTAGACACCGCCGCCTTAGTGGTGGAATGAAAGCGCGTACAGAAAAGGTTGCCATGGTTGCAGCAGGGTCAGGAATTGACGGCGCAGTGGCGTTGAATATTGCAGCAGTGAAAGAGGGACGTGCAAGAGCGAGCAGACGGAGAAAGCAATACGTCAAGACCCTGGAGCTGCTGCACCAATCGGCGTTTGGCTCCACCGCGATCGACCCGCCATGTCCAGAAGTTCACCACCACGACTCCCACATCGTGACACCCACGGGTTGCCGGCTAGACAAGAGGAGAAGCAGAGACCGTGTTCTGGCTGCCGATCCGAACTGGTTGCTTCGCCATGGCACAAGCCTTTCCCTACACGTACTACGCCTGCGACTGCTTCGACAGCAACGCGACGACTTCTACCAAACGCACCTCGCATGTCCTCGCCGCCTTTGACGACGACGAAGAAACTTTGGATCCCAAGAACCCTCGCTCCAACTACGCTCTGTATCCACTCGAGCACCTTCTTTACTGTGAAGATTGTCTGCAAATACGCTGTCCACGGTGCGTGATAGAGGAGACGCTGAATTGGTACTGCCCCAACTGCCTGTTCGAAGTACCAAGTTCCGTGGTGAAGAGCGATGGCAATCGATGCACCCGTAACTGCTTCAATTGCCCTGTGTGCGTTTCGCCTCTCATAGTCAACCTCCTCGACAATCCCGATGCCGACCAAGGAGTGCCCGATCGACACATACTGGCCTGTCCGTACTGCCATTGGAGTACTATAGAGACGGGCATAGAGTTTGAGAAGCACACGGGCGTATATTCGCAGATTGCGCGGATAGCAAATGGAGGAAAACCAATCCCAACGTCCAAAGAGCGAGACAAGGAGCGCGAGAGGCGCAAGGAGCTCGAGGCTCGGCAGCGAGATTCCAGAAACCCCTTGTCCCCTTCCAGCGACTCGACAGTCATGGATGTAGAAAACCACCAACTACCGACCCGCGACGATCTCTTCTCGAACCTCGGTGCTTTTTACAAAGCACAGCTCGAATCCCAGACGCCAGCGAACCCTCTGGAAATGAATTTCTCCTCGCCCTCAGCTTACTCCCGAATCATGAATCTATACTCGACAAATACAGCGAAAAAGCAGAAACGTAACAAGCCAATGCCTATGCGAGAGGCTGCGTCAGAACTAGAAGGCCTCGTCACCCATGACCCTGCAGCAGATAGCGCAGCGATCGAGCGCATCAAGCGGGACGGGTGGGGTAGTACTTTGTCGCCTGCCCAGAAGCTCGCACAACTCGACCCTTACGTGCAATTCAGTAACGAGCTCCGACCAGTCCCAACTCTTCTTTGCACAAAGAGATCGAAACGATGCCGGTCATGTCGGCACATCCTATCCAAACCCGAGTCCAAGATAACATCAACTCGGTACAAAATCAAGCTGCTGGCACTGAACCACATTCCCCGACTCAGCATTCGTGCACTACCACCGACCAACCCAGTCGTACCACTTCCTCCAGGCTCTATGCCCACCCCGCAACCTCCTTTCAATTACAACAATCTCCGATCAGGGATCGCGACACACTTCCTTTTACATGTCAGCAACCCGCTCTTCGACCCTATTCAGGTCACATTAGCCACTTCAAGCACCACTCCTGGCAAAGTGCAGTCCCGCGTGACAATATTATGCCCCCAGTTCGAAGTTGGCGCCAATACCGACGTCTGGGACGACGCACTCGCCTCATCTCCCGCACCCATGCCCCGCCGCTCAACCATCAACGCAGAAACAGGGCAGATCGAAGCAGGAAAAATTTGGGACAAGGGGAGGAACTGGACAAGTGTGGCTATCGAAGTCATTCCGGGCTTCCTTAGTGAGCTTGGGGGCGAGGACGAGTTGGACGAAGACGAGGATCTGCTTGAGATACCAATATTCGTGCGTCTGGAATTTGAAGCAGATGTAAACGCCGAAGAGAGGGGTTTGGGCGATTCAAGGGGGAGCAAAGGGGAGAGGGAAAAGAGAGAGGAGGCATTCTGGACAGTTGTTGGTGCAGGACGGATAGCAAGTGCCTAGGTTGTGGCAATGATGATGTGCGTGCGTGATACCCCTGTTTTTTTTTCTTACATGAGGAGTCGGGTTCAGATACATTGCTGCTCGCTTGTCGTATCGTGGTAGCCTCTACGAATGGACTTGTTGCTAAAAAAAGACGGCTACCCAAAGTGTGTCTCGTTAGGAAAGATCTCTCCGTCTTTCTTCTTCTTTCTTGTGAACATTCCATCCAGTGTTCCTTGGCTTGCCTCTCTCTTATGTCCTGCTTTCTGATCGCTTCGCATCGCCATCTTCTTCGCTTGTTTAGGGCTGGGCGGCTCGTCCACATGCACGTTCTCTTCATGTCCATCTGCATCTTCATGATCTTCTTCCTTTATCATCGCACCTGTTGGTCCTTTGCTTCCTTCAGTAGGTCCCTCTGCTTCATTGTTAAAGAGCTTGCGCCATGTACCATCGAGAACTTGGGGCGAATTCCCATAGAGGTTGACATGATATGCGTTCTTCATGCCCTGGATACAAACATCCCTTCTCTTTCCAAAGTCAAACATAGGCTTTGGGTAGACTCTCATCACGCCATCACCGGCCTCTTCAGACCCACCCCCTTTTACCAAACACCCCCACTTCTTCTGGTCTGCAATTGGCGCTTTCCATGGCTCGTATATATACTTCTTATCGAAGTTTGCCAGTTCTGGAACGTACTTCCTCACAAAACCTCCATCTTTGTCCTAAAATGCACGTGTATGAAGTCAGTGCATGCCTCACATGCAGCTCGTGTAGGAACATCTCTTACCCATTTCTGCGGGAAGGCGACAGGTGAGTAACATCGGTAGAACTGTGCGAAAAACGCCGTGCACGACAGCCATTGCCAGTTTCCGATATTACATGCTGCTTCGTGATCAATGAGCCACTCTTCGAATACCTCTGCTCCACGCTCCCAATCAATGTAACATCCGCCTCTCGTCAGAAAGCAAGCAACGGCGTGGCGGCCAAGGTGGTGGATCCAACCTTCCTGACTAAGTTGACGCATCAGAGCGTCGATCCAGGGGAATCCTGTTTGACCGTGTTTCCAGCGATGTAAATGAGTTTCTGCCTCGGCGTTGTCTACTAAATACTTGCCGGTGATGAGATTGGACTTGGTATCGATCTTAGAGGGTAGATGCCAGGGAATGAAACGACATTGCGGATTGTTGTAGGTTTGGCCGAAGGTATAGCCTAGCGCTGCTTGCGCGCCGAAGTACATTTCACGGAACAGTAGCTGGCCTGTTAGGCTGGTGGGTGGTTGTGAGGCTTTTCCTTTGTACTTGTCAACGACGTCTTGAGAACGCCAGTAGAAGAGTCGGCAGCTTAGAGACCCGAAATGCCTGCAAAATTGGTGCACAAAGTCAGTGCTTGTATCGCAAGTCATTCATACAAAGATAATGCTTACATATGTGGCGAAAGGAGGGTGGTTGACTGGGGTTCAAAAGTGGTGGGTGCGGTTTTGGGCTTCTCAAAAGTCGCTGTATAGTCGGTGTTTGCTATGATCTTGTTCAGAGCCTGCAATGCTTCCGTTTCACCCCCGCGGTGTGGTGTGGTTGCAGGCTTTAGGCCCAGCTCTTCCATTGTCGGTACTGCAAAGTCTCCATTCGGTCCTGCTAGAGCACAGTACGAAGCCTCATCCCCGTTTCTCTGAATTGCATTGATATCCGGCTCGCTTTCTGGCTTCTCTTGGTCAAATTTCAGATCAGTATTTCCTGGGTCGGGCAGTGATTTTGGCGCAGGTATGGGTCTTGGAATTAGTCCAATTCTCTTTCCTGCAGCTTGTACCTGGGCTATACTCATTGTCGGCTTTCCGTGGTTATGCTTGACCAACTCATCAGGATCGTATAACGTTCTCCCAGTCTTCACGATAACCTGGACACCGGCCTTCTTCGCAAGTTCTGTCACCTTCTCGTCTCGCTCTCTTGCATACGCATCGGTGTCCTTTTCAAACACCAGGTGCGTAATCTTCCACGCCTTGAACAACTTAGGTAACAGTGTTTGCGGTGCCTCTCGAATGAGGAAGAGCTTCGACTTTGGATTGAGCTTTGTTATCGACGTTGAGAGATCGTTTTGGCAGTCGAGCAGATATTGCCAACGATTAGAGCCAACTCGGGCGCGATAGACATAGTGCGGATCCCAAGTCCAGATGGGATAGAGACATTCTGGCTTGAGATCCAATGCTGCTTTGAGAGCTGGAGAGTCATGAAGGCGTAGATCGGTCCGAAACCAGTAGATGACTCGTGGTTTGGTCATCTTGACACGTCGTTGTGAAGCGGCTGTAGCTGACAAGATGAAGCGTCAAAAACTGCCAACGGGGAATTGTTCAGGCGTTTACATGCGATGGGTCCACCAAACTGCAATAAAGATCATAATGCTCTCGACTAATGGGCGGGAAACCGCATGGCTGGAATGAATGCTGTCATCGATCGGAGCTAAGCCACTCGCTAATCTCCAATGGTTCATCCCAGATCCCAGAAAACCAATCGGTCTCGCTGTTCTCTCCGACACAGTGAGGGTTTGCACTTCAACTCGTGATTAACTTTCATGACTTCAACCCTTTTCGTTTCAGTCAGCGCAGGGTTACGTTTACCCCCAGCCTGCGGCTTCTGTACTCTAGTATAGTACGTTCAGATCTATGCTTTCTTGTAGATGCATCCGTGGTGCACTCGGGATCCCATTCTTCTCAAATTGCAAGGTACGCGGCTTCCAAGAGTCCTATGCCAATGTACGCGAGCGACGTATGCAACACAAAAAGCCAGCGCTTCTCGTTGGATGTCGAATCTTGAAGGGGACATGCGCAGCGCGAGAAGACCAAAGCTCGAAACAATTCCAGTGCGGAAGATACACTGACACCTAAGATGATAGAAGACGCTTCAACGGTCACGCAGAGTCCTTCCCAAGCACACGAGTTGTTGTCTTGTTGGGCAGCATCAAGGCATCCCTAGCCGAGATGAAGGCGCGGGATGGATGCGGGGACAATTGGTGGCGCGATATCGGCAAATGAAAGTCGTGGCTTCCCACGTAGCACCGACGACGTCGTTGGGAGGCTGAGGCTGCACACTGCATGCAGAGGACAGCACCGGCTACGATGAAAAGCAAGCAGACGTAAAGCAGGGCGGCGGGTTGTTCGTGCACAATGATGAAAGAACGGCTCACTAGCGGGTGCATGCGTCATGGTCTCGGGAGCTTCGAGGCTTGGTCCAAGCTCCCTTAAGCTCGTGGACCCATGGTTGTTTGTGCCAGACAATCTCCCAACAGATATTGTAGGCGCCTTTCCCGAATAAGGTACCTTGACAAGTCAGAGTGTCGAGTGCGCGTGGGAGTGTCTGCACCAGGTGCCTCTGAGGAGTACTTAGATTTGCCGTGCTGCAGTTTACCGCTGTTCGTGTTCGGCACAAGTTGCACTGCAGATCAGCAGCGCCTCCTCGATATATCTGCTGGCTGCGGGGAAACTACCACAACTGTCTTGAAGCTCCGCGCTCTACTCTACTCTGGACGCAGCTCCCCAGGCCTGACCCTTCACCCGCTTGAGTCTTGCCCTCCACCTTTCTCTGTTCTTCAGCATCTATCAAGATGGCACAGCCACTCGAGGATGCGTACATTACGGTTCGCTACATGAATGTGGTCCAACGCACGCGAGCTAACATGTCTTGCAGCTTCTTATGAGCGATTCCTACCTACCGGGCGCAGTCGTTCTTGCAAACTCTCTGCGCGATGCCGGAACCACCAAGAAGCTTGCGGTGCTCGTGACTATGGAGACGCTATCGGCTGATACCATCTCGGAGCTCAAGGCGCTTTACGATTACCTGATTCCTGTCGAGCGCATACGAAACTCCAATCCCGCCAACCTCTATGTCATGGGGCGGCCCGATCTGGCTTTTGCCTTCACCAAGATTGCTCTCTGGAGACAGACGCAGTTCCGCAAGCTCGTCTACCTCGACGCAGATGTGGTAGCTCTGAGGGCCTTGGACGAGCTGTTCGACATTGAGGCTTCGTTTGCTGCAGCGCCAGATATCGGCTGGCCAGATGCTTTCAACAGCGGTGTCATGGTTATCAAACCAGACATGGGCGAATACTGGGCTCTCCAGACCATGGCAGCGACTGGTGACAGTTTCGATGGCGCAGATCAAGGCTTACTGAACCAGTACTTCGAACACCGTCCCTGGCAACGATTGAAGTTTACTTACAACTGCACGCCAAACGCCGAATACCAATGGGAGCCAGCATACCGCTACTACAAGCGCGACATTGCCGCTGTCCACTTTATCGGCAAGAACAAGCCTTGGTCAGGCCACCATGCGGGTGGAAATGGCGTCTATGGAGAACTGGTAGCGCGATGGTGGGCGGTGCACCAGAGACATTTGCACAAGGCAAAGGGGGGCCAACGAGCTGGTGAGGCAAAGAGCACCCATGGTGACTCCGGGCTTTCTTCCTCGTCTATTCCTGTTCCTATCGAGGCCTCTGCTGTTACAACCGAGCCACCTATGACCGAAACTGGAGATGAGATTCAGGATATTGACCAAGGTATAATAGAGCCAACCCCTACGGTCGAACAACGCAAGTTCTCTGCGCCTGAGATGCAGTGGGATGCAACCAAGTACGTTTTCTTAGCTACCAAATCTCTACGCATCATACTAACAGATCCAGGTTCGAGCCACCAGCCCAGTCGAGACCCGAAGCTGCCAATTTCCCTACCCAAACGTACACTTTCAGTGACAGCCGGTCGCTCTTCAAGGCTCCAAGCGCCTACCCGGAAGCGCCGCGGGACATGTGGTACCAGGTCCCAGAAACCAGGCCCAAACCTGCCGAGAGACCTAAGCCCATCTTTCCATGGGAGCAAGAGGTGGACAGACCAAAGCCGACGCGTGTGTTTGCTGAAGACCTGTCACCAGAACCGACACCTACAGTAATGTCACCGACACACGCGTTTTCAACCGTACATTACGATGAGAGTGATAAAACAGCTCCAACCGGAGTGGACAGAGTTAGAAGCCCTGCAAACGCTTCTGCCTCGAATTTTGCTGACCAAGGTTGGCAGTCCTACCAGCATAGTGGCGTAAATGCCTGGGATAATGTTCCGGGTATCGATAGCTACGTTCGTGCCATATCGGACATGAGTGGAATACGGGGCAAGAACCAGTCCCTACGCCAGACCACAGGCACGGATGATATCAGTTCGCCCATACTGGAACGTAGGAACCGCCGCGAGAGCCTTATTCTCACTGATTTCCCGTCTGCAGTAGAACGACCGAGCCTTCCTGTGACACCTGCACCGGTCCGTCGTCCGATGTTCTGGGGCGAAGAGAGAAATCAAGCAGGTGAACTACCTTCTGCTACAGGAGTGCCGGATCAGACCGAATGGGTACGTTTGTGATGCGCATTTTCCTCTGTCAAACCCTCAAACTTCCAGCATCATCGTGTGTCAGTCGATATGGCGACCACAATTGTGTCGAACCATTTTTCCTCTCCAATTTTCCAGATGTAGCCCGACTTCTGAGGCCCCATTGACACCGAAAACCGACGTTCTGGCCGAGGAGACCTCGAGAGTCATGGGCGCTGTGTTTTCATCTTCAATTCTTCCACCTCCACGAACAGGAGCCAGACCTAGTAGTGTGCTGCTAGTGTTTCTGACCAGTCTAGACTTCCTCGCCTCTTAACCAAGATTCCTCTCTGTTATGATATTCCCCCTCTCATCAGCCCATGGCTTGAGCGATCCCTTTATAAGACTCGAGCTGACTTTAAACTTTGAAGAACCCCGAGGAGAAGCTTGACCAGCTACGGCGTTCATCTCTGATCGAGTTTGAACATCTGAAGAAAGACGAGCACCCTAACCCCCCGATGCGTGCGCTACCCGAGCATTCAGTCGTTGAGAAGAAAGAAGCAGGCACTTCATTTGGGCTTGATGGAGCAAATGACCAGGCTGTTCCAGGATCTTTCCCGCACATCGCAGAAAAGGACTTTGCTAGCAGTGACCCTGCACCGGATGTACGACCAGGCTTCGGCGACCGCTCATTTGCTCATGGTGATGAAAACTCGGCACCGGACCACTACTCCAAGCAAGACTTTTCTTCTGGATCTTCAAGCACCTTCGGACAGAACTTCTCGAGTTCGACGTCGCAGGCAACGGCCCATGAACAAAGTGCTAGCCATGATTCGTTGTCATCTGGTCAGCAAGTTCAGTCTGGGGGCATGACCTTTACTGTACCCACCTTCGATGATGGTACTTCAGCCGACGTCCAAGCTGCGGGAGACGAACTCAGTCCGACACAGAGTAGGACCTAGAACAAGACGATGAACGAATGGTGGATGCCGATGTTTCCGGTACTATCGTGTCGGACGTCGCACCTCGTGTAATTTCATGTCGTGAACGATGGAGGATACATATTGCAGTTTCATGTTTTTTTTACTCTGGTATAGGCCATTTTACGTTTCGTATCTCTCGTTAGCGAGGTCTTCCAGCATTTGCAGGGGCATTGCATAGCGGTCTGTTGTAGGTCATTGTGTGTTGTTATTTGCGAGGTCGGCTTCAAATTGTATGGCATGCAGGGTGTTGGAATGACAATAAAGACTGGAGACAAGCACACGCGCCAGAATATGCAGGGAACATTTCGTGCATGTTCTCCTAGGCACGCTTGGGCCAGCTGCTCCACTCGAAAGCTTGACAAGCTTGAGTCGACTGATGGCGCTGTGCCCTTCCAAAGATGCCCCGCTTGCCCCTCCCCACCCAATTTGCCCTTGAGCAACGAGCACCTGCCCGATTCATCTCAGCCTGTAGACCGCGAATAAGCGCCACAGCCACCCATAGAAGCCTCTTCTGTCATCTGCGAAGCTTCTCCTCGTCTCCGTCACCTAGACTCGTCGCAACACCTATCCGCTGCGACCGTTACACGCCAGAACGACTGCCCAACGCCGCCTGGCCATATCTGTATCACCCACCCAACAAGATGGCGCACCTCGACCCGTACTTCAAGCAGGTAGACGACTTGCAGAGCAACTTCATCGAGAGGCTGAGGGAGGCGGTTGCTATCCCCAGTATCAGCTCCGAGGACCAGAGGAGACCCGATGTCGTCAAGGTACGAATAAACTACAAAGCACGCATGCATTGTCCAGTATCCCAGCTGACCCAACACACAGATGGGCCACTGGTTAGCGGAACAGATCAAGGCGCTTGGTGGTACCGTTGAGCTCCGCGAGCTCGGAAAGCAGCCTGGTCGCGAGCACCTTGACCTCCCACCGTGCCTTCTTGGACGCTACGGAGACGACCCGAAGAAGCTCAACGTTCTCGTTTACGGTCACTACGACGTACAGCCCGCGAACAGATCCGACGGATGGGCGACCGACCCCTTCACCCTCACCATCGACGACAAGGACCGCATGTACGGACGCGGTAGCACCGATGACAAGGGCCCGGTTCTTGGCTGGTTGAATGCGATTGAGGCACATCAGAAGGCAGGCGTAGAACTCCCAGTCAACCTGATCATGTGCTTCGAAGGCATGGAAGAGAACGGATCAGAGGGTCTGGACGACACCATCCGCGCCGAGGCCAAGAAGTTCTTCAAAGACGTAGATGTTGTTTGCATCTCAGACAACTACTGGCTAGGAACTGAGAAGCCATGCTTGACATACGGTGTTCGCGGTTGCAACTACTACCAAGTAGAGGTCTCTGGCCCTGGTCAGGACCTGCACTCTGGTGTCTACGGTGGAATGACACACGAGCCCATGACCGACTTGGTTCGCATCATGAACTCGTTGGTCGACCCCGACGGCAAGATTCTCATCAAGGGCGTCGATGACCTCGTCGCCCCACTTACCGAGCAAGAAGCTGCACTTTACCCACCCATCGCCTTCACCATGGACGGTCTGCGGGAATCATTGGGTGGTGAAGTCACCATCCACGACAATAAGGAGGATGCGCTCAAGTCCAAGATGCGATACCCATCGCTGTCGCTCCACGGCATTGAGGGTGCTTTCTACTCCGAGGGCGCGAAGACTGTCATCCCTGCCAAGGTCATTGGAAAGTTCTCCATTCGCACAGTACCAAACATGGAGATCGACCCAGTCACCAAGTTGGTTGAGAAGCATGTCGACGACGAGTTTGCCAAGCTCAAGTCCAAGAACAAAATGAAGTTCAGCGTGGTGCACTGCGGAAAGTGGTGGGTGGAGGACCCCAACCACCCCAACTACACTGCTGCTGCCAAGGCCGTCGAGCGTGTATTTGGTGTAAAGCCAGACATGACCCGAGAGGGTGGTAGCATCCCTGTTACCTTGACCTTCCAGGAGGAGCTAGGCAAGAATGTCCTATTGCTGCCAATGGGTAGCTCGACTGACGCCGCTCACTCGATAAACGAGAAGCTGGACAAGAGGAACTACATTGAGGGCACGAAGCTACTAGGAGCCTACCTGCACTACATTGCAGGAGAGATGAAGCGCGAGTAGATGTCGCTCACTTGAATAACACTGTCGGTCTAGTTCTTGTAGGTTCGTAAATCGTTAGTTTCCGAAAGAAGCGTATACCCATCCAGCAGCGTGCTCTCTTCTTGCGACTCTGGTCCGACCAAGTGACCGATGCATACTTTATTCTGCCATACATCTTCTCTTAAAACGGCAAAGTGCATACCTCGCCTATGCTTGTAGTGTCCGCATCTTGACTATGTTATGGATGTACTCTGGGGTTGGGTGATGGGATCCCGCCCCAGCTTTGACCACCCGGCGCGGAACAACTAAAAAAGTTCGGCATCGCTCCACCCAGGACGGCCAGCACCGTGCCAACGCGTGCACCTCAAGCAGCCCGCCAAACCCAACCCCAATTCCACAATGTCAACATGTAAATCCCTCCTTCGGGCATGTCCATCGCAACGGACTACTCCATCGCTCCTTCCCCTCACGCAATGTCGTTTCGAATCCACAACCCGGCGGCACAGAAAACTGCTCGCACTCCCCGAAGCACCATCCTACACACCCGACCGCTCGGCTCCCACATTGGTCTTCAATCCCCCGTCTTCGGCGCCAAACGTCTATCACACGCCGCTCAAGTTTCTGCCCAAGGAAGATAAGAGAAGACAGTTATACGCTGCCGCTCAACAATACGCAACAAAACTGGCGCACACACGGCAATCCTCCCACATCGCAGCGCCCGGCACACCACTCAACACAGACAGTTTCCTTCCACCGCGCCCTTCTGCCTCCCTGCCTGCGCCTGTTCGACAGCCATACGAGAAGACCTACCATCTCAACGAGAATGATATTGCTGAGATTAGGAGGCTGAGGAGTCAGGACCCAGATACATGGACGCGGGTGAAGCTGGCGGAGAAATTCGGTTGCAGTCAGTTCTTTGTGGGTATGGTTGCTAAAAACGAGGGCAAGGCGGAGAGGGTAAACAGGGAGCATGAGGCGGCAAGGAGGAAGTGGGGAACCAGGAGACGAGAGGCTAGGGAGGACCGGGGCAGGAGGAAGGTGCTTTGGGGGAGAGACGCTTAGGCAATTATGCATGCAGTTATTCGTTGTTGATTCTGTATAGGCATCTACACCAGATATGGATCACAACCGCGGACTTTCATGCCTTCTGGGGCAGGGTGACCTCAGATCTGGGTCATAGGGCACGAACACACTATAGATATGGCATACGATATGTGTAAACAGTATAAAGGTACAATTATATCTTGATGCATCACGACTTTCGCCAGCCTTCTGATCAGCAACCATATGTTGATGATCGCCATTCCTAGACGTATGCCAATGGGTATCATGTCAAGACTCCGTAAACGCCAGACTCCTCCATACTGGAAACACTCCCATGTTCACCCTCGACCTCCTCTCTCCACCTCGATTGCCTTCCCAACCCTGAAAGCAAAACCCTCGCCATCTCTTGCGCCTGCGCCTACCTTCCAGCACTCAAACCGCCCCCGACTAGCTACCTCCCAACGCTGCAGTCTCTCTTTTTCAGCCTCTTCAACACTGATTGCGGGAGCAAACTTGGGTACGTCTACACGGCGGATTGCTAATCGCGTGACCGACGTACCTTGAGGCCATGACGTAGGTAAAGCAGGCCTGTATGATGATTGCGAGGTAGAATGCGACGTAAGTACCGCGCCACAGGAGAGTAGTTTGATTAGCTTGGTGAGGCGGATTATGAGTTGTGTGGATGCCATTGCCAAAGTGTTTGACGACATGGAGACAGAAGAATTGTTTGTGTTTCGTATCGACCAGATAAAAGCGTCGATGTCTTCCAAGACAATGGACTGGATACGGCGGTGCATACTCTTGTGTGGAGTCGTCTGGTTCAACAGGTAGTCTGGTAGGGAATCAAGAGTAGCTAGTAGGGAAGGCCAGGACTTAGGGTAAAAGATATGGAGGTGTTGGAGTGCGGTCTTGACCATGATTTTGACGTCGACTCTTAGGGGTTCATTGATCTCCAGATCTGTGGAAAGGAGTTGCGAATTTACGATGGACAGCATTGTTTCTGCTAACCGAAGGATGCTGAAGTGATGTAGTGGGTCGAAAAGAACGACGGCTACCCCTTGGCCGCCTACTGAGACGGCGCGGAAAGTTGGGGGGAGTATGGCGTGGGCAATCATGAAATAGAGAAGTGATGTTTTCCCAGCTCCAGAGGGGTGTTGTGTTGGTGGTGGGGAGATGATTTCAAGGATCGGGGATCCTGAGCCAGAAATGAGACGGTCAATCTCCGGGACATTGAAATGTGATGTTTGGGTGGTATTCGTGCCAATGGTACTGTTCAAAGTCAGCTTCGATTCGTACTTCATCCCACCAATGAGAATGAAAGATAAAAATCTGGTCTAGTTTTGTAAACAACAACACATACACGTTATCCTCGCTTATAACAAACTCTCGAAGAGATCTGAAGACCTGTGCCGACGTTAGTATACATTATATTCTAGGGTCGTCGTGTTAATGCGAAATACCGAGCTCAAATCCTCAACAGACACCTCCATCAGCAATTTCTCCCCAAGCCTCTTCGCTCCATCACTACTCATTTTCCTTTTTCCGTTCAGACTACCACCCTGCTCTTTTGTCTTCTAGTCGACCGCAGTCAGACTGCTTGATATACCTTGCTTCGCGCAATGGCACCACCGATTTCAACGATCCCCGTCTCCGAGTTGGAAGCGTCAATCAACACTTTGCCGTCCGGCAAGCCACGGAATCCAAAAGTCAAATTGGGCGATTGTGTGCTGAAGGAACTGGTACAGTACAAATGTCTCTCAGAGCAGCCGAAGAAGAAGGCAGTTGCATCTGGCGTACTATGTGAGCCGTTAGTTCACTTGCTGAGACGGTGAGTGCTGAGCGAGGTGGAATGCCCGAGGTCTTGGCGTCGTGATTAAGCTCGAGAAGCCAGTGTGATGGAATTGGATGTATGGCTAATGACATGCCAGCTGTCCAGGAGGATTGATCGTTGAGACCACCGCGTGGGAAGAGTGGAAGGCGAAGCAGGAAGGTGCAAAGGTTGAGGGGTGAAATGAGGTCGCCAGGGTGGAAATGGCATCGTGCAACGTCACGCATGCAGTACCTGTTTACATAACAAGTGCATGTCTTCATGATCACAATTTCAGCTCTAGAGTCTTACTAACAATTTGACCAGGAAGAGATGCAGTCAAGATATGCAATCGATTGATGACGAAAAGATGTAATGCTCGCCTTGGCCACACTATGTGTCACCGCTGACTGCTCTAGTATAGCAGAGTGAGCAGACTATAATACAACTTCTAACAAAGAAATGAAATATCAACGCCGCTTAAATGCCTGAAGCGTGCCTAAGCCCCCTAGGGCCGAAATGCAGGTACCCAAACGCCTCGCTATCAGAATGCAGTAGTAGAACGACTTTTTCAAAATCATGTTGCCGCCGTGTTTCAGGTGTCATAAACTATGAAGCGCCGGTGGCGGACTTTCTCCAGTATTTCTGGTCGTAGTTGACATGTACGCCTTCCTCAAGGTTGACGTTCCGATCAGTCGTCAGCTGCCGTATTGGAGCGTCTTGGGGCATATCCCAGTCATCGTCGTACTCGTCCGTCTGGGCTTGCCGCCGCTCTTCCTCCTTCTCTCGCTGGTTCTCTTCGTCGAGCAGGTCTTTCATAGCGGCTTGCCACAACTGGTCGCTCTCCTTCATGCGCCTGCTGCGCTTGCGCTTGCCAACGTTCTGTTTCTGGACGCCTGCCTTCTGTGCCGCCATGAGTTTTCGAAGACTCTGTTCGGCAAGGATGCCCTCCTCAGTCGCCTTCTCGCGGATCTTGCGCGGATCATTTTCGCGTTTGGTAAAGACGGGCGTTGCTGTATACGTGTGTTTTGATGGGAAACCGGGGAAATGCTTTGGTATATAGCGGCGCGTTTCTTTGTCCGCCTTGCCGGAAAGACCAAGACCCAGCAAGGACTCGGTGTCGGGCGGCGGAGCCTCTGGAGGCGCAGGAGGTTCAAAGTATGGTTGCAGTACCAATGGTGGAACTTCACCTGTGTCAATATGTTGTTCGAGGGAAGCCGAGCCGCGTAGGCCGGCAGATGTGAGGGCGTAGATCCAGTCGTGGGCTACGGTTTCGGTGCGCCGCGAGCTGGTCATTGACGTCCGTACTTGTGCTAGAAAGTTGGTCATGTCTGTGACGAGTCAGTCCTGAAAAGTGTAGCGGGCTCTCATGGCCAGTTTCTGTCGCAAGGTGAAGCCATACAGGAATCGACCAGTGCCCGGAACTCCTCCAACGCGTCCGGGCGCGCGCTCTCGAAGCCGACGCCTTTGCATTGTATCGCTATTGCGCGGCGCAATTGCTGATCGAAGAAGTCTTTGCTCTCGCCAAAGGGATCGAGCTCTGCGCTGATGGGTTCGGCGATGTGCTGGATGGGCTGCGTGTGGTGCAGCGCCCGAACGACTTGCCGCTTCTTGGGATGTGGCTCTCCGTATGTCGGCGCGTTTCCCGCATCATGTGCTCTCTTCATGCCTGCGATGGCGCCCTCGCTGCTGGCGCTGGGAGAAAGTATGATGCCTGGCATATGCTGCTCGTTGTCGCGATTCCGGCTATGGGTGAAGGCGTGGCTGGACAATGTGCACGCGATGGTGGTTCCAAGGACGAGTTTATCGGTAGGTAAGAGCGCGGGCGGGAGTGCGAGGGCGCATCGGTTGCAGAGAACTGCCCTGACAATGGGAGCAGACGTGAAGGCGCGTGTGGTCTCGTATTCGATGGTGTTGTCTCCTTTCACCTGACTGCCGGCCGTTGTCTTTCAGTCGGGAGCTTCCAAGGCGCGGGACGCTAAGGCTGCCTTACGTCAGCAGCAGCCGCCGTTACTTCTCCCCGTCGAACCACCACAACTTCAGATAGCCGCAGACGACGACTACCAGCTCCCGCAACCCCCATTCGCGCTCCAAAACTCTCCGCTCTCCCGAAACCGACTTTTACAATGGCCGTCAAACCCATCACCGGCGTATGTGCTGCCATTGAGTGCTTTGGCCGGTAGTGGGCTGGATGCTAATGACTGGATTGCAGATGCTCCGACGACAGGTCGTGCTCGACCTCTCTGTCGCCATGGGTGCGTAGAAACCTGGCAGTATACGTGCCGTATTTTTGGGGCTTGGAGAGCTCTGTAGACGTGCGCGCATCATCTTTGGAGCTTGGCTAACAGCAATCGCAGGCCTCGGCGTCACTGCCGGCTATGGCTGGTGGTACGGTACGTAAATCATCCACTGGCGATGCGACTGCGCTTCCCACTGCCAAAATTGCTTCCGTTCCCGTTCTTACTTTCCAAGGCTACCACGTCCCCGCCGTCCGTCACCGTGACGCTTTCTACCAGAAGCTAGAAGATGAGCGCGCGTCGGCTCTCGGCCAGAAATAAGCCAACACTCCTCGCGACCCGACATCTCCTTTGTATCGACAGGTCTTGAAAGCATAGAGTGGACGTTAAGCTGGGGATCAAAGTGTATCATAAATGGAGTGGATCTCTCGACAGCAAGCCAAATCAGACTACGTCAAACGACCCCGCGTATGCGTCTTCGCATGTCATGTGCTCTGTGATTGTAGCGTGTCCCGCACCATTGTCTAGTGCTGCCGCAAAGAGAGCTGCTTATTCACGTTGAAAATCCGGCTGCACGTGCTCACATTTTCCCACGGGGCACTGCCACGCTGCGCACTCGACACATGGAAATCGTAGGCCTGAGACGCCCTATTCCACATGCCTTTATAAGCCATAACGTCCGACGGTCTGCAGAACACCATGCCATGATCTGCGTTCTAGCTCCAATGTATCAAGCAGTTAAACCCTAGAACACCAGCTGTCCTGGTCATCACGAAATATATACCTAGCATCCAGCTTACTCATTTCGTATCACTTGAGGCGAATGAAAAAAAAAAAGGAATGTACACAATCCATCAGTTCGGGTGTTAGAGGCTGCAAGGGATCTCTGACGAACCTGCAGATAGCTAACACCAGGGCTTTACTGCCGTTACATGATCACATAAAGTTTGATATACTAATAACTAGGTCAATGCATCTCGTCTGCTTCGTCAGCCTGCTTATCCCACGTGAAGCTCTCGTGTTGTGGAAGGTCAGGCGGTCTTCTTCAATGTTCATGTTGAGTTTCGAAAACAGCTGTTTGGTCGCAACGGAGCATCAACAATCCAAGAATCCTCTTCAGTATAGAAGAGACAAACGCAATCAAGACAAGATTGTTTTATCTAGGAAAGGGTACAGTACATCTTTTCCACTTACAGTTCTCAGAGTTGAGCAGCAGTATTCTATAGCTGCATCTACCACTATCAGCTCACGGTGATGGCCGCGCACGATTGATAGGACAAGGGAAAAAAATAAAGTTAGATGTTCAATCGCGATCGATAATCGATGATCAGGGCCAGCGCACGGACTAGTCGTAGAAACTGCTCCTGCCTCGAAATCTCGTGTCATGAACCTCAACTCAGACCGCGATGAATCTACCCTGATTGTTGTACAATTTATTCCCACAGTAGTCGAAAATGTACAGAACACTTAGAAGAGGCACACAACGAGACATGACAGCGCTCAAGTTTCAAGGCGATCCAGAAGATTCTGATGCTTCGATGGTGGTGGTTACAAGTCGTCTCACCAAGCTATCACGAAACTGTTGGTAGACTGTCATGACGCGCCAGGCCAATGACAGAGTGATATGGGTCACGAGGCGCGACGCGACACGTTGTATGCTACTTGTTTCTTGGTCATTAAAGCAAAAAAGTCCGATGTTCGATTGCAAACGCCATGCAAGACAAAGCAGCGGTGGGGGGAAGCAGAAACGTGTCAAACGCTGGGTGCTATTGGCCGAGAACCAGGCTTCACTCACAGGTTCCCTGGCGATCATGCCCAATCCATGGCGCTGACTGCAGGGAAGCGTCGCCGCCAAGGATCGACGCGAACCCAGAGACTCAAGGCGCAGCAGCGTGGCAAGCGGGAGTCGTATTAGGGAAAATGGCATGTTTTGTGGTACGGGGCTGAAGGAGCTGCTCTCGATGGGGGAGAGGTGAAGAAAAAGCAGCGTCAGGGATGAGAGGCGGATTCGAGAGGCAAGGTGACTGCTTTGACAGCGGCGTGTTGGTTCGGAACGGGGTGAGGACCCATAGCATAGCGTCCGGCGCCTTAGCGCGAGATGTGGATGACTAGTCCCTCACCATCCATTAGGGCAACGGGTGGCCGATCACCAGCGACCTGGCTTGAAGTTGAGTAGAGGACTGGGGGCGTCAGGTGGGCGTCCCCTTTGATGATTTGTAGTAATAACGGCATACGGGCACTTGGCTACTCTTCTAGATCTGTGTGTATGGCAGGTGACGGGACTGCGCAACGGAGTACAGGCAGAGCTGCCATGAAGGCGACAGGCGTCTTGTATCTGTCGGGTGCCATCTGTCCTCGATAGGGATATTGGACGAGATGATTTGAGTGAAGGCGTTGGTGCCCTGATCACCGCCTGGCGCAGATGACGACTAAAGTGGCTAGCGAGCGATGGTAGTGGAAAAAGCAGCCGTACCCTCGCTCATCGAATAGACGGCATGGCGCCATTTAAAGCCACAGGGCTCGACCAGACGGTAGGGATGAAACTCCGCAGTCGTCAAGACGCACACCGGGCGCTGCATAGTAGAGCTGCCACAGTGATCAAACACCTGGCAAAGGCTAAGACGGTGAACTATGGCAAGATGAGAGCGACGCATAGGCCGGCAGGGCGGGGAGGAGGGAAGACGACAGGAGCACATGGTTCGTCCTGCCACCAGAACTGCGGAAGATTTGGCGGGTCCCAGCCAAGCGCTAGCGCCATTCATTCGACGAACCTGTGATACCTGGTCGAGAGACGGGGGGCGCAACAGGCACCCTTTTGGGCCGTCGCCGACCGGGGTAGTGGTGTAGATAGATGAATGCGATATCGAGCAAGCTCTCGTAGCAAAACGTCGTCCTGCATCTGCCTCGACAGCTGTTCCTGCCTTCTGGAGCATGACCACAGACGGACCGGGGCAGGAGCGTTAGAGGGCCTACCACTTGCAGCTAGCGGATAGATCCCTGCAGTTGGACGAGGTAGGTGCGACGGGCGCGATTGCTGCACCTGGGCTGCGACGCACGCCCTCTTTCTGACGGCTCTCGCAATCTTCCTCGCTCACCCACCCAAACACGTCTGAGTTTGCATCTTCTTCTTCTTCTTCTTCTTCTTCTTCTTTGCCGTTCTAGCGACATCACCACTTCGATAGCTGCATCTTGTCCCCATGGACACGTCGTCTTGAAAGCTGCAGCTGCGTAATTTAGGCGCCGTCGTTTGGGTCCACGGGTGCTGCGCTAACATTGCGCCCTGTCCGCAACTGTCGATCAGTCTCGAGCCGCAGCTGGCGTCGTCCTCTCGAGCCTCCGCCTTTCACTCACCTAAGCCTCACTCCAGGTGAGCAGCTGTGGCCCTGCCTTTACTCGCATCCTCCCTCCCGAGCCGCAGGCCCAGGCTCTATTCTACGACACTCGACACGCTTCTCTCTCTGGTCGCTCACATCTTCGCCAACGTCACTCCCCGTCACCGTCACCGTCACCGTCACCGTCACCGCCCCATCTTGGGTCTCACCAAGTCATCTACTCGACACCAAACACGACGCCTCGACGCCGTAGTCGACCCGCCGCCCGCCGCATCACTGAAACCCTCGGCCTGCATGAGTGCTGCTGTTCACTGCACTTCCGCGGCACTGCACCGCTGCGTATACCCGTCGCACCTCTGCCAGCTTGCGACATAACGCGCCTTCGATCATTCGCGCGCCATCATGAACAACCCCAACATGCAACAGAATGGCATGCAACAAAACCGGGCCGCTGCGGGACTCCATCACTTTATCCAGCACTATCGTGTCCAGCAGCAGCAGGGTAAGATTCCAAATGGCTGGCAACAGGGCACACCGCCTGAGGAGCGCGGTCAGTTGGCCCTTCAGTTCTTCACCCAGTACCGCCTGCTGAAGCCTGAGATCGCCGAAGTCGAGTCCATGCGCGCCGCCCTCCAGTTCGAGACGCAAACCTTTATGTCTTCGTCAACAAAGGACCAATACGTCTCTAACATCAAACAAAAGCTCATCGTCATGACGACAGCGCGGCAGCAACAACTGCAGCAACGCATGCAAGGCGGCGCACCCAACAATATGAACAATCCGATGAACGGTATGAACGGCATGAACCCCGCCCAGATGAACATGATGAATCAGATGGGTCAGCAAGGCGCCAGGCAGGGAACCCCACAACAGTTCAACCCGGCCTTTCCGAACGCCCAACTCCAGCGACCGATGCAGGTTTCGCCCGTTCCCATGACGCAAGGACAGTCTTCGATGGGTGTAAATGGTGCAAACCCCACCAACATGTCCCAACCGGGTCAGAATAACCAGCAACCAAACATGCAGGCCAATCAGAACCAGCAGCAGAATCGTCAGGACCAAATGATCATCAACCAATTCGCAAAGAAGTTGATGGACACTTGTAAAGAGGAGGTTCGGCTCAAGTTTGAAGCTGATATTCGAGCCTGGCCTGAGGACAAGAAACAGCAGTTGCTCGCCCAAGGCGTCAACCCTCTTTTCCTCCGCTTCCGACAACATGCTGACATGCTCTACCGAAGAGGCGCCCTCAACCAGCAGGGAGCTGCTCAGAATGCCGGCGCCATGCAAGGAGCTGCTCAGCCGAACCGGATGCAGAGCCAGCAGATGAATATGGGTCAACGTCAGCCTAACCAAGAGTTCGATTTCACCGAGATAGCAAATCGGCAGATGGAAGCTATGCGCAGCCAAGACCAGGGCACCACCGTGGTACCTGCAAGTAACAACCCGAATAATGGTGGTCAGATGAGTGGCTTCCCAGGTCAAAACTCGCAACAAAACCAACCTCAAAATGCCATGGCTCAGCAGCGTCAGGCTGCTGAAGCCTTTCACCGCCAGCAGCAGGCGCAACAAGCGCAACAAGCGCAAGCGCATGCACAGGCCCAGGCTCAGGCCCAGGCGCGGTTGGAACAACAACGGCAGCAACAGGCAGCTCAAGCACGCAACCAACAGAACCAGCTGCTCCAAGGTCAAATTGGAGGACTGAACCTCCCCGGAGGTTCGCAACAAGCTAGCCCTGCTATGCCTATGCTCAACCGACCGATGCCTCCACCGGGACAATCAGGACCTCCTGGGACACCACAACAGCAGCGCCCCCCTCAAGCTCATGTTCCGATCATGACGCCTCAACCTGGCCAAGCCGACCCCAACTTGTCCGAACTTATGCGTCAAGCCCAACAAAGAGCTGCTGCCGTCCAAGCGGCCAACCAGCAACCGCTGACTGATCAGGTTCGCATGAATATGATGCCAGCCGACCTCGACCCAAACGTAAAGCAGCAACTGCTCAAGGTTCCGGAGCCCCAGTTCCGTGTGATACTACAAAGCTACATGATGAACCTTCGTCGCAGTAATGGCATGCAAAACGGCGCTTTTCCACCAGGCCAACCTAACGCAGGCCAGCCGAATATGCCGTTCAACCAACAGCAGCAGTTGCCGCCTGGCATGACCGGTCAAATGCTTGGCGGTCCTAACATGCCCAATATGGTTCGCCCTGGCATGAACCTTGGGCAGCCACAACCTGGAGCTGGGCCACAGCCTCCTATGGGGGCACAGCGTCCCCCAATGCCATCTCAGCAACAGCGTTTGCAAGCTGCCTCCAACTTGTTACGAGCCAACCCTGGCATCATACATGCTACTGACCCAAAACCGTTCCCTCCGAATGTTTTGAACAATTCAATTCGAAACAGCCTTCCCCAGGATGTTAGAACATGGCAGCAGCTCAAATTATGGGCCAGCCAGAATCCCGCTCTGGTACCAGGTGTTGACAGTCAAAAGCTGCTCATGCTACAAGTTCTTCACTTCCAGGACATGGTAAGACAATCCGGTGGTGTGGGGGGTGTCCATCCTACACCACAGCCTGGCCATGGGCTCGCTCCACCTGTGCAAGTCAATGCGAACCAAGGTCCCATTAGGACACCGCAGCAGCAACAGAACATGCCGAACATGGCCGCCCTTCAGGTCACCCCACAGGACTTGCAACAGTTTCGGGCAAGGATGGCAGGCTCGCCACAAGCCAATCTACCCGACGAACAACTACGAGGTTTCATGATCTCACTGAGGATGAAGAATCTACAGCAACAAAGGCAGCAACAGGCGCAATCTGCAATGCTCAACCAACAAGCCCAACGTAACCAAGCGCAGCCGCCAGTCAACATGCCTATTCAACAGCATCAGCCCAACCGCCCACCGACGGCGCAACCCCCAACACAGGCAACACCCCAGCCAAAAGCAGCAGCCAGACCGCAACCACAATCGCAGCCCATGCAGTCGCAACCTTCCAATAACGCCGGAAACAAAGGCACGAAGCGACCGAACGAGGACTCTACAGAGTCTGGCAATGATGCCACGCCACAAGCTGCTGCTATGGCTTCTTCAAAGTCTCAGCCCGGATTCAACCTTACCCATGAGCAAGTGTCCAAGCTTACCCCTGCTCAGCAGACGCAGTATAAGGCCCAGTTGCTGAAGGCTCAGGACCCATCGAACAACAAGATGCAGCAACAAAGAGGTGGTGTGGTCAACCACGAAGAACTACGGCAACGAATGGCAGATCCGACAAGGACACGACAGTTCAAGCAGCTGATGGACGAAGTCGAGAAGAGCATTCCCGCCAGACAGCCTGTGCAGCTTCCACCGCAGATGCGAGTACCTCTGCAGCGATCACTGAAAGAACAGCTCCATCGGTTAAAGCAGGTGGACCAGGCTCTACGTATCTTCCACGCCTCATACGACTCCTCTGAGCCTGAGCAAGTTCTTCGTCAGATCATGGCATCTCGCGTACTTTTATATCAGCAGTTCGACCAAGCTGACGGGACGCTCCACCCTCAAGTCACTCTGACTATTGAAGAGTTTAAGAACCATATGGGCGCGACTCTCAAGTTTGTCGCTAAGATCATGGAAAAGGTTAAGCAGCAATCAGCTGCGTCGCAGCCGCAACCTCAGGGTGGTTCGAATGCCCCGCCCGCTCAACTTAATGCCGCAAATCTGAAAATCGTAGAACAACAAAACCGCAGCCAGAAGGCTCCTTCCGCCCCTACCACCGACCGTCCACCGTTTGCCATCGGAGCTGATTCGGGTCACGGAGCAGCACACTACTTCGAGGGCGCGAGGCCAGTCACGAACCTTGTGTTGCCCGAGAAGAAGCGTGCAAAACTCGCGGGTAGTGAGACATCTACCCCGGGTGCTAGAGCGTCTCCTCGGATTGGTTCAGGCACAGGTAACTCACCTGAGCTCAAGAGACAACCACCGCCCAACGTACCACAGCGGCCGACCTTCCGATGCAACGACGCGAGTTGCGAGTACTCCGTTCGAGGGTTTGACACCCAAGCTGAACTGGAAGCGCATAGTCAGATACATGCAAAGGTTGAGAATCCGATGCAGTTTGCTCTAGACTCCATGGCCGATTACCTTGATATTGACCAGAAAACTGGCGAAGCCAAGGTGGATCAGAATGCCGCAAAAAGTGCCCCGAAGCCTGTACCAGCTGCTCCACAAGTATCTCAACAACCCGTCAAACCGGGGCAGACCCCTGGCGCTGCGCATAGTGCTGCCACTCCAGTCGGGCAACAAGCGACGGCGATGGCGCGTGTGCCAACGCAAACAGGCGTCAAGGACTCACCGTCTTCAAACCTGCTCAAGACACCTCAGGCAATGACGAAGGTGGCTACCCCCGGGTCGGGTGCTCGCGGTAAACCTACGCCAGCCAGTATTCCCAAATCAGCACCGAAGGAGCAACAAGCGACAGCTCCAGAGCCTGTACCCAAGGAAGAAGAGCAGAAGCCGCAACAACCAATGTTGCCAATGTCACTTCTTGACTACTCGTACGAAGACACTTTCGCGGCTCTGGATGCGAACGGACCTTTCACCGTGATGGATCTCAAGGATGAAGACCACGCCTGGACACTCCGTTCCCGACCTGCTTCGCCATCGGCTACACCCGAATCATCCAACAAGGATACACCTTCTACACGACAGTCCGATATCTCGGAGAATGATAACCTATTCATCAACATCGATCTCAAAGACGCCGATATGCCTGACGCATGGGCAATGACAATGACGGGCGACGCTCTTCCGATCGACCTGCAACTTTCAGAAGACTTGCAGAATCTCGGAGTTGTTCTTCCTCCCATGGACAGCGAAGACATGATGCTCTTTCCGGACTATGGCCCTGGAACTATGATGGACCTCGATATGCTCGAGAAGACCATGGACAGCATGGGCGGGACACTCGATCCATCCCTGCTTTGAGCCTTGTTCTCGCTGCCCTCTTTCAATCCTGTTCCATTCATTTTGCATTTACTTGCGATTATTCTTTTGCCTTCGGGCTTTGTTCATGTGCCTGCCATGTACTACGATTTCACTCGCTTTTTGGTTTATATTGTCTGTACTTGCATGGTGTTCGGGATTGATTACGGCCTATCACATATGTATGAGCAAAGCTTAGTTGGTGATGTGGGCTCATGGCGCTTTCTATGCTGCAATGGGAAAAATGGGAGTGTATACAGCATTTGAGGAGAATTTTGTAATTTGGTCTTGTATTTGGCATGGTTTGTGGATATTATACCCCGTCTTCCTGTCACTTCCGGTTTTTGTGGTGCAGGGAAAGTAGTATCTGGAGTTCTATTTAGTTGTCAATTTCGCGATACACATTATCTGTTTGATGGTGATATAAAGCCAGGCTTTCTGCAAAAGTGATGTCCTTGTTCATTTCCCGACGATGCGGGGGGCTGTGACGTGATGCACCACGCTAAGAGAAGCGCGGTTCCCATGGATCTTGTACAAATATGTTGTCAGAGACTCGTCTGGATACATATGTACCACGGTACGATTAGCGAGTCTACATCGTGGACGCGGGGCTTATTGCACCCTTTCTCCGCACATCTCGCTTTAGACATGATGCCACCGAACACCTGGCACCGGTACGTATGACGGCCAGCGGACGAGGCCGAGATGGGCAAGTCGGCGAAGACCCCCTTTCCACAGTGCGAACCATGGTACCAACATGGATACGGCAACGTAAAGAATAACGTTTAATTTTGACATGACATGATGCAAGGCGCGTGTCATAGATTTGCAGCTGGCAGCGCCTGTATCCATGGTACTGAACATTAGTGTCTCGGCGAAAAGATGGAGTGAGATTCAGATTCCCAACGACAATTATTTCCTCTTTTGCCTCTCCCAACATGATGCAGGTAAAGATATGCGGACAAGGCCGAGTATGATGCGAAAGTGAAAGAAGAAAGGAAAAAAAATTCTAGGGCGTTATGACGTTTGCGCACCTCGCCTCCGGGACTCCCGCTTCCATTGCCCTGCCTGGTGCTGGCTTGCGATGGCGGTTATGCAGGGCAAGAGGCTGAGCAGGCGTGGCGAAGGCAGGAGCAGTTGCTATTCTCGGCATGCTGCATGGCGTGCATTTTGCGGGCATGCCACGCGATGGGTATTCTCTGGATGGCCTGGAGATGTGTCGGCGCTTTGTTGGACTAGGCAAGTTGGACAAAGACTGCGAGGCAGAATTTGGGATTTCTTTTTCCATGGTGGTTAGAGAGGGCGTAAGTAATGCATGTTGGTGGTACCGCGGATAAGCTGCTATTTGCAGTGGACAGTGGCTGCTGGTTGCAAGGTTGCGATCAGCTTGGGGCTCGGAATGGTTCCGAGTGGTGAAGGTTCTGAAGAGATTTGGGGGCGGTGAGAGCCCCATCGGTCGGTGAGATGACGGGTGAATGGGTATGCGCAACGTGATGGACAGGGTCTATGTTGTGGGTCTGGGGTAAAGAGGACTGCGATTTGCTCGGTTGGACTGCCTAGCTGGGGATGAGTTGGGATTGGCGAACCATGTCGGGCAGGAATTGGGTTGTTTGTGATGGGCGTACTTGTGGAGATTAGAGATTGCGATGTTCGAGACGATGACTGGAAGGCTTGCCACGAAGCATGACAACGAATTCACTCGATTACCAGAAAAAAACAGATGCATGTAGTAAGATTTCATTTGTATCATGGTAGAGGGGATTTGTCAATGCGCCTTCATGTCATCTTCGATCTTGATCTCACACCTTCCTTCTGGAAGCCAACGCCAAGGAGCATGCAGATGCGCGTCACGGCTAGGAAATAAACGAACGGGACGTTCCCCAGATCAATGGCGTTCCACCGCCAAAAGGCCCAGTAGATGTGGATTCCGAGGGGCAGGATAGTGAGCAAATGTCCTAGGTCGGCGACAAGCAAGCCGACCAAGAAGGTCTTCCAGACTTTGATGTCTGGAGTGGCGCGCAAGACCGAGGCTTCCAAAAAAGCAAGTCCTAGGTACAAATTCGCTAACTGTGACATGACTATGGATGTTGAGATGGGAAGCGAGGCGGCCGGTGAGCTGGCTGCATGCGTCAAGTGCAGGTAGGTGGACTGGAAGAAGTGTGCATAGATGGCGCCTGTGAGGATGGAGACGGGCTCGAGCCAGCAAAAGACGAAGCGATAGACGCTGGGGATTGCTGGCGCGGGTGGAGCGGTTGATGGCATGGTGTTTGGGCGATGGTTTGGCTCGTTTCGCGTGGTCTGGGTTGTGTGCTCAGCGCGATTCAAGATGGTGTACCGCTCAGCGACTCGGGCGTACCGTGGGAGCGGTGTAGCACAAGAGACGCAGGAGGCAGTATAGTGGCAGGGCAGCGGAGAAGCCGGATGCAGCAGCAAGTGGTTGAGCGGTACTCTCGTACGTAGCAAAAGGTCGACGGTGTGTGTAGTGCTGGCATGATAAGATAAGTCGTAATTTGCAAGGGGTGGGTCCCGTCTGGAGTTGCTTTGGTGGACAGACCACGTTCGGGAGGCACTCGAACCGGCTTGAGATCGGCTGAGTCTCCTGGCCTAGTGTGTGGCACGTCGTCTGGCGTTGTTAACAAGCTCTGTTTTCCCTTTCTCCTACGTACTAATCCTCATGCTATAAACCTCGCCTTTTCGACCTTTCCGTACCCCTGCTTTCCGCTGCCGTCCACCCTTCACTCTCCCTTTGCTTCGCACACGCTCTCTTAGTCGACCCCCCGTGCTCTTCACCGTACATCCCTGGGAGCATGTATCGCAGGCAGTCTGTCCTGTCGCACCGACCCAAGACCTCTTCCGACGTTGACGACGACACCACGCACACCACCGCCGTTCCGCCGCCGCACACGATGAAGCGGACCATCTCGCAGACATTCCCTACCCACTACCAGCAGGACATCAAGGACACCAACATGTTGGACGCCGTCAATGAAGCCACCATGGCCGCCGACGGCCTCTCGCAGCATTCACAGGCCAGCTCCTTCTCCCGCGCGTTTGGTGCAGTCGCCGGTAGTTTTACTCGCCAGAAGACGCGCCGGCGCATGTCGTCCGTGTCTTCAGCAACACCCGCACAGCGTCGCCGGGGTTCCATACATTCTTTATTCGAGTCTCTGCCCTCTGCCAGCGCTAGCCACAAGTCGACCATGGAACCACAGCAACCACAACAACGGATGCCCCTGCAACACCAAGACTCTGGCATTCCCACTTTCCAGTTGCAGCCACAAAGCACGAGCTCAAAGGCCTTCGCTCCCTTCAAGCGACTGAGTAGCATGCGCCGTCGCCCCACAGCTTCCGGCCCATCCACAGACGTTACCAAGGCTCTTTTTTCATCTCCGCCCATCTCCTACCCCAGCCAATCCGTGCCCGGCGCCGCCGCCCGACAAGCAGCTGCCGCCGCCAACCAGGACCGCCAGAACCAAATACGGCGCGAGCAAGAACACACCCACCGCTTCCTCAATGGCCTCATCACCACCTCGATGCGTGATGACGACATCAAGGATAACGAGAGCGGTGTGGACATGACATGTGCTTCCCCCATTGTCCGCGCCGATAGTGTTACCGAAAAGAAGATGAGTGAGTTGGCTTGGTAGTCCTCAGTGGAGCCACACTAATCGTGTTACAGTCGATCCTTTCCAGCGTCTGCCTGCCGAGCTTGCTACCACTGTGCTTTCAAACCTCGATGCCGCGTCCCTTGTACGTGCCGAGCGCGTCTCTCGCAGCTGGAACGAACACGCATCGTCGCCGCACGTATGGCGAAACGTTTTCCTGCGCAAACACGAACCCGAAGTACACGTCTCCCCTGCGCCGATACAGATGGGCGGCTTGGGTACTGGCAAGATGGCGGGTGGCAACCCAGCGCCTGCCCAAGACTGGAAACAGATGTTCAGAGCGAGAAGCACAATCGACAGCCGATGGAAGGCCGGAACACCTGCTGCCATCTACCTCAACGGCCACACAGACAGCGTCTACTGCTGCCAATTCGACGAGAACAAGGCCATTACCGGCTCGCGTGACCGAACTATTCGTGTGTGGGATCTGAAAACCTACAAGTGCATCAGAGTATACGGCGGTCCCAACCACCGTCCAACCGCCAATACACCGCCACCTATGGAGGAGCGACCTGAACGCGTCATCAGCCACGCCTCGCTCAATGGCACCAAGACTGGCAATGAAATATACACTGTTCCCGCCGATTACCACGATGCCTCTATTTTGTGTTTACAGTACGACAGCGAAATCATGGTGACGGGATCTTCAGACTACACCTGCATCGTTTGGGACATTACTGGCGAAGAATACGTTCCCATGTACCGGCTCCGTGGCCATGAGGCTGGTGTACTAGACGTCTGCCTTGATGACAAGTACATTATTTCCTGCTCCAAGGACGCCATGATCAAGGTCTGGGACCGTAAGACAGGCAACTGCGTTCGCACACTCAAGGGTCATCGAGGACCTGTCAATGCCGTTCAGCTACGTGGCAACTTTCTTGTTTCTGCTAGTGGCGACGGTGTAGCGAAGTTGTGGAATCTTGAAACGGGTGTTTCCATTAAGGATTTTCCCTCTGAAGATCGTGGCCTTGCAGCTGTTGAATTCTCTGATGATGCCAAGTACGTTCTCGCTGGAGGCAACGACCACGTCGTTTACAAGTTCGATGCCTCCACTGGCGAGTTAGTCCACAGCCGGGTCAAGCATGACGGCCTTGTACGATCTCTTTTCCTCGACGCTTTCAACGGTCGCATCGTTTCTGGTTCGTACGATCAGAGTATACAAGTTTCCGACTACGAGACTGGACAAACATACGCTGTGTACAAGAATTGGACCACGAGCTGGATTCTCTCGGCCAAGAGCGATTACAGACGCGTTGTCGCCACGAGTCAGGATGGTAGGACCTTGATCTTGGACTTTGGCCATAACGTACCGGGATCTGAATTGCTCGCTGGGTCGAAGTAATTGCACATAGGAGCTGGACCGACCACAATACGATCCAGCCCGTTCCTGAGCTACATGGTCTTCGATGACTTTGCCGCCGTATCCTCGAAGCAGCTCCTCCCACCTCAGCCATATACCCAGCAAGGTGGCATATATACCCCTCCGCGGAAGGCTTGGGAGAAGTAATGGAAGCAGACGTGAACGTGCGATAATACTTTCGAGGTCAAAAAGTTTTGTTGTCGAAGAACAGGTTTGCTGTTTTCTGGCGTAAAGCATAGCATTCATCAGCAGGCGTTCTTGTCATCTCCCATGCGTAGCTTTTTATTCATTCCCCACATTTCGCTACCTTCTTGCGTCGTTTTGTTTCATGGTAAACTGCATTATTAGCATATATCTTGTGGGCCGTGCCTCTTGCCACGTTTCTATTGTACTTTCAGCAACTAGATTTCCCTTTTGTCATGTTCTTTTTGAGTTGGGTTGGGTCATAGGTGTTGTGCATAGACGTCCGGATGGAGACGAGCGAGCATTGAACGACGCTCTTTAATACAATGATCATACACTTCACTTTTCCTTCTTACTTGGTGATTTGTATCTAGTCCTTGAACAACTAAGCACTGGTTCCTGCGCATCAGCGCCAGCTGGAGGTAGATAAAAAAGCGGACAGAAGAGCGTCATGATACGTTCAGCGCCAAGGGTATATAAATTAAGCAACACAACAATCTCCTCACCAAGTGCCTCTCCTCATACCCACGCCCTCTACCCTCTCAAACCAGCTCCCACTCCTTCCTTTGGTCGCTGCATCCATCCATGTCTTACTCCTCCCTTTAGTCACCTTGTTCGTCAAAGACATGACAAGCGGCACCTTCTTCCTTCTTCGCGAGTTCTTCTAGCCCTCGTTGTTCTTCTCATCAAGACAGATGCACAGTGCAGCAATGAGAGCCATATCTACTCCTGGTGCTATTTGCACACCGTAAGTTTGTTGGCCGAAGAATATGTCTTTGCCGCTAAGAATCTTGCGGTCGATACGGGCGACTACCAGACCTAATCATACTCAGCATCCTGTCCTGCTACGACAACTTTTGTCGTTCAAATGGCGAGGAGAGGGTGAGAAGGGAGACACGTACCGCCTTGTGCTTCATCTAGAATATCAGCCTGAGTATCGAAGAAGTTGCCGCGCATGGTGAGAACTTCTTGTTTCCCATTCGAGGAAGTGAATGTCGCTGTCGCTTTGGATCCGAGTACTAGCACCAGTCAGTTACTTCCATCTCCATGACCAATACCCTTCCTGTCATCCTTCTCCCTCTCTTTCTTCGCTCTGTCCAAATCAGATACCAAGACTTACATTTAAAACTACTCTTGACCTCCATAATCTTATCTCCCTTCGCACTCTCCACTACATATGTGGAATGGAGATGGAAGTGCTCCTTCACGATACTACACAGGTGGTTTCCTTGCATATCGAACATCTTTTTACGACCAGTCAGACTCATGACCTTTCCTTCCACCTGGAGGACTGGCGTGCCATTCGCGAGCTTGATGCTGAAACTGTCGCCGCTGAGCGAGATGACTTTTTCTTTGAGGACAAGTGTTTCTGGGCCTGTGGCAAGGAACTGGGGGAACACGCCGATGGGTTGGGGTGCTGGGGCGAGGGGGGACATGGTGGTGATGGTGTTTGTCTGATGATGGTATTGATGTTGATGTTTGCCTAATGAGAAGAGGACAGTCAGATACGAAGCTAGGTACGAAAGGATGAGATAGTAGTAGGATTAGGTTTGACATTGGGGAGCGTGAGCCTTTAATCGTTTCGGTAGAGATAGCCTTACGTGACACTAGCAAGTGCATCCGATGATCGTGGGGCAGTGCTTATGGTTAGGCAAGCACGGGTGAGGCTGAGCGCGGCCAATCACCCGAGAACGCTGACATTAGAGAATCGAGCTACCCTATTATCAGTCCTTCAAGATGATGCAAAACACTTGAATGGTCTGGGACGAACAATCAACCATGCTGACTGGAAATGCATCAGGCAGACTTTACTTGATTGGCGCGGATCAAATACTACGTGTATGCTGAAAATAGAAGCAAAGCACCTCGCATCACTATTTCGTCGTGGCGCATGCAAATGTAGTTTGTAGTTTTGTAAGACTGAACTTTTGAGCATTGGTAGAGACCATTATGAACTCCACCGAGACTTCTAGTCCCAATTCCTTTACGCGCCCCCAAAATACATGACGAACATGGCGACCATATGCACAAGGCTGGCCTCTAGGAAGCGCAGCTTAGAATATATACACGGACCATAAAGCCGATATAAACAAACGGTCGAGACCTGAGGACTTCTCCATCAAATCAATCCGGGGGTATGAAACTAGGCACCGCTCTGATCCGGCAGTATCGTGAGGAATGGAACTGGTATGACAAAGACAAGACAACAACAACAACAACAGCAACAGTAGAGGAAACCGACAAGACATTAGTTCTGGGCCGCCAGAGTGCGGCCGAATTAAAGACAGTATGTGGTGAGTTGTGGAACGTGTCGAGCGGGTCTTGGGGTATACAAGACAAGACCGACGAGAGATGCGAGATGGCAGATGCAATGCGAGATGAGTAGTACGCACGTTCATGCGTGTCGTGAGGTAAAGAAAATGCTGAGCGAGAGTAAGAAGGCAACAAAGGACTAAGGAATCATTCAAACGTTCTCCGTAAACCGAGATGACCTGGATCCATCTGCCGAGGGCAGACTTCTACCAAGAGTGCCTCGAGGTGGGACATCTGGATTGGGAGATTGTGGTGGGCTGAGATAGTGGCGGTCTGCGAAGGGGTTGCCATCGTCAGGATGCCGTATGACTGGTGTCCTGGCTGGGCTGGGCCGAATGTTCATCTGTCCCGACTCTCGACTTGTCGAATTGTCGCCAATCTCTTTACCGAACTCTTTGGAGATGCTCGGGCCGCCATAGATACCGTGTTCGTCCTGGTAGAAGGAAGAACCAGACATTGTCCCGCCTTGAGAGAACTGATCTGATGTCATGCCTTCACTGAACGCGGACGGGAGTTTGCGACCCGACACCCTCTGGAAGCTCCGCTCGCCACCACTAAGGTTGGTTTCCGCTGTCTTGCCCGACATGGCGGAGAATCGGTTCAAAAAGGCGACAGGAACCAAAGTGCTGCTTGTAGTAGGTGCTTGTCTCATTGACTGGTTGTTGTCGGTGTGATCGTCACCAGTAAGTTGTAGAGCACCACCCTGTTTGCGCTTGTGACGTCGCAGAATCAGCAATATTATGGCAAGGATGAGCGCGGCGCCGGCAAGACTGCCTACGACACTTCCAACTACTTGCGGAGTCTCGAGTGGAGAAGGACTGGTGTCAGCATCCGCATTAGAGGTGGCTGCTGTGGTGGCAGCAGGGGCAAACGCCGTTCCAGACGCATCCCCGCCGGCACCGCCATAGTATGCTGTTGTTGAAGCTGCATTAGAGACGATATCCGTGCTGCGAACAACAGACGTTTCTGCTGATGTCTGAGCATATGATACTCTGCTAGATGAGATGCGGGATTGTGATGTTGATGCTGATGCTGACAAAGATGTGGATGCAGATGGCGAGCGAGTTGGAACTGCCGCTATACTTGCAATGAGTTCAGTCGACGTTGACGCAGAAATGCTGTCGAGGGAAGCGAGAGAGGAAGATGGCAACAAGGAAGCGGTGTCTATGGAACGTCAGATAAGATGGTATTGACAGCGCCGTCTAACTTACTGGATATAGTCGAGTTCAAGATGAAACTAATGTCTGAAAGCGGTGCGGCATCTGGGGCTGGAGATGGAGTCGCGGTGCTTTCTGGGCCACCTGTTGGAATGGGGGATGCGCTGGCCAAGTCGGAGCTGACGGCGACTTGGGCGACGGGAATGCCTGTAGAGTATGGATACGCAGGGACGGTTGGGACAGCAAGGTCACTGGGGAATGGTGGGACGGCTGGAACGGATGGTAGCCCAGGGAGTGCAACTGTAGGTACTGCTGGCAATGCTGGTACACCGGGTAAAGGGGCGGAGGGAAGCGGCTGCTGGGCTGCAGGAGCTACCGAGGGGTTTGGTCCGGCTGAAGTTGCAGCAACGGCTGCGGCGATTGGCGCTGTGGGTCCATTTGAGGCCGGAGGTGTGACAGGCGCCAGAGTCTCCTGAGCGACGAGGTTTCCGTTGGTATCAACAGTGGCAACTACTTCGACAGCGACGGCAACTGTCTTTGTGTTTCCTAGCGCTGCGCGGCGGTGAAAGAAGCGATGACCCCTGCTCATGCTGTCCCTGGCTCTCAGTTCGGGGACAAGATGCTCCTTGGTTGATTCCTCCTCTTTCTCTGCGGATTCTGGCGCACGTTCCTGGGGTGGGGGGACGGTTCGCGCTCGGTGACGGAAGCGCGAATCGACTCTGGATATCCTGGTGGGCGTGGCGACGGGGTCCATAAAGGTCTAGAGACGGAAGCCTGGCCAAGTGGGTGGTGGTGGTGGTGATGCTTCCAGAGTATCGGTGGCGACTTGGATGGGTTCACGGAACATGTGTTGTAGAGACGGTAGGATCAAATGAGCGGACGTATGGGCTTCGGCCAATGCAGGGGTCCAGTCAATGGAGTTGTAGTTGTTTGGGGGCAGCGAGTGAATGGGTGGAAAAGAATGGACGCCAGGTGACTGACTGAGGGCTGGTCTGGACGGGCAACGATCAGCACTCACATGTCACGAGGGGTGAATGGCAGAGGATACGTACCGGAAGGCGATCAAGAGGCCAGCATTTGCTTCGCGATGGTCGCGCGTTTGGAGCGGGCGGGCGGGCTGGTTATGGGGAAGTCGGCAGAGGGAATTTCTAGCGTCGTGTACCAGACGTGGTGTCGATGTCGCGCGACGGCGGCTCCAAAGACTGCGGGAGGGGGTCCCTTTGGCCGGAGTAGCGCTGGGTCCGTGAATTGGCGACGTCGCAGCGGAATCGTCGTGGGAGAGAAGGAGCAGAACGCTACAGCGCAGCGAGACAGGCTGAGGAGACGAGAAACGGTTTGGGGTCTGTAGGCCGTTGGCACAGACCCCGTGGGACTGATTGGCCCGCAACCGAGATGATATGTCCAGGAATAGCAGGACCCACCGGTGCACGATGCGATGACACGCCCTCGCCAACACGCACACGTCCACAACATGACGACTGGTGACGAAGGCCAATCTCTGCAGCGCATCGACTTGTGCGCGCCGCCCGCAACGTCGTGCTGCTTCGTTCTTCGGCAGTGTCGACGTCGGAGAATTGGCGTACCATGGTAGAGAAGGGCTTGCTAGTCAGCCGTCCCGCTTGCACCTGCAGTGGCGCCACGCCAACCATGGGCCAACTTTCAGGTACCGGATTCTGGAACGCCGGTACGCAGGTCCATGGCCCACGCTGCGAAGTCTGTTATTCTTAGTTGCCGCCTTTCTATTGTCGCACCTGCCATTGTCGCACAAACACCCTCGAGTCTGCAATCTGCCGTCGCTCTCTCTGGCGTATTGCCAAGCTCTCGTAGTGCTATTGCTCGCCACGCTCGCCTTTACACTTCACCACCAACATGACGAGCTTCATCTCTCCAACGCCCCATTGTTAGCATCTAAACTCCCCCGTCCCCCTGACCAATCCGCCTCACCAACAAACACCGCACCAACCCCACCCAACAACTGACGGCATGACTGTTTGCCATATAGGGCCATTGACCATAACAAACCTTAAATAGAGGCCTTACTGCCTCAGTCTCAGTCTCAGTCTCAGTCTCAGTCTCGGCGATCAACCGCTATATGCTCGAGTCATGCAGCTTAAGACAAACGTTCCCATGGCCATCCTAACACGGGCGCAACCTCGAAACACGAACATAGGAATTGTTTGCATGCCAAGACAATCGTCGGTGAAGAGCCACCACGATTCCGTCGCTACTACTCACCTCTTTGTCTTCACATGTTTCAAACACACTGTGGGCCTGCCTTCATTAGATTCCACGCGCTCAACTGCGACTGCCGCATGTCCCAACACTGCATCGGGATGCGCACGCTTCCGCTCTGGCTGTAATGCATCACGTCAATTGCGCAACGCTGGGTCCGATTTCTAAACATTACATCGCCGTGTCTACCTGCTGTGCATACGTGATTGTGAATACGTTGGGTGGCGAGCGGATACGACGTCTGCCGTATCGATACGGCCTTGCGTATCCTGTAAGTTGTCGCGTTTACCCCACATAATTGCCCCTCCAGACCGAACGTCCTACCAAGCTGTGCAAATACTTTCCCAACTCTCAAGCCATCGACGATTGTATTGCATCTGTGACTGTTCTCATGCTTGTCGCCAATCCAGTAACAGACACAGCCACGCTCAATAATGACGTCGCCCCAAAATCAGGCAGCGTCAAAACGCCCACCACCTCTTCCTCCACGAGATTCTTCGACAAGTGACGCGCCTCCGCCATACACCGTCATGGGCATGACTTCGCAAGATCCGCGCTCTTCTTCAACACAGTCGCTTGTCCCTGATCTTACCCAGGGCGACTCAGGGCGACGGCGCCTAATGCTGGTTTTCATCCATGGCTTCATGGGCAACGAAACAAGTTTCCGAAGCTTCCCAGCTCACGTCCATAATCTTGTCACCATCACACTTGCCGAATCTCATGTAGTTCATACCAAGATCTATCCCAGATACAAGTCCAGAGACTCACTCGAAATCGCAAGAGACAACTTCTCGTCATGGTTCGGTTGTCCTACTTGTAAATATGCTCGTGACTGACAGCTGTCAGGCTAGCCCCACACGAAGACCAGTGGACCGACGTTATCTTACTCGGTCATTCTATGGGTGGTTTGCTCGCCGCCGACATTGCATTGGTGTTTCGACATCGCATCATCGGTATCGTGAATTTCGATGTTCCGTTCCTAGGTATGCACCCTGGAATCATCAAGGCCGGGCTAGGGAGCATTTTTAGTGCACCGCCAAAGCCGCAAGACGCAATCATGCAGGATGCAGATGTCGGAAAGAAGCCCAGCAGGATGAGCACCATCTTCAACCCCAAGCCGACAGATCCTAATTACAATCCGGCTTTCCCAAATGATGTGCACTTGGCCAATAGAAAAGGCTGGGAAAACGGCCTACATTGGCTCACCAAGCACTACAAAGACGGTTTGAAGGAAGCTACCAAGGACCTTGTCAAGTCTCATTTCGAGTTTGGCAGTGCAATGGCCGACTACAAGGAATTGAAGGACAGATATGTCAAGGTGCGCGCGCTAGAGGAAGACGACGAAAGCAAAAGGAGGTCTGGTAATCCCCAAGCTCGTACAGTACCTCGTGTACGCTTCATCAACTACTATACTGCAAGTACTGGGAGACCCAAGAAGCCGAAATCTCCAAAGTCACAATCTCCATCTCGGTCTCCTAGCCAGCAACTACAGTATCAGGACAGCAACAAAAGCGCCTCAAGCGAGCCATCGCGGCCATTACAACCTCGATCAGAGTACCAGGAGACATCTAGAAGTGTATCAGTTACATCGTCAGAACCAGAGATGACTCATGTACATCCTGAACCCATCGAAGACAGCCCCAAGTTATCCATCCACGTCCACGAGCATCGAGAGGACGGCATTGTACCTGTAAGTCCCGAAGGGCCGCTTACAGCCACTAGCCCAATTGGACCTCAAGCCTTTGGAGGACCAACCCACGAAAGCGCAGGTGCACCAAACTTACCAGAGATCCCGCCTATTCCACAGGAGCCACCATTTGTGGATTTGATGCAATTCTCCGACAAGACTCAGCGCAAAGCGGCAGAGAAAGAGCACGATCAGGCACTCAAATTGTATCAGAAGGCTGTGAAGATGCGTAACAAGACCATAAACGAACGGACTAAGATGGAGGAGAAATGGGAAAAGGACAAAGCGAAAGAGAGGAAGGAACGGGAAAAAGAGCAGAGAAAGAGGCAAGAAGAGCAGAACAAGGCAAGGGAAGAGAAGGAGAAAGACCAGCGGAAAAAGGAAGAGGAGGCAAACAACATGTCAAGAGAGGACAGACAACGGCAAAAAGAAAGGGAACAGAGACAAGCAGAGGCAGAGCAGAGGGAGGAGGAAGCCCGACAGAGACAAAGAGATGCAGACTTGCGTGATGGAAAGATACCCTCAGAAGACACAGCTGAGTCTGCACCTGCACCAACACCTGTGATGATCGAACTGGAGGAGGATGTTGGCGCCATGGAACTTGGAGGCGATGAGACGGCTCTGCACAGTCATCAGGGCCCGTATAGTCACTACGAATTCTCTCGTAGCGGAATCATGAGCCAAGAATCGCCAGACGACCGCACTGATTCTTCATATACCCTTTCTACCATGGACAGCCAAAACAGTCACCGAAAGAAGACTGGGTCGGAGGAAAGTGCGCCTGTCAAACCCAAGAAGCTTAAGAAGTTCTGCATGCTGCCACCCAAAGATGCGGGTGGAAACAAAGACCCTACATGGATACGAGTGTTCATGGAGAACATGGACGAGGTGACAGCTCATACTTCACTTTTCTTCATCAACGAGACGTATGAGAAGCTCGTCGGAGATGTTGGTGCAAGGATTGAAGACTGGGTCAGGGAAGCGGATAGCGTAAGACTAGTTCGCGAGATGAGCGAGATGGAACATGTGAGTAAATCTTGATGTAATGTCTTGGATACCCAAACGATCAAATGGAATTACGATGGATCGTCGATTTGCTTCACCTTCTGATATTACACACTACTCGTCCATCCCATTTGCGGCGCAATAGACATGACTCTTCCACCAACAACCAATCCCCAAACGCCCAGACCCAGTATTCCCGATCCGCCATTAGCCATACCCGTCCATACTCCTCCTGCAACCGCCCATGCCAAATTTAACGTACCGAGTAGCAGTACCACGAGCTCGCTTCCTCGTATCGCTTCATTGAATTTTTCGACAAACGGGATTTTGGTCTGGTTTTTGTCGTTCCAGAAGTTTGCCATATGCACACGGGAGAGATATGCAGCTGCAGCATTTGCAACGCCAGCGCAGATGAGTAATTTCGTGGTTGCGAGGCTGGGGATTATGACGAGAGCGGTGGAGGTAAGGAAACTAAGTAGTAGCTAGAGTTGTCGTGTTAGTACCATCTGGGGGCGGTCGAAGGTGATTCAAGCATACTGTCACAGTGCCGCTGGTCTGTGTTGACCTGGTCTTATGCAGTCTTTGCGCAGCCGTGTTTGACCATTCTGCAGCCTTTTCGCTCTTTTCTTCGTACTGCTGTAGGCGGGTTATGTTTTGGTAGGAGAGGTAGAGGCCGTAGGCGCTGAGGGCGGAGGTGAGCCCAAGCTGGAATATGCTGACGGTGTATATTGAGGGCGAGAACATGGTGATTTGAGATGAAAGCGCGCACAGCTGCTCGGTGCCCAAGGTCAGAAGGTGTTGTCATGTGTATATTGATGAGGGATGTTGAAGTTTGGTGGGCGGAAGGGACACTACGTCATCGGCCGTGTTCATCGTTCTAGAACCTGGGCATCTGCTTCACTAGCTTGTGCACTTGAACGCGGCGCCAACGCGACAATGTGAATGCTTTCGCGAGATGCTCGTGTTACAAGCCACAGCCACGTCGTGCTTTCATTGTCGGAGAAGTACGAAGGCCATGTATACAGAACATCATCTACGCTAATGATAGCATTGGAAGCAGGGTGCCATGCGAGACCGAGCACCATCAGCTTGCTTGTGTATACCGCTTGCATGCTCAACGGCCATGTCGATTTTTCTTTACGAGTATATATGCTGCTTGTCCGAGCCTTCGATCGCTTGTCTCCTTGTCTAAGAGCACCACGTACGCGGATTTTTTTGGGAGGGGGGAATTGCTTTCGAATTCCAAGCCAGTAATTCGGAATAGCGATGCGGCGCATAAAGAATTGACTTGTAACCACAGGCACAACGGAGCCGATGTGTCGTGTCCAAACATACAGCACTCCATCCATATGGTTTATCTTCCCGATACTGGTGTCTCCGAGAAAATAGGCAAGAGAACCCTTCGGTAATCGTGCGCTATTCATCTACGATGCTGTCCGAAGCAGCGTCCTGACTAATCACAGGCTACCGAACAGCTCAATCTCATATTGTTCCATTGGTATCAGAGCAAACAAGAATGGCTACGTGTTCGCAGGCGCAAGCCATAGAATTGACGTTGTCGTTCCCGAGGACGCGCTCACGTTGGATACCATTCGCGTTGGCGGTGGCGGTCAAACTAGTCTTTGGGAAGCATAAAATATGAGTTGTTGGTAAATGTGGAGTCTGTCATATCAGTGATATGAAAGAGGAATCCACAATGGTTGGTAAAGTTTGGCGTTGAGTGTAAGTAAATGTCAGAGCTGGAGTCATTTGTAGCTGCGGCGGCGCCGTTCGGTTGCGAATGTCCCGGCATCTTAGCGCTAGTATCAAAGGCCGACCGAACTACGGTGATAAGGATCATCTTCCCGGCCTGCGCTGATATACTCTGCTGCCAATATGGCTCACACAAGCATAATCACTCGTACTATCTTTGGATTATTGCAAATTCATGTTCATCACTAAGCTCGCAACGCGGAGATACCTCCACCGCCGTCACCCCACTTGCCATGTCAGGAGCCTGGCTACGCCTGTACCCCGGGTACCAATCAGTCTTCTGGATATAGACACACCACTCGACTACGACCGACAGGTTTTGCAGTTCGTCTCTATCAAGCATGGCTCGAAGCGCCCATTAACTCTGACGGAAAAGGTACTTTACAGCCATCTGTATGTCTCGACTGAGCACCACTGGTCTTTGGACGAAATCCGGCGTGGAGATACGTTATTGCATCTCCGACCTGATAGAGTCGCATGTTATGACGCAACAGCGACGATGGCGTTGCTGCAATTCATCAGCACAGGCTGTCTAAAAGTACAAATACCCACCACAGTACACAGCGACCACCTCATTGTATTACGCGACGGTGCTGTAGATGACCTTGTTCGTGGGCGAAAAGAGTACTAAGAGGTTTACGCCTTCTTGAGTAGCGCATTAAAGAAATATGGTATCGGTTGGTAGAAACCCGGAGCTAGCATCATCCACACTACTATCTTTAAGAATTATGCTTTTCCTAGTGGACTGATTATCGGGACAGACTCCTACACGCCTAATGCTGGTGGCATGGGTATGCCAGGCATCGGAGTTGGAGGTTCGGATGCAGTCGATGCAATGGCTGGTATGCCTTGGGAGCTCATGTGTCCACAGGTTGTAGGCGTACGACTTACAGGCCGTCTACATGGATGAGCCTCGACTAAGGATATCATCTGCAAACTTGCGGGTATCCTCTCCGTCTCTGGCGGAAAAGGCAAAGTCCTTAAGTTCTTCGGCCCAGGCACAGAGACATTAGGCGCAACAGCTATGGCAACAGTCTGCAATATGTCAGCTGAGGTTGGATTAACTTCCTGCATCTTTCCTTACACTAAATCTACATACCGATATCTTTCAGCGAAAAAGCGTGGGAGTATCGCGCGTCTCGCAAACAGCTATAAGGACGTTCTGCTGACAGTAGATGAGGGCTTGGAAGATCATTACGACGCTGTTATTGAAATCGATCTAGACTCCTTGGAGCCGCATATAAATGGTCCCTTCACACCAGACCTTTCGCATCCTCTTTCATATTCGAAGAATGCTGTAGCAAACAATGACTGGCCTGTGGAAGTCAGTCACGCCATGGTAGGCAGCTGTACTAACAGTTCATACGAAGATCTATACAAAACGTCACAGCTTGTCATTCAAGCCAAGGCTGCTGGTTTGCCGCATGTGAAGACGCCATTCTTGGTCTCACTGGGCAGCGAAGATATACGTGCAACTGCGGAATCGGGGGTATCCTACAGACATTACGTGATGCAGGCGCTGTTGTGCTGAGCAGTACGTGCGGCCCGTGTGTCGGGCAATGGCAGCGTACGGACGTCGACGTCAAGGGTCGTGAGCGGAACACAGTGGTGTCAAGCTTCAATCGCAACTTTGTCGGTCGACACAACAGAAATCCAGAGACCTGTTTGTTCGTGACTTCTCCAGAAATGGTCACCGCCTTTGCCTACTCTGGAAGATTGGATTTCGACCCTACTACCGATTACCATCCAATTGAAGGGTCTGCAGAAGGGTTCCGATTTACGGCGCCAATAGATGTTGAGCTACCTTCTCAGTTCGCCGTCGGCGAGGACTTTTACCAGGTTTCAGTTCATGACGCCGACGATGTGGTCGTAGACATCGACCCACAATCCGACCGCCTGAAACTGCTCGAGCCTTTTGAATCGTGGTCTCCAGGCTGTACGAAAGGCATGTCGATTCTGGCCAAAGTCAAGGGTAAGTGTACGACCGATCACATATCTCCAGCAGGGCCTTGGTATAAGTACCGAGGCCATCTTGAGAATATTAGCCACAACATGCTTCTCGCAGCTTCGAACGCCTTTCTCTCGTCCGACTCTCGGTTGCTTGGCCACACCATTCCATCTACTGACCAAAGAAGCCGGTCTTATCCATGAAGTCGCCCGAGACTTACGTGATCGAGGAATCAAGTGGTGCATCGTCGGCGATGAGAACTATGGGGAAGGATCGTCGCGCGAGCACGCAGCTCTTGAGCCGCGTTTCTTCGGCGGTGTGGCTATCATAGCACGCTCGTTTGCCAGGATACATGAGACGAATCTCAAGAAGCAGGGCATGCTTCCTTTGACATTTGCAAACCCTCGAGACTACGATCGTATCCAGTTGGGCGATCGTATTACGCTACAAGGTGTCAAAGACGGCGAGCTACGGCCGGGAAGGCAGGCTAGCATGCGCGTAGAATGCGCGCATGCAGGAGAGTGGGTCGCGCCGCTCAACCATAGTTACAGCGAGGGGCAATTGAGGTGGTTGAGAGCGGGAAGTGCGCTGAATCATATCAAGCAGACAGTCTTGGGAAGATGAATGATGAATGTTAATTTGGTAGGTCTGTCTTGTTGGGGCAGACGTCGGGAAGTCCAATGGCTCCTTTGAAAGGCGACATCAGTGATGCTCGCCAGTGCTGTACATTATTACCTCGGCGCTTTTGGCTGGACCGCTCGGTCTCGCAAGGTTATACAGTTGTAAAGGCGCCACGGCACCCCGCGCTTGATCATCTCAATTCTGATTGGCGGAAGTCCCACGCTGATCTACCAAAGCACGCCGACGCGTTCCTGAAGCCCTGGAGCCGTTTCCCGTTTCCCGTAGCCAGCTAGTTCGAAGCACCCGTTGACTGTACGTGATTCCAGCGTCTCGTGTCGAGCCTCAGCAGACCTTCGCAATGGCCCAAAGAGTGTTCCTTCGTACAGGCCGGGGCCTGGCGCTCACTCCTCGCTCATTGCAGATCACCCGCCCCTTCAGTACTGTTCTCGATACCCCAGTCGACCCAGGAACTCAGCAATTACGCTCCGTAGCCCGGGCAGGCTCCGTCTTTGAGAATGCAGTCAATGCAAGCGCCCCCAGGACCAACTGGACCAAGGAGGAGATCTCCGAAGTCTACAACACTTCGCTGATAGATCTCACATATGCATCGGTATGTCAAGCAACTCTGTGGCAATCTGGAAGGTCACTGTCTTATCAATCTCGCTATAGGCTTCGGTGCACCGGCGCTTCCATGACCCCGCAGCCATCCAGATGTGCACGCTATTCAACATCAAAACAGGAGGTTGCAGTGAGGATTGCTCCTACTGTGCACAGTCATCCCGTTACGATACCGGTCTGAAAGCCACAAAACTATCTTCGGTTGATTCCGTCTTGCAAGCTGCGCGAATTGCTAAAGAGAATGGGAGCTCAAGATTCTGCATGGGCGCTGCCTGGAGAGACATGCGAGGCCGCAAGACGAATCTCAAGAACATCAAGGAAATGATCAAGGGCGTGCGTGGCATGGGCATGGAGGCGTGTGTTACCTTGGGCATGGTCGATGCTGCGCAAGCAAAGGAACTCAAAGATGCTGGACTGACTGCATACAATCATAATGTTGATACTAGTCGAGAGCACTACCCAAGTGTCATCACAACTCGCACGTACGATGAGCGACTCAACACCATCAAGAACGTTCAGGAAGCTGGCATTCACGTGTGCACTGGTGGCATCCTCGGTCTAGGGGAGAAGGCTCGTGATCATGTCGGTCTCATTCACACCGTTGCGACATTGCCCGCCCATCCTGAGTCCTTTCCAGTCAATGCCCTGGTTCCAATCAAAGGCACTCCACTTGGAGAGACCGAGGCGATCTCCTTCGACGCCATCCTGCGAACCATCGCCACTGCGCGTCTAGTCATGCCAACAACCATTATTAGACTAGCAGCTGGTCGCCACACGATGCGCGAGGAGAAGCAGATCATGTGTTTTCAAGCGGGTGCCAACGCTGTCTTCACTGGCGAAAAGATGCTGACTACTGCTTGCAATGGTTGGGAAGAGGACAAGGCCATGTTTGGTAGATGGGGACTCAGGCCTATGAAGATGGATGAGACGATTGGAGAGAGGCGCAAGCTTCCTGGACAGGATGAGGCTGAGGCAGTTGTTGCTGCTGCTGAAGCGGAGGCAACGGTTCAGGCACTTGCCTAAAGGCCATGTTAGTCTACACAAGACGACTAGTACATAAATATTACAAGGTAGAAACGTTTGTGCACCCATTCAAAGCTAAAGTTTGGCTCTCGTAACTGGCTCTAGTGTATCTTCCTGTAGCATCTCAGCTGCTTGACTCTCACACCATTCTCCAAGGAGTTCAACAAGCCTCTCCAGGTCCGCAAATGTGTTACCGGCATGTAAGCAGATTCTGACCCTAGCAGTACCCACTGGCACTGTCGGTGGTACCACAGCTCGAACCATCATACTATGACTTTGCAGGAAGCTTGCTAATACCTTTGGTTTTGCTAGCTGCACTGCAAAGATGGGCGATCTTGGACATGCGCTTGGAATCGTTAGGACTCTATGAGCCACATCTGAGAGTGTTTGGAGACGACTCAGACTAGTGTAGAGATGCTGCGTGAGACTTTGCAGATGAGCTTGTAGACCAACACTCTGCCCGGATCGTAGTAGCCGATATGAAGAGCGGATAAGGGCTAGCGAAGGATAGGACAGGAATGTTGTATAGATAAGTGGACGTGCGTAGTTGATCAAGTAATGGCGAAGGGTTTCCGAGCCCAGAAGGATCGCTGTATGAGTGGTCAGCATTTGTGCTGTGCTTCGCTAGTGGAAAGGAAATATTTACCTCCGTTGGCTGCTAAGGCTTTACCAAAGGTGTGTAATCTTGCGAATATACGTTTCTCGAGCCCTAATTCACACACCAACCCCCTACCCTCTGGTCCCAACACACCTGTAGAATGCGCTTCGTCCATAACAATGTACCCCCTTTCGTGACCTAGAACTTCTTCGACTACTTCGACCATCTGTTCCAAGGGGCACACATCTCCGTCCATGCTGTAGATAGATTCCAATGCTACAAAAACATTGCATCTTCCTTCGCGTACACCATCTTGCTCAGTGAGAAGACCTAGCAAGACCTGCTTTAAGGCTGATACAGAGTTGTGTTCGAAGGCAACCACCTTGGCTGCCCGTGATAATCTCATGCCGTCATGCACACTTGCATGCACAAGCTCGTCGTAAATTACTACATCTCCCGGCTGTGGCACGCTCGCAAAGAAACCAGCATTTGCGTCGAACCCACTGTTGAAGAGCAATCCTGACTCGGCTCCATGGAAGCATGCAATTTCTTGCTCTAGTTGTTCAGCATATATCGAGTTGCCATCCAGGAGTCTTGATCCGCCGCTACCTAATGGGAGACTAGTCCTTTGTAGCTCCTGGAGGTACGATGACTTGAGCTCTGGCGAAGTTGAGAGCGAAAGGAAGTCGTTGGAGGAGAAGTCGGTCTGATCGAGAACAGGTAAAGTTAAGTTTCGGAGTGTTGAGTTTGTGCGTCGACGGTCGAGTAGGTCTCGTAACTTGCTTTGCAACAGCATTGGGCTCGTTTCATCTCCCATGTCTACCGATGGAGTATGGCAATAGGGAATCTGGACAGTGATAACGTGACCGTCGGTGATGGTGTGGAGCTGACTACGTGGATGGAGTGGTAGCATCAATGAAAAGCGGGAAGTAAGCGTGGGGTCTGCCGCGGATTTCCGCGTCGTTGAGACCTGTCAAAAGTAAAAACATACTCATTAGCTAAAACGCTGCATAAGACAACCCCTCGGTGCCTTCGGAAGTGCGGCCATGCAGTTATTGACTCATTACATTTGTACCTGCATGCTTAGCCTCGGCGTAGTCGCGTCGCTGCTAGCGCCTTCCCCACATTGGCCAGCTACAGCCAGACAGCAACAGCATACTCCTCAACTCACCACCAACTGGACGTGACAGAGACATGGCGAAGGTGCCAGGAGGCCTATGGAAGAACATTGTTGCTGTCCAAATCTATGGCGCTAACACAGGAGTTGGTAAGACGGTATTTTCGACGCTCCTGGGTGCCCATTTAAGCAGGCACGCGAAGTTGAAAGTACAATACATAAAGCCCGTATCCACTGGTCCAGCTGATGAGGCCGATGACAGGTCAGTATATCTGTTATGAATCATGACAATTGTCTGCAATATGGCTGACTGCGCATTAGTTATGTGCACAAGTATAGCGGCCAACATGTTTCAACACTTTTCAAATTCGATAAAGCTGTAAGTCCGCATATTGCGGCAAGAGAATCAGACCTAATTGTGAGTTTTGCTGCAATAACTGCACTTCTACAAGCATTAGTTGACGGTCCAAGCCTAGCGATGAGCTCATTAGTCAAACCGTGTTCAAGACCGTCCAACAAGCAGCAAACACATTAGAGCGGGGGTATAGAGGCTTCTCAATCATCGAGACGGCCGGCGGTGTTCTCAGTCCAGGACCTTCGGGTACACCGCAGGCGGATATTTTGCGACCGCTGCGACTTCCCTCGGTGCTCGTAGGCGACCATCGGTTAGGCGGTATCGGCTCAACCATATCAGCCGCAGAGTCTTTGAAGATACGAGGATATGATATCGACGCTGTCATATGTTTCGACGACCAGAGTCAGTATAAGAACGCACCGTACTTGCAGAAGTATTTCAAGGATATGGGAATATCAACTGTAATCTTACCCTGGATTCCAACTCTTCAAGGTATTGGACCGGGAACAAAGGAAGAGACGGAGATCATGCAAAAGTACTACACATCACAAAGTGATAGCAAGGCAATGTATACGGTTGTCGAATGGCTGGATCAACGCCACCAAAGGAGAATCATCGATACGGGGACCATGCCATATAGAACAGAAAAAGCAATCTGGCATCCGTTCACACAGCACAAACATGTAAAGAGCGCAGAAGACATCTTGACCATCGATTCTGCGTATGGCGACTATTTCCAGGTCAAACACAGGGGTAACGATTCGGAGCCCCATGTTGAGGATCAGATCCTATATCCTGCATTTGACGGCTCAGCATCATGGTGGACACAAGGTCTTGGACACGGAAATCCCCGGTTGGCGCTGGAAGCAGCATATGCAGCAGGGCGGTATGGTCATGTCATGTTCGCCGGGGCTACACACCAACCAGCTGTTACTCTAGCGGAGAGTATCCTTTGGGATGGGAACAACGGAAACGGAAGCCGTTTGCGGAAAGTATTCTACACTGATAATGGCAGTACAGCGACAGAGGTTGGTATCAAAATGGCGCTTCGTGCTGCTAGCAAGTGTTACAATTGGGACAGCACAAAAGAGTCCATAGGTATTATTGGTCTCAAGGGCAGTTACCACGGAGATACGATCGGTGCCATGGACGCTTCCGAGCCTTGCGTCTTCAACGAGAAAGTTGACTGGTATCGTGGGCGCGGCTTCTGGTTCGACTATCCAACGTTCAAACTCAAAAATGGTCGATGGGTAGTTGAACCCCCCAAGGGCATGGAGAAAGAGCTAGGTCCAGTCCAATTTTTTGGGTGCCAGGATGACATATTCGATCTTGCTGCTAGAGGCACAGCAACCCGTTATGAGGCCTACATCGAAAGAACACTAGATGAGCTGGTTAAAAAACAGGGCAGGAAATTTGGCGCATTGGTTTTAGAGCCCGTGGTTCTTGGAGCTGGGGGGATGCTATTCGTAGATCCACTTTTTCAGCAAAGCCTGGTGCGCGTCGTCCGTCGTTACGATTTTGCAAACGGCTCTAAGACCACAGACTCTCAAAGTGAAGACGCGCTCGCTTGGTCTGGCCTCCCCATTATGTTTGATGAGGTGTTCACAGGGTTATATCGTCTAGGTCGTTTTTCGGCTGCTTCATTCCTCGGCGTTCATCCTGATATAAGCGTAAATGCCAAGTTACTCACGGGAGGTCTACTTCCGCTCTCAATCACGGCCGCGAGCGACTCCATCTTCCAAGCTTTCTGGGGCGACGAGAAGTCGGAAGCTCTCCTTCATGGACATAGTTATACTGCTCATGCGGTAGGATGCCATGTTGCAAACAGGAGCTTGGAAACCATGAAACGTTTGCACACTGGCAAGGAGTGGGATGATTTCAGGCTGCCATGGTCGCCTAAACTTCAAGGGTTGAGCACAAAAACCAGGGAAAGAAGAAGAGACGAGTGTACCTGGAGTATGTGGTCCAAATCCTTTGTGGAAAGCGTTTCAGAACACGAGAGGGTCGAGCATGTGAATGCCCTGGGCTCTGTCCTGGCAGTATCATTAATCGACGAAGGTGGTTCAGGTGCGTTGTACCAATCTTTCCCATGGTTTATCATTGACATAGCCTAGGTTACAATTCTTCAGCAGCGGTTGGTCTTCGAGACGCTCTACTGCATGATGTATCCGAATCACAGGTACAGATCCATTCGCGCATATTAGGTAACATTATCTACCTCATGGCGAGCATGACTGCGACGCGTGCTCAACTCGATCCGATTGAGGCAGCGTTCAGAGAAAAGTTGGACGATGTTATCAGGGTGTAGAGAGTTAGAATAGGCGGCAACTCTTACCTCAGATATTCGGAGACGTATGTAGGTAGACTCGTGAAGCGAGACTGCACATTACTTCCCTTATGAGTAGCAGAAGTCGTAGATCAGATCGGATCAGAGTACGATACATTTCCCGGTACAACGACCGTGAACGTGTCTTCAACGGGATGTTGCTTGGGTGGATTACGAGCCTTACAGAGCTCCTCATATATAAGAAACTACTCCAAAGAATAGGCTGCAAGAGCACTTTTTGAGAACACACAAAAAAGTCTGGCAAGCCGGCAAGCTGCCGATGAAACAAATTTGAGACCTAGTTCGGGTCGGGTTTCCACACCAGTGTTGATGTGTCGAAGCCCGATTTTCACGATGATTCGCTAGGCCTAGTTCTCAGGATACCTTCTCCTATTAGTCTCAGAGGCTACCCAAGATGATAACAGATTATTAGCGGCTGGAGGGGTGTCTTTCTTGAAAGATAAGTTTCCCGGTATACTATCCATGTCACCGCCAAGCGCCAAGTCACTCCGGGAAATATACCTATATTGCATACCACCAACAGCACGTTCCTGGGACCCTGCTCCTGCGGCGATGTCACCTTCCGCATCTCTCGATGCTGGCCGTAAGCTGGGTCCAGCCTACGTGCAAATGGCGATACTTTGGAAAGATCACAATCAAACTCATCCGCTTGGGTGAACTAGCTCACGAGGCCTCTTGGACATTATGCGTTGACATTTGTGACCGTGCACCGTTGGAGCGACGGACTATTTATGGAGATGGATGGGGGTCGGCTCGCATGGGGTCATCGGAGGACGCACAAACGAATGTGGATATGCCCGCGGTAACCGGGTCGACTGCGAACGGGCACGGCAGATCATCCATGTCCAAGATAACCGCTCGGCAACCACACCTAGATCGGCTAAGTTATATCATGCAGGTACTAGGGGGTACTGAGACGGCAAATTCCTTCCGTTACCTGGTAACAGGTGGTCCCAACATTTCATGTCATTCTGTGAGTAGACGAGAAAGTTCAGTGTCAATCAGAGGGCCTGTTGGACCATCAGCCATACATGTGGTATCATTGACATGAAGGTCTTGTCACTCTTGGTTTCTTTTGCTGCGGCGGTGTCCGCGCTGGCAGTAAGGCAGGCCGACGTCGTAAGCGATCTGAAAACCCTAGTGTCATCGCCATCTTCAGTCAATGTCGAACGAGCACGCTGGAGTGATTACAATGCGCCCTTGCCAGCGGTTGTCGTCAGCGTGCAGGCTGAAAAGGACATAGCAACAATAGTAGGTGCAGCCCCACTCAGACTGGTTGAATAACGGATAGTGAGGGCTAACCGGAGAAAAAGATCAAGTACTGTACAAAGATTGGTATACCTTTTCTTGCGCAAAATGGCGGTATTGGATGGGGAAAGACCTTCAGTTTGGGGAAATGGGGCGTTGTGATCGACCTATCTAATCTCAACAAAGTCACTGTCGCTGCAGACAAGACGACCGCCACTATTGGAGGCGGTGCAAGCATTGGAGAAACCGTCGCAGCAGCTAACGCTGTCGGTGCTTTGATTATTACAGGCAACTGTAACTGCGTTGGCGCTCTGGGAGCTATGCTTGGTGGCGGATACGGTGTGTAATACGTGTATCTTGTGAGCATCTCAGCGCTAACTCACAGAAGGTAACCTCATGGGTGAGGTCGGCTTCGGAGTCGATAACATTATCTCCATGCGTGTGGTTATTGCTACCGGCGAGATACTCACAGTATCTTCTACGTCCTACCCTGAATTGTTCTGGGCACTTCGAGGAGCAGGTCCCAACTTTGGAATCGTGGTTTCAGCGACCGTCAGGGCAATGCCCGCTACCGAAGAAGATCGTACAGCATTTATCAACAATCTCTTCTTTTCGCCCGACAAGCTCGAACAGGTTGCGCAAGCGGTGGAGGACCTTCCCCTCACGCCACAACAGCGAGTGTACCTCGTACTAACCTCCAGTGGCGAGCCACTTAACGAGCCCTCCATCCTGGTTACCGGCTTTCTTCGTAAGGGGACTAATGAAACAGGTCGCGCAGCCTTCGCCCCCTTTTACGATATCGGGCCTGTATCACAATCCAGCGCAATTACCACATATGATCACTGGAACGACGCCAATATCGGCTTTTGTACCCGTGGTGGTCGCAAGCCGTCATACAGCTCAACTATCACTGGAATGAGCGCACAGAAGTGGCCTGAGATTTGGGAACTCTACAAAGGGTTTCAGGCGAAAGGTCTAAATTCCGCTGTGCTTGTCGAGCGCTATAATCTGACCAAAGCCAAGTCCGCACCTCTCGGCTCAACAGCCATGAACGAGGTATTGAGGAGGGACGCATTCTCACAGGCAATCGTTATACCGTGGTATGATGATGCTAGTCTCGATGTTAAAGCTTTGGAATTTGGAAGTAAGGTTAGGGCACTGTGGACGAGGAGTAGCAATCCGAAAAATGATCCAACGTAAGTCATCATCGTCGCAATGATACTGTGCTCTGAATGAATTTTTTATAGGTATGCAAACTTTGCATTCGGCGACGAGACAAACACCGCCATATATGGAACCGGTCTCGCGAGACTGAAAACGCTCAAAAAGAGATACGACCCGAAAAGAGTGTTTACTCAATGGTTTCCGATTCAGTCGTGAGCAAACAAACTCTGCGTAGTGATACTGAACAATGAGATCAAAACATAGCTTTACTTTCTTTAACTCTAGATCCACGCTGTTCATCCTCTAGTATGCTCAATTGGCCCTCAATTCTATCAACCAACCATTAACACCCCCTTCCCCTCTCTCCTAACTCAACCTCGCCCACCCACCACAAGCCTCACTCCTCATTGCAAGAACCAATCAGCCCAATCGTCACACTCGAATTTTAGTCTTCATATCTGGTATTCACCGATACATCGTAGTAATCCGGCGTGTAGCGCGGCCTCTTGACCTCGCTTCTGTATTTCTTCTATCCATTACAACTTTTACGTAGTTCAAGTGTCAGACACTTCGAACGTGTTGCCGACACAGGGGTATTGCGGCATTATTTTTAGATGACAGGCGGAAGATCTGATACATATTAAGACGTGATGACTTACTGATGCGCGAGGAGTCTCTGGCGGTGGAGGCAATGAGAGAGGGCAAACGGTTATGGGGCAAAGAGTGCAGATATGGGCGTCATGCGTAGGTTTAATCTACTATGCTTTATTTCTTACTGGGACTATGATTGATTTAAGTAATCATGAGTTGATGTTCAGGCAGTTGCTGAGGTCACAGTGTGCCCTTGGTTGATCTTTCGTTATGAATCATTACCTTGCGCACCCTGTCTTGGCTTGTTCCATTTGTGATAGCCCGCTAATTATAAGAACGCCTTTTGTCAAAAATCACTTCACCTATCTCTGCAGAAGATCAGAAAGCCTGTTAAATCGGATTTGTAAAAGAACACGCGATCGCCCAGGATCAATTTCGTTCTACTGGCTTGTGCTGCGGCCACTTGATGTCGCATTCCCCTGACCTCAACATGCTATCCGCTGAGCACTCACATCATTGACAAGTGTGAAATCGCGCCATCTCGTCACATAACAACTTTGCGCACAGTGCTCCATCTTTCGTCTCCTTCCCAGCCACGTCGTCGAACCCGGAAGGCAGTTTACCATGACCCGCCAGCTCCTCACCTGCTAATTGACGAGTCTCCAGCTCTGACAAAGCCAATTAAATTATGAAATATTCGCCACTACACATACAGTCTAGGATTTGGAACAGTCAAAACTGGGGAATATTAGCGGATGTGAGGTTGTATACTCAGACGCAGGGAGGATGTCCTTATAAGGGGGACGTGGCAGGGCGAGGAAAAAGAGAGGAAGGAAGTGGACGAACCATATGCATTATAATATCAGTAGAATTTCTATCCAGTACTCGCTTGTCTCCTCAATATGCCCCTTCTAAAAAGCTGAGCTGGAAACGCGCTCTGCATCCTCCCTGATGATGATGCGACCTTAGCTCCCTTTAATTTGTATGTTGCGATGAACAACATACATGGTAGGATGGCACTACTAACCATTAGCAACTCGGAAAGGCACTGTAGTGTTGAGTCTTAGTTGGCGCTTGACGTACTAACTGTGGAGTCTGCCATTTGCGATCGTTCCAAAGAAGGTGAAGTGGACAGACAAGCAGATCGGGTTTTTCTAGATAGATAGGGCTAAGGTTATCTGGAGACCCGGTGATGGCCGAATCGCAGCCCAGGTGAATTTTGCAGGTTTCTATCTGGGAAACTTGTGGGAAACTTGTACTTCAGTTCGAGTGTTTGGGCAGTAATTGCACGGTGAAAGTCTGCTCCCTAAAGGCGGTCTGAAAAACGGGTATCCGCTTCTTAGTCATCCAAATCGTTAGCACAGGGATAGTCCTCCTCTGCACGGTGCTGTTCCCAGTCGATGACCTTCGTGCGTACTGCCTGTCAAGGTTCGTAGGCTCAAAAGCCTCCTCCTGTGTACTCTGGGTCCTCTCGGCGTCTGTGTCATCCTTGTCCGCTGGTATCGACTCCTTTACTTCTCGATCGATATCCACACAAGTAAGCATAGTGTACATCCACCACACCTCTTTCGCATTCTTGTTGTGTTCTGCCCCACTTGGCGCTACAATCCGTCGGACCATGTCCACAATGCCTACTAGTTTCGTTGTGCCCTCGCCCTGCGCCGAAACAGCTATAACCAGGTCGTCCTCTCTTAATGCATCCGGCATCTCAATCGTAGACGTAGTGTCTCTGTAGGCACCTAAGTATGTCTTCAGTCGGTTGATCCCGGACTTGACGTTCTGATTTTTGGAGAAGACGACTGGCACGATGTTCTGTGCGATTCGTATACGCTTTTGAACCTCAGGAATTTTACGTAGCTCGGAAGGCAGCCGTGTCCATGGCTCATAGAGTGATGGGTGGATTGTGGGAGGAGATGGTGGCTGCGATTGTTTCTTGGGCGCTATACCATTGACACTTT